TAAATAAATAAATCTTAAAAAAAAAGACATACTGGGGGTAGATTCCTGGTTCTGCCACCTACCACTGTGAGATCTTGCATAAGTATCTTTAGCATCGATATCACTTGTCTTGTCTAGGACCACACAGATAACAAGAGCCAGGGCCAGGATCTAGATACTATGGTCTTAGAATTCTGAACCCTGAGCTGGGACCACTATGCCCTGTGACCTTTTTGAGAAGCTAGAAACCATGGTCTGTTTGGTTACATAACATAAGACTTGCATACTCAAGCCGATAAGCAGATGCTTCCATTTGCTCATCTGCTTACTTCAGAAAACCCAGGTGGCCTAGTATTCTCCAGAGACTGTGCCTTCTTCACAAAGAGGCTGATTCTGTTAGCTTGTGGTACATAACAACACTCCCCCCACCCCTGCCCCAAACTGGGTGGCTTAAAAACAATTCTGTATTTCACCCCAGTTCTATGGGTCAGTTGGGTGAGGTTTTTGGCCTGGGCCAGGCCAGCTGGTCTCTGCTGGGTTCTCTCATGTCAGTGGTATAGAACTGCCTCACTCAGATGTCTGGCAGTTGGCCAGCAGCCAGGGCAACTGGGTTCTCCTCCTGGGGCCTCTCATACTCCAGCAGGCTTGCCTGGCCACATGGTGGCCTAGGGTTCCAAGCTCAGGAGGAGACAACCACCCACAATGTGTGTTTTTCAAGCCTTTGTTTGCTTCACATCTGGTAACGTCCCATTGTCCTAAACAAGTCAGATGGCTAAACCATAGTAAAGGTATGGAGAGAGATTCCACCTCTCGATGGCAAATGGAGGATTTGTGACCATTTTTACAACCTCACACACAGGTCTTCCTCCAAAACTTCAAAACCGTGAAAGCAGCCAGCCAGTTACCCTATTTTATCTTCTTCATAAGGAATCAACACCCCGGATTGCCTATTTGTCTAATTATCAGTCCCCTCACCCTTTGCATAATTTAGGCTGCTTGAAAGCAGGACTCACTCTATTTTGTTCTCCTTTATTCCCAGTGCCATGAACAGTGCCTGGTAGGCATTCAGTAAAATGTATGTTGACTAGACTTGCTTGATGGTTGGCATGGTGCAGGCAGGGTGCCAGAAGGTTAGATATGTGTTTAGTGGGCCACATGGAATAAAATGACTACTGTAAACACATGCGTAAGTGGCAGCCAAAGGCAGGTGCCCACGAGGCACTTGGAGGGGAGGCCTGACATCCCTCTCAGGATTTGTGGGGTCTTCCAGTAGCTCTGACCCCCCTCCCCATGTTTCCATCTCACCGTTGGTCTCTATTCACAGGCAGGACCTGCTGACTTGAAACACTTTGACCCAGAGTTCACCCAGGAAGCTGTTTCAAAGTCCATTGGCTGCACTCCTGACACTGTGGCCGGGAGCTCTGGCGCCTCAAGTGCATTCCTGGGATTTTCCTATGCACCAGAGGACGAGGCCATCTTGGACTACTAGAAGAGAAGCACTCGTGTAACTGCTGAAGACAGCTGGTATCCCTAAGGAATTACCTTCCTTACCCTCTGCTGCTAGTAACAGAGACTCAAAGTAACAATGGCTTAATAAGGTTGCATGTATTTTTCCAGCACATAAAGGAAGAATGTTGTTAGGTGGTCCAAGGCTGGTTCAACAGGTCTTCAGATAATCAGAGGCTTTCTATATCTCTGCTCTGCTATCCTTGGCAATTGGTTTCCAATATTAGGATTGCTGCATTGCCACAAAGTGGTTACTGGAGCTCTAGCCACTGCTTCTATGTCCTGGGCGAGGAAAAAGGACACAAGGAGGGCAGAGCAAAGTAGCACCTTTACAGAGCTTCCCCAGAAGCCCCCACCAGTGGCTTCTGCTTGTTAGCCACTCTCCCTACCTGCGATGGAGGTTGGGATATGTGGTTTATTAGCTGGACACATGACTACCCCTAAAAACGTGCGCTCTATATTAAAGGAGAAGGGGGAAACGTTGGGTAGGCAACCAGCATTTCTCTCCCAAAGGACCTCTTGGTGTTTAGATTTTTATCTTAATGTGTAAAATGAGAGATGTAATAAGCCTATAAGCTATTCACCCAACATGCTCTTCTTTTTCTCTGTTGATGGTATCTTTGTTGTGGGTGGTATTGGGCATTTATTAGGTTTGTTTGCCTGGCATCTGAACCCCTTCCTATGTCCAGAGGATCTCCTAGCTCATGAGGCCTTGATGAGGGGTAGTAATTACCTCTACTTACAGTAGCTGAAAATGCTAGATACTGACTTTCCCAGTATCCTCTGCTGCTAGGGCCAGGCATGTGGCCCAGGGATGCACCTGTACCAGATTCTGACTCAAGAAAGGGACTAGAAGCTTTCATGTGGTAGCTGTGTAACAGTACCCACAAAACCAAGTAGGTTGGATCATGTGGCCTTATTTCAATGGCAAAGTGGTCTTTTTTTCCTAAAGATTTTATTTATTTATTCATGAGACACACACAGAAAGAGGCACAGACAGGCAGAGGGAGAAGCAGACTTCCTGTGGGGAGCCTAATGCAGAACTCGATCCCAGGACCCCAGGATCACGCCCTGAGCTGAAGGCAGATACTCAACCACTGAGCCACCTAGGCATCCCAAAGTGGTTTTTTCCCCCCAAAAATCTGTGGTTCATTAGCTACTTCATGGCAGGCTCGTGGCTTTTGGCTTGTGGACAAGGAGAGAACTTTAACATTAGTGTGTGCTGACAATTTGATTGCCTTTTCCTCTTAACCCCACTCTTTCTCTTCCATTTTTTTTTTTCTCAGCTCCCTGCCCCAGGAGTAATGGGGGATGAAGCTGGAAGACCATGGAATACACACCAGTGGCACTAATACCAACCAACTGGAGATCCAAGCTGGGTCAGGAAGAGTTAGTGTTACGCTTTGGCATGTGCTGAGAACTTTCAAAAAAACAAAACAAAACAAAACAAAACAAAACAAAACACTCTTCTTTGGTTTCCATCACAACAGCATCTGTTAACTGACAAATATGGAACATGATGAAGGAGAGGCCCAAATTCCCCCAAATTCCCAAAGCAAAAAGTGAGAGTGTAATTGTCAGAAACATGATAGTACTGTCAAAAGTACACAACCCACTATGGGTTGTGAAACACCCAATGATTCTATTGTTCTAAGACTAAAGTCACAAAATTTTCACCAGGATAGAAAATAAAAATGAAGAACTATGATGTTGATCATACTTCATCTATGTTTATTAAGCATGTTCTGATCTTTACATGCATTATCTACACTCCTCACAATAAATCAGCCTTTAGAAATTATTTTTTTATTTATTTATGATAGTCACAGAGAGAGAGGCAGAGAGAGAAGCAGGCTCCATGCATCGGGAGCCCGATGTGGGATTCGATCCCGGGTCGCCAGGATCGCGCCCTGGGCCAAAGGCAGGCGCCAAACCGCTGCGCCACCCAGGGATCCCCAGCATTTAGAAATTATTAACCTCACTTTACAGATAAGAAACATTCATTCTGAGAGATTAAGCAACTTGCCCAAGGTCACCACCTGGTTCAAGGCACAGCCGGGAATTGAACTTATTAGCTGCTGATTTTAAAACCGGTGCTCTTCTACAGGCTCCAGGAGTGGAAGAAGTGCTCTGAGCAAGTGCTCCTTTAATTTTCTAGCAAACACTGACCCTACATCAAGCAGAAGGAACTCCAGACCTGTCCAAACCCTCAAGTGGCACAGCCCACGCCCTCTGCAATGGGAATACATCATTTCCATTTTTAGTGATTTTAGGCCAAAATACAGCATCCTCTCGAAGAGAGTTCTCACCCCCTTCTCCACTTTCAGCTTTGCAGTGACAGGAGTTGAGTACAGGTAACAAGAGTTGTATGTTTCAAGCTCCTGAAACTCCTACTACCGTGTCCGTGTTGAAGATTGGAACAAACCGAGGTGTAAACCCGCACTGCCGGATGTGTCTGCTCCTGGGTTTGAAGGGGGCGAGGGAATGGCATTGCGGTCCGCAGGCTCTCAGAGCAGGCAGGGCGCTCCCCTGGAGCGAAGGGAGGCCTGTTTGTGGGTACCAGCGCCCGGCTCTTCATTGTGATAGCGATGGCAGGGCAACCTTTACGTGGCAGAGCAGATCCTTCTCCAGCTCTTGCCTCAATGAATACCCTCTCTCGGCTCATCCGGGGCGCCTTTTACATCAGCTCTGGCCCCTCACAGCTCCTTTAATGACACAGTTTGTATTTTCACGGTAGGATCTGGCCGAAGTCTAGCGCCCCGTCGGGGAGGCCTAGGGAGCGCGCTCACCGCGGGGTCACCAGCCCGGCACGGTGGCGCTCAGAGATGCGAGGCTAATCAGAGGAAGAACTATCTGGAGCCACCATTTGCACCGCTAAACCTCCCCCTCTCCAACCGGGAAGTCTTTCCTGGGCTTCCGAGACGCCGAACCCTTCTACACAAGGCGCGGAGCTGCACACCCGGGGTCGGGGTCCGGGGTCCGGGGTCCGGACACGTCCAGCCGGTCGCACCCGCAAGGCTCCGCCCCCCGGTCTTCCCCCCGGTTCGCCCCGCCGCTCTGCGCCTGCGCCTGCGCCTGCGCCCCTCCGTTCTCTCCCCGCCCCCGTTCGCCCCGCCGCTTTGCGCCTGCGCGTCTCCGCTCTTCCCCCCCCGCCCCGTTCGCCCCACCGCTCTACGCCTACGCCTGCGCCTGCGCTCTTGGGGTCAAGGCTGGGGCGTCCCCCACCTCCACCGGAAGCCTCCACTCTTCTCCCTCGGGGTGGAGCGAAGCTTGGGCCCTAGGGTGCTACCATTCTTATTAGTCTTTAATAATACTTGATATTAAGGACGAAACAATACAGGCTTGTCTTTGGCATAGAGTTAATTCATGTTATGTTTGGATTTACCCCTTATCCGACATAGTGGTACAGCCCCGGGTTAGACCCGCCCGCCGCCCCCCCCCCGACCCTGGGCGCCCAAGGCAGAATGACGTCTTCTGTTGTGTCGTCATCACGTTGCTCCGGGGGTGGGTCCAGCGCCCAGTGCGCGCCGGCCCGACGCGCCGCCTCGCCTGCGCCGTTGCTAAGAGACCTTGGATGTCTGGCCGCGGGATGCTGGGCGGCGCCGGGTGAAGATGGGGGTCACTGGGCCTCAGGTAAGAGGGGCTTCGACTGTGATGAGCCGGCGGGTCGTCGGGGCGGCCTGGGAGCTGGCGAGGCGCTCGCAGGCCTGTTCCTTGGGCCTCCGGGCCAGTCTTGTGGAGAATCAAGGTCCGCTGGGGTAAACTGGGGCCGCCGATACAGGCCCGGATCCCGAGCCTCACCCTGGGTTCAAAGCCGCCTGCGACTGGGCGGAGTTTTAGTCCTGAAAGAACATTGGACCAGGAATCCTAACATCTTAGTCTCATCCGCTTTTCCTAGGAATCCTGCTTCTTGGAATTTGTCGTACAGCAAAAATAACGGCAAAAGCAAAAGTATGTAAATTCCAGTGTGTCTGTGATGGAAAAAGCATTGAAAAGATGCCCATAAAGGCGGTGGTTGAGTTTATTATGGCACAACCACGCAATAGGGCGTGCAACCACTGACCTGACCATGAGGACTTTTCTTTCAGGAAACTGGGAGAGGCTGGATACAGTATTGTATGTACACACTGGGAAGACAAGCGTATGCATGGATGGTTGGAACGTGAAAAGATGGTGGTGTTGTGATCATTAGCTTTTTATATTTTTTTTAAGCTGACAAAGTGATTTTCAAGTTCAACTGGAATAAAAAAAATATATGAGACTTGGCAGAAAATTCTAATAAGTAAGGGTAATAAAGAGGATTAGCTCTGCAGCACCAATATATATACTATTATATATATACTATATAATAGTATAACATATTATAAAGCTGTAATGATTAAAATAGTACGGAACTTACATGCAGATAGAATGTAATGGAATTCAGGGACGCCTGAGTGGCTCAGTGGTTGAGCGGCTGCCTTTGGTTCAGGTCATGATCCTGGGGCCTAGGATCGAGTCCCACATCAGGCTCCCTGCAGGGAGCCCGCTTCTCTCTCTGCCTCTCTCTGTGTGTCTCTCATGAATACATAAATAAAATATTTTTTAAAAAAGAGAATGTAATGTAATTCAGAATAGATCCAAATACAAATGCTTATAAGGATTTTTTTTTTTTTTATGTAGTCAAGGTGGTATTACACATCATCGACAAGGTGGTTTGGTGTCAGGCAGCTTTTGTTAGTAATTAAAAAACAAAAAAACAATAACGAAACCCATTTTGATCACCAAAACAAATTCCAAATAGGTCAAAATTTAAATCTTAAAAACTAACATAACAAAGTACTAAGAGAAAGCATTGTTGTATGTATTTGTAATTTAGCACAGGAAAAACTCTTGTAAATATGTCATGCAATCCAGAAGCCAGGAAGGAAAAGATTAATACTTTTGACTCTGTAAAATTTAAAACCTGTATGTCCTGCAAAATTCCACCAAACCAAAGCCAAAAAGCTACTCGAAGTTAAGTGTAAAGACAAGTTCATTTATGAAAGTATTTAATGATCAGTTAGAAAAATATTCAACCCAATGGAAAAACTAACAGAACATGAGCAAGAAAATCAGAGGAAATAAAAGTGGCCAATATGCATAGTGAAAGATGGCCATCTTAGTGATTTGAAAGTGCAAATTAAAACAGTGAGGGCCTGGGTTTTTTTTTTTTTTTTTTGTGCCTATTTTATTAGTAAAGATGAAAAGGATTGGAAATAGGATTATATATGGAAACAAATGCATTAGTGTTATGACTAATGTTATGGAAGTAAAAAATACAATTTTTGGAGGGCAATTTGAAAATAATTTACTTAGCCATTCATCAGGTAGGAATTTATCCTACAAATATGGAAGGTGCAGAAAAACATCATGCTTAAGAATGATGTTTGTAGCATTGTTTTCCTAACAAAAATTTTGAGGGTAAAATGCTCATCTATACAACTGGTTAAATTATGGTACATCCATAAATGCAATATTGTGCAGCACTTTTTAAAAACGTGGTAGAGGGATCCCTGGGTGGCGCAGCGGTTTAGCGCCTGCCTTTGGCCCACGGCGCGATCCTGGAGACCCAGGATCGAATCCTGCGTCGGGCTCCTGGTGCATGAAGCCTGCTTCTCCCTCTGCCTGTGTCTCTGCCTCTCTCTCTGTGCGACTATCATAAATAAATAAAAAATTAAAAACGTGGTAGATGCATATGTTCTGACATGGAAAGATAGAAGGTTAGGTGAAAAAAATTTATTGCAGAATAGTGCATATGATAGGATCCTATATCATAAAAAATTTTTAAGTTAACATATGTATAAAAAATCTAGAAGACTATATACCCCACACTTAATAGTAGTTAGCAGTGAGAAATCAAGTGGGAAGCATGGTCTAAGGGCATAAAGGTTGGGTGATGGCCAGGTATGGTTGTGAGAACAGGCTGGTGGGAAGGTCAGGACAAGAAATGAGCCAAAAGCCAGAGCTGGCCTTATGTTTCTGTAGCTGTGATTATGCATTTCATTCTCAACCTTTGAGAATTGTAGGGTTTTCATAGCTAGGTTGCAGCTGTATGCCCTCTCTTGATAAATTAGAAGAGTATTTATTCCATTTAGGGTCTTTTGTAATATTTTTTATTGTTTCTTTTTTTTTTTTTTTTTTTTGATGCTTTCTTTTCCCCATAAGGTAACCATGGAGAAAGAGCTTCGGAGCACCATTCTTTTCAATGCATGTAAGAAAGAAGTATTCACCACCAACAATGGCTATAAATCTATGCAGAAAAGACTTCGGAGTAATTGGAAGATTCAGAGGTGACCATGTATTTGTTTTCCCTTCTGAATAATAATAATAACCTGCTGGTAATATTGGAAAGTCTTTATTTTCTTATGTAAGTGATTATTAGGTAGGAGGAGTTCAATTTAAAGATTGTTCAAAAATGACTCAATGATTATAAAAACATCTCTTTTGAAAATTGGCAATTAGCATATTAAGTTGTCTCTCACATAATAAATCAAAAAAGTATCCTAATTATACATATATAGTTTTTTAAATTTTTATTTTATTTTATTTTTATTTTTATTTATATATTTTTTTAAAGATTTATTTATTTATTTATTCAGAGAGAGCGAGAGAGAGGCAGAGACACAGGCAGAGGGAGAAGCAGGCTCCATGCAGGAAGCCCGACGTGGGATTCGATCCCGGGTCTCCAGGATCACACCCCGGGCTTCAGGCGGCACTAAACTGCTGCGCGACTGGGGCTGCCCTATAGCTTTTTTTAAAATAAGATTTTGTTTATTTGAGAGAGAGAGCATGAACAGGGAGAAGGGGAAGAAGGAGAAGGAGAAGCAGGCTCCCCTGGGCTCGATCTCAGGATCCTGAGATCATGACCCTGATGAAGGCAAGGCTTAACTGACTGAGTACCCTGGCGCCCTCATAAACAACTTTTTAAGAGGTTAGAGTCTTTCTCCCTATTTTAACCTGGTCAGTACTTCAGGTTGGGGACAGGAAAGATGAGAATACCTCTGTCTTTGTGTGTGTAACTGGTTTTTCTCAATGGGTAAGGATATGTAATCATACCAGCTAATTGGCAGAGCTGATTGAATTAGTAGTTGGAGGACTGTATACTCTTGGATGGTTTAATTTGGTCATCTTGGCCTATAGGAAGTATTTGAGCAGAGGATAATCTAGGATAAGCCAATAGAGGGGATTCTCACTTTGGGAGAGAGGCTGCATCAGATACCTCTAAATCTCTTCATTTCTGGGTCTCTGTGGCCTATGGTTCCATATAGTCTAGAGACTAAAATAATTCATAAATTGGCTTAAATTATGGATCTAACTTTTAAAATCATATTTCTAGCTTAAAAGATGAAATCACATCCGAAAAGCTAATTGGAGTGAAACTGTGGATTACATCTGGGCCAAGGGAAAAATTTACTGCAGCTGAGGTAAGAAATATCGAAAAAGAAGAAATGCAGTAAGATGGTTAGATGTGTGGGCTCTGAAAATCTGGATTTAAAATCCTCTTTACCGGGCAGCCCTGGTGGTGCAGCGGTTTAGCGCCGGCTGAAGCCTAGGGCATGATCCTGGAGACCTGGGATCGAGTCTCACATCTGGCTCCCTGCGTGGAGCCTGCTTCTCCCTCTGCCTGTGTCTCTGCCTCTCTCTCTCTCTCTCTCTCTGTCTCTCTCTCTCTCTCTCTGTGTCTCTATGAATAAATAAATAAATTATTAAAAAAATAAATAAAATCCTCTTTACCATATACTGTGTTGCCTTTAGGTAATCACTTTCATCTCATTCTTCATCATAGAGTTGTTGAGATCATTAACTAAGATAATGCGTATAAAGTGCCAGACACATAGTTGAGGCTAATTAAATACTAGCCATACTTATTTGCCATATTTTTGCTTTGAAAACAGGAAAATTCCTTTTAAAATGAAGCTGTTTTTAATTCTGTTTCATAGAATAGACAAAAAAAAATGATAAATATAAGACTCAGACACAAGTATTGGCAGAGATGTAGAGAAATTGAAACCCATGTGCACTATGGGCCGAAGGGTAAAATGGTGCAGCCATTATATAAAACAGAATGGCATTCCTTCAAAAAACTTAAAGTAGAATTAACATAATGATCCAGCAATCCCACTTCTAGATATAGATCCAAAAGAATTGAAAGCAGAATCTCAAAGCGATATTTGTACATTGATGTATATAGCAGCATTATTCACAATAGCCAAAAGGTAGAAACAACCCAAGTCTACCAAACAGGTGAGTGGATAAATGAAATGTGGTAGATACATACAGTAAATGATTATGCAGCCTTAAAAAGGAATGCAGTTCTGATATATGCTGCAAGATGGGTGAATATTGACATTAATCCTAAATGAAAGAAGCCAGTTACAGAAAGGCCAATAATATATGATTCCATTTATATGATGTACCTAGAATAGTCAAATTCATATAAAGTTAGAATTGTGGTTGCTAGGGGCTAGGGCGAGGAAGGAAATAGGGAATTGTTTAATAGATATCGAGCTTCAGTTTTGCAAGATGAAAAGAGTTCTGGAGATGGATGGTGGTGATGGCTGCACAATAATGAGATTGTACTTAACTACTGAATTGTCTGCTTAAAAATGGTTAAGTTGGTAAATGTTATGTGTACTTTACTACAACTAAACAGAAACCCCAAAAGACAGCAAGAGCCTTTCCTTTCCAGTAGAGACTTGCAAGTGCTTTGGTTTTCAGGAAAGGATGTGGGGAGTAGGGAGGTCAGGCAGGGTGGGACCAGTGTGGTCCTTAGATGGGGGCAGTCCTGGGTCTTCTGCTCTGACTTGGGGTGGGGACACAAGGAAGATGTCTACAGGGAAGCATTTCTATTATTTTTTGTTGTTGTTGTCCTGACTGCAAGGCCACCTCATCTGAGAAGAGCATCAAAAGAGACACAACTGATTAGATTGAGAGGAGCAGGAATTCCTATTAAGAACATGGAGGTGGCAAGCTGCCCCCACCCAATGAAAGCCTGAGGGAAATGGACACACAGTGGGCAGTGACCTGCACAAGAATACTATATTCTTTGTTGGTTTTTAGCCTCACACTCCAGTAGTCTCTCCCCTGCTACCTCCCTTCTTTGCCTAGTGAAGACAGAGAGAGGTGACCCGATCTTTGCTGAGAAGCAAGCAGCCTCAGGAAAGCCAGGGCATCTGGAAGGAGGGTTAGAAACTGGTGCCTGGTCCTTTTCCCAAGAGGGAATGGGCTCTAGGTCAACCTAACTTCAGGCTCTTAGGGATGGAAGGCAATGTCTTCCAAAAGATAGAATCCCTTGAGAGGCATATTTATCCTAATAAAATGTTCTTCCACCATACCATACCCTGGCACCATGCCTTCTCTTTAGAGGTGGAGTGAGGTAGGAGAGAAAGGCAGAAAAACTTTTAACTTCTAAAAACCAACATTCCCTTGTGTTTTTATTCCACGAAGCTGATCCAAATGATCACCAGAGGTCTTCCTCCAGGCAGAGATCACTCCTTCCTGGGCACTGTTGCTGGCTTCTTAGGATCAGTAAAGGGGTTAGTTCACCCAACACAGACTATATGAACCCTCGTTGATGTTGTCCTCCAGAAACTTCTATGACAAGACATCATATGTGTGATATTAGATTTAAGAATCAGGGGCACCTGGGTGGATCAGTTGGTTAAGCATCTGCCTTTGGCTCAGGTCATGATCCCAGGGTCCTGGGACTGAGTCCCATGTCGGGCTCCCTGCTTGGCGGTGAGTCTGCTTCTTCCTTTCCTTCTGTCCCTCATTTCCGCTTGTGCTCTCTCTTAACTAACTAAAAAAATTTTTTTTTGAAGATTTTTTAAAAAATTTATTTATTTATTTATTCATGAGAGACACAGAGAGAGAGGCAGAGACACAGGCAGAGGGAGAAGCAGGCTCCATGCAGGGAGCCCGATGTGGGACTCAGTCCCAGGACCCTGGGATCACAACCTGAGCCAAAGGCAGATGCTCAACCACTGAGTCACTCAGGTACCCCAATAAATAAAATCTTAAAAAAAAAAAAGATGTGCGAATCAAGCTAGAAGTTAGACTGAATTTAGTTTTACTTTGTTCCCACCTCAGCTACGTTGGCTTACACATTTGCTTGATGATGGTATTCACTTACCACCAGTTAGCCCAGACCATACTTCCTAACCCTGTCAGATCAACACCTATATTATTTTTTTTAAAGAGTTAATTTATTTAGCTTATGTGAGAGAGAGTGCAAGTAGAGGGAGAGAATCTTAAACAGACTCCTCGCTGACCACAGAGCCCAATGTGGGGCTGGCTTAATTCCATGACCCCGAGATCATGACCTGAACTGAAACCAAGAGCCAGGTGCCTAATTGACTGAGCCATGCAGGCACGACTATCTATATTATAAATGTACCTTTATTCTGAACTGAAAAGCCTGGGTATTATAACCCACCACCATTAAAAAAAGTGTCTTAACTGTAATGTAAAAAAGGAAAGGGACGATGACTTATAAAAGAATATGTGTACTTCACATTGTCATTGTTTGGGCATATAAGTACTAGAAGAATGTGTATTTCCATTTGTTAATGCTTGAGCATACATACACTAACTAGTGCACTTCTTTATATTTGACCTTTTGAAAAAAGGCTAAAAATAGGTATGTAGGCTCTTCATGAATGAGACAGTCTTGTGCAGAGTCCAAGATCCATGAAGTTATATCTCATTTGGGAGCAAGCCCCCTTGGTGATGTTAGTTGTTATACTATGTTTTCCACATTTAGGGGCTGGAGGAGAGAAGGATAGGGAGTGTGCCAGAGCAAGAGGCTTTGCTGTTAGCAGAGCTGGTCAGGCCAGTGGTTTCCAAAGTGAGATGTATATAGTGAATCACTGAGGTGCCAGAAGGAAATTTTACTTTTCGTATCTTTATTATTCTTCAAAATTCTCCTTTTTGGGAAGATATTTTATAATTATATAAATATACATACTTTGTTTACATATCAGAGTGTGTGTTCACATACTTTTCTGATGAGATGCTTGGGGATGTTGAAAGACTATTGAAAGACTATTGGTCTAGACCACTCAGCCCAAGTTTTCTCAGGCTGGGTCAACGAGACCAGTTGGGAGATTTTTTCCCCTCCCCAGCTTTGTGAAAGTGAGACAGCTTCCCAGGAAATAAGCAGATAACCTGCATTTCTCACTGTGCATTGATCAGTCAATGACTGGAACAGAACTCCTCCCTGGGAGTAGTTTGCTATGCCTTCATCCTGATGTCCTTGGCTGGCAGTGAAGGGAAGATGTGGTCTGGAGCAATCGTTTTCAGTCAGGGCTGATTTTGTCTCCGCTAGGTTGAGACTGGGACTGCTGCTCAATGATCTGTGAGCTTCCTTTAGCTAGTGTTTCCAGTTTTGGTTTGCTTTCCAGATAGACAATGTGGAAAATGTCAGTTCAGTTTGAGTATTTTGGAACTTTATGCTTAAAGACAAGGTTGGAAATCTACGTTGAGAGTAACTTTTATATCATCTTATATACATTTATATTTACGTGTCTTACAGATTTGTGTATTTTTCAGCTAGTTAAGGACTTTCAAGTATATTCATATATTGTTTTTTTCCTTTATGTAGTTTGAAGTCCTGAAGAAATACCTTGATGGAGGCGGTGATATCCTTGTGATGCTAGGAGAGGGTGGGGAATCCAGATTTGACACCAATATTAACTTTCTCCTAGAAGAATATGGAATCATGGTTAATAATGGTAATTATTATTATTATTTTAATAGAGGCAGTTGTTTCCTATTTATTATTCATATTGTAGCTCCCTGGTCCTAATAGTACAATGGAAAGAGCCCTGGGCTGAAGGTGCATGGTCCAGCATTCTGACCTCAATGGTAGTCTGAGCTTTCTGGGGCTAGGCTTCTTCCATGTATAAAGTGGGAGGAATTGGAATAGAATCCCAGGGTTCCTTGTGGGTCAAAGTTTATATGTGTTTATAATATCAGACTTACTTCTAATCTAATATGCAACTTCCTCCCTTTCTTCCTTAAAGATGCTGTGGTTAGAAATGTATATTATAAGTATTTCCATCCTAAAGAAGCTCTAGTTTCCAACGGAGTCCTGAATAGGTAAGCATGTTGAAAGCAGAAATGTTTTATAAATGATTCCTTTTATAAACGATTCCCTTCTTCCTTTCTTGCTCTTTTGTTTTATTTTACTGTGTTAAAATTTATTTATTATAATACTTCTCATTCTTCAAATTACATTCCTTCTATCTTTTGAAATCTTATTACACATTCATCTTTTTTGTCAGAATGCAGTTGCAAGTGTAGAAAACCCTGTTCTCTCTATGGGAATAAATAATAATGAGACTATTGATTCACGTAGTTGAAAAGCCCAGATATAGGGCAGGCTTTGAGTGTGGATTGACTGAAAATTCATGGTGTTGTCAGGGCTCCAGTTCCATTGCTCTGTAGTTCTCTTGGCCTTGCTCTCCCGTTTTAGCAGTTCCCAAATTTATATCTGCATGCCTCACTATCTAGGACAAGAGAGCCTTGCTTGATCTCACCATTCCCAGCAGGAGTAGTCCTGAGATTTGCTGTTTGGTTGGCCTAGGCCACATGCCCATCCTGAATTGGTCCCTATGGCAGAGGGCATAGTATGCCTTGATGGTATAGCTAGGTCATAGTCTCTACCCCTGGAACCTGGAGTGAAGTCAATTTTTTCTGTTTCACTAGATCTTAAAAGATAAATTAGGGCTTTGGAGAAGTAGTAAATGAATACATGAGAGGAGCAACATCAGGTGTCCTCTGTGAGCTTTTCCTTATATTCAGAATTTTTCATTTCACACTTGAATTGTGTATGCCAGGCACACTGCTGGATCTGATGATACAGAGTCTAAAACATAGGACTAGAATGTGGTTCTAGTCTAGAATGTGGTCTAGAGGGATGCCGGGGTGGCTGAGTGGTTAAGCATCTGTCTGCCTTTGGCTCAGAGTGTGGTCCTCGGGTACTGGGATTGAGGGTCCCCATCCCCCCCCATCGGGCTCTCTGCAGGGGGCTTGCTTTTCCCTCTGCCTATGTCTCTGCTTTTCTGTATGTTTCTTATGAGTAAATTGATAAAATCTTAAAAAAAAAATAGAATATGGTCTAGGATATTTATCCTTCCCTCAGGACTCAAAGAACTGATCCTCATATTAAAATGTTAACTATTGGGATCCCTGGGTGGCGCAGCGGTTTAGCGCCTGCCTTTGGCCCAGGGCGCGATCCTGGAGACCCGGGATCGAATCCCACGTCGGGCTCCCGGTGCATGGAGCCTGCTTCTCCCTCTGCCTATGTCTCTGCCTCTCTCTCTCTCTGTGACTATCATAAATAAATAAAAAATTAAAAAAAAGAACTTAAAAAAAAAAATAAAAAAAAATAAAATGTTAACTATTGGGTAGCCCGCATGGCTCAGTGGTTTAGCGCCACCTTCAGCCCAGGGTGTGGTCCTGGAGACCTGGGATTGAGTCCCATGTCAGGCTCCCTGCATGGAGCCTGTTTCTCCCTCTGCCTGTGTCTCTGCCTCTCTGTGTGTGTCTCTTATGAATTAATAAATAAAAAATCTTTAAAAAAATAAAAGTAAAAATGTTAACTATTGCAAGCTATACAAAGAGGTATAGGTGTGTAGGTGTACCTTTATTTAAATTTTAAGAATTATATTTTGAACAAATCTGCAAAATCCTTGCAGTTCATATTTACTATTAATATTGGAGTGTGAAATTCCTAAAATTTTTTGGTTTACTGTTTAAATTTTTTTCTTCAAGGGAAATTAGCCGAGCTGCAGGGAAGGCTGTGCCTGGAATCATTGATGAGGAGAGCAATGGAAACAACGCTCAGTAAGTGTGTTTTCTGAGACTACCTAAAGAAGATGTATTTGTCATTTTGAAGAGTTTTCTTTTTCAAAGTGAAAAGTTTTCATTTCTAATTATAAAAGTCATTCTCACACACACACAAAAAAAACAATTGGAACAGTTCAAAAGGAAGAAAATAGAAGTTCTCTGCTGTAAATGCATGCTCTTCTCCCCGCCCCAATAATTATTCTTAACAGTATTTAGATTTCTAGATTTTTTTTTTTAAGATTTATTTATTTATTCATTCAGAGAGAGCGAGAGAGAGGCAGAGACACAGGCAGAGGGAGAAGCAGGCTCCATGAAGGAAGCCCGATGTGGGACTCGATCCCGGGTCTCCAGGATCACACCCCGGGCTGCAGGCGGCTCTAAACTGCTGCACCACCGGGGCTGCCCTAGATTTTTTTTTTATATAAAAATATAGATAGGCACCATATCCTTTTAAATGACTAAATTGGAATTCTCCTAATTTATCTAGCCAGTCTCCTATTGTTGAACATTTGGGTCATTTATGATATTTTGCTTTAGTAGTTAAACCTAACATTTATTGAGCACATACCGTATCACAGGCGTGTGTGTGTGTGTGTGTGTGTGTGTGTGTGTGTGTGAGAGAGAGAGAGAGAGATAGAGATAGGCATTTTTACCTCACTTAATCATCGCAGTAACACACCAAGGTTATAGATAAGATAACAAGTTTAATTGCCCAAGCTCACTTGACTAATAAGTGTCAGAACTTAGTTTCAAACCTAGGCAGTCTGGTCTGGGGCCCGTATTGTTATTCTCCATATTGTTATTATAAACAGTTTTATACTTGTTACTATAAATAAAGCACATAGTGAATGTCTTTGTGCAATTTTTGTGCATTTATGCTAATATTTTAGTAAGGCTAGATTCTTTTTCTTTTTTAAAAGATTTTATTTATTTATTCATGAGAGACACACACAGAGAGAGAGAGGCAGAGACACAGGCAGAGGGAGAAGCAAGCTCCACACAGGGAGCCCGACATGGGACTTGATCCCAGGTCCCCAGGATCACGCCCTGGGCTAAAGGCGGCGCTAAACCTCTAAGCCACCGGGGCTACCTGGTTCCTGGTTTTGTTTTGTTTTTTTTTTTTAAAGATTTAATTAGGGCAGCCCAGGTGGCCCAGCGGTTTAAGTGCAGCCTTCAGCTCAGGTTGTGATCCTGGAGACCTGGGAGCGAGTCCCATGTCAGGCTCCCTACAGGGAGCCTGCTTCTCCCTCTGCCTGTGTCTCTGGAGTGTCTCTCTCTCTCTCTCTGTCTCATGAATGAATAAATAAAATCTTTAAAAAGAAAAAAAAAGGAAAGAAAGAAAGAAGAAAGGAAGGAAGGAAGGAAGGAAGGAAGGAAAAAGGAAAAAGAAAGGAAAATTTAATTATTTATTCATGAGAGACACAGAGAGAGAGAGGCAGAGACATAGGTAGAGGGAGAAGCAAGCTCCATGCAGGGAGCCCAATGTAGGACTCAATCCTGGGACTCCAGGATCCCACCCTGAGCCGAAGGCAGACGCTCAATGCTCAACCACTGAGCCACCCAGGGGTCCCTAGTAAGGCTAGATTCTTAGCATTAGAATCTCTGGGTCAAACGTTTGTTTTCCAATTGTCGCATTGCCAAATGTGGTATATTGCTAAATTGCCCTCCAGGTAGTTTGTAGCACTTACTGTCCCTATGAACTTGCTCCCTTTTCTTCTCTTCTCTTGTCAGCAGGGAGTATTCTAGTGAAAATGTTATCTCTTTTTTTAATTTGCATTTATTCGATTATTAAGTGGGATGGCCTTTATTTTTTAGTTTTTTAAAGATTTATTTGTTTATGATAGACATAGAGAGAGAGAGAGAGGCAGAGACACAGGAGGAGGGAGAGGCAGGCTCCATGCCGGGAGCCCGACGTGGGACTCAACCGCTGAGCCACCCAGGGATCCCCTGGGATGGCCTTTAAAGTCTTTTGGCTGATTGTATTTCTTCTGTGAATTTCGTGTTCACTATTTTTTGCCCATTTTTCTATTAATGGTTTCTCTTTTATTTATTTATAAGACCTACATGTGTTGTAAATATTTTTTCTGGTTTATTTTTCTCTTTTGAGCTATTTCACCTCATAGGAGTTGAACATTGTAATACATTAAAGCATATTATAAAAGTGTAGTAATGGAAATAACGTGGTACTGATGCAGAAATAGTGAGAAATAAGTAGATTAGAATCAGACTCAACATATATGAAAGATGAGGATTGTTTATAGTAAAAGTGACTTTTCAAATTATTAGAGAATGGATGGCATAATTGTGACTAAACATTTCAAAAAACATTTTCATTTCATAGCACACTCCTAAAATATATTTCAGATGGATTAAAATTTTAAATGTTAAAAAACTGAAACCATAAAAGTACTAAAAAATAGGTGAATATTTTATAATCCTTAGAGTAGGAAAGATTTTTCTTAGGATGAAATCAAGGGAAAGTCATAAAGGGGAAAAACGTGTAGCAACATACATCATAGAGTTAAACATTTTTGACATTCAAGAATCATAATATTTATTTATTTATTTATTTATTTATATTTATTTATTTATTTATTTATTTATTTATTTATTTATTTATTTATTTATTTATTTAAAATAGGCTCCATGCCCAGTGTGGAGCCCGGTTTAACTCTTTTTTTAAATAAAGTTTTTAATTTTAATTCCGGTATAATTAACATATAGTGTCATATTAGTTTCAGGTGTACAATATAGTGATTTAGCACTTCTTTGCAATCCTTGGTGTGCTTCCTAATAAGTGTCCTCTTTAATCCCCATCATCTGTTTCACCCATCCTCCCACACTTATAATCTAATTCTTAAGCCTTGTGTCAGCTTATCCAGTTGGTGTAGGTAAAAGAACTGTGGACTTGGAGGTAGAAGTTTTTATTTTCATGTCTTACTTGGCAGGGTGGCCCAGGCAAGTTATTCTTAGCTCCTGTTTTGATGTCTGTGTAATGAAGACAAAATGAATCTTACATAGTTGTTGGGAAACTCCAGTGAGGCCATACTTATAAAAGTGCTTTGCAGGCTACATGACAGTACCTTACCTGCTTTTGTGTTATTACGTCCTTGGTAATTGTGGTGAAAGGCAAATAGCTGGTTGATTGTTTCCTGGGTCATCCTGGAAGCAGCAGTTTCTGGGTGAGCCTTGAGATGTGGAGAACTAGTCCTGCTTTGTGTTTTGAAAAATCTTGACCTGTTGAAGTCTGAGGTTCTCATTTATCCCATTTTCTCTCATGTCCCTTTTCTGTCTCACTCAGCTGTAGCCACACTGACTTTGTTTGAGTTCCTTAAATATGCTAAGCTCATTCCCACCTTAGGGCCCATACATATGTGTTCCCCATCCCAGGAATACACTTTCCCAGCTATTTACCCCCCTCCCCCCCATCTTACTCATTTACATGTGGTTTGGAAAAATCTGCCTTATGCTTAAAGACTTATCAAAATGTCAGTCTGATTGGGACTCCTGGGTGGCTCAGTGGTTGAGTGTCTGCCTTCAGCTCAGGGTCTGATCCCGGGATCTGGGATCTAATCCAGCATTGGGATTTCTGCAGGGAGCTTGCTTCTCCCTCTGCCTGTCTCTCTCTCTCTCTCTCTGTCTCATGAGTAAATAAATCTTTAAAAAATATCAATCTGATTGATTTCTTAGTGATAATAAAAGAAATAGAGGAGTGTAAATAATAGCTGACAGTTTTCATCATATGACTCAAGTGTCTATTCTCCCTCCTTGAGGATCATCTCCTTGGAGTGCATTCGGGGAAAGTGTGGGGCCCTGACATCCATGTAACTATTTCTCCCACATCATGTTTCTTCGTCCATGGCAGCTGCTCATTTCTTTCTGCTTCTGGCCTGGGACCATGGCCTCTAGTCCCCTTTCCTGGGCTCTTGCGGGGGCAGGGCAGAAGGCAGAAGAGGGAGAATAGAGAACGTGGGGCAGGTGCCATTTCTCACCCACGATATGGCACAGAAGTCAGAGATGTAGGTTAGACTTGACGGAAGTGAGGGGGAAACTAACTCTGGAAGAAAATCATTTTAAACTTAGGATAAAAAGAACTTTCTCATGTTCTAAGAGAAAGGAAAATTCACATTGTCTTTAGGGAGCTCTTCATGAGGGCTTCTTCCCCCTACCAGTTTCTAACTTTTTGCTTTGTTATAAGATCCCTGTTTCTCCATTCAGAGAACACTTCTTTCAGTTACCTTTGCAGAGCTCCATCTTCTTTGAATAAAACCTTAGCCCCTCCAGCAGAGCTTGGCCACACCCCAGGGTCTGCACCCCACCCTTACCCCTCCATCCCACACCCTTTTTAGGAGTCTATTGCTAAGTGTTTGTTAGGACAGAGTGGGGAAGGAGGCCAAGGCAGGTGTATATAGGAGTGTCCCATGTCAGGGCTCTATTTTTTTTATTTTTATTTTTTTATTTTTTTTTAAATGTTTTTTTTTAAGATTTATTTATTTATTTATTCATTCAGAGAGAGCGAGAGAGAGGCAGAGACACAGGCAGAGGGAGAAGCAGGCTCCATGCAGGAAGCCTGATGTGGGACTCGATCCCGGGTCTCCAGGATCACACCCCGGGCTGCAGGCGGCACTAAACCGCTGCGCCACCAGGGCTACCCTGTGTTTTTTTTTTTTTTTTTTTTTTTAAGATTTTATTTATTTCTTCATGAGAGACACACTGAAGCAGAGACATAGGCAGAGGGAGGAGGCTTCCTGCCGGGAGCCCAATGTGGGACTTGATCTCAGGACCCCAGGGTCACAACCTGATGCTTGACCACTGAGCCACCTGGGCGCCCCAGGGCTCTATTCACATAAGTACTCAATGGGTAATGTGGCCTTTTAATGACAGCCATTCATATCTGGAGATGATACCATTCAGCTTTGGAAGGAAGAGGAAAATATTTACCTGGAAGACATTGTCATACAGAGCAGGCTCATTTATAGCTCTAGTTCATCTCTTAGATGAGGGCCCCTCTTCTTCCTCCTCCTCCAAGGGCTTTCTTCAGTTCTTCCAATTACAATCATTTACACATATGACTATAAGTTGTTAATTTGCATTCAGATTTTTTAAACACTTTATTAAACTAGTAGCTAGAGTTATACCAAATTTTGAGTCAACAAAGCTTAGAGAAATTTTGTGGATTTTATTTTTTGTGTTTATGATGTGATACCACCTCACACCTGTCATAATGGCTAAAATTAACACACAGGAAACAACAGATGGTGGTGAGGATGCAGAGAAAGGAGAACCTTTTTATGCTATTAGTGGGAATGCAAACTGGTGCAGCCATTCTGAAAAAACAGTATGGAGTTTCCTCAAAAAGTTAAAAATAGAACTACTTTATGACCCAGCAGTTGCACTACCAGGTATTTATCCAAAGAATACAAAAGTGACTGATTCAAAGAGGTGCTGGTTTCATGACATTCAGTGTGGCAGTCTGTTGTTTATAGCAGCATTATCAGCAATAGCCAAACTATGGAGAGAGCCCAAATGTGGTCCATTGACCAATAAATGGATAAAGTTGTGGTATATATATGTACAATGGAATATTGCTTGCCATCAGAAAGAGTGAAATCTTGCTATTTGCTGTTGATATGGATGGAGCTAGAGTGTTTTATGTTAACAAGTCTTTGAAAGAATGCCAAATACTGTATGATTTCACTTATATGTAGAATATAGGAAACAAAACAGATGAACATATGGGAAGATGAAAAAGAGAGGGAGGCAAACCATAAGAGACTCTTAATGGTAAAGAACAAACTAAGGGGTAATAGAAGGAGGTGGGTGGGGCATGGGCCTTAAGGAAGGCCTTGTTATGGTGAGCACTGGGTATTGTATGTAAGTGCTGAGTCACTAAATTCTACTCCTAAAACCAATATTACACTGTATGTTAACTAACCAAAATTTAAATAAAAATTTGAAAAAAAAAAAAAAAGGAGTAAAAGACATCCTCATCACCAGAGATAGGGACTTTGAATTTGAGAAAGCTATAGAAATAAACCTTGCTACGTTTTTTTTTTACTATTCTACTACCTCAGCCCAGATTCCACTTAGAATTCCTTATTAACTAAAGCTCCCAAATACCGGTTTTCTTTATCCTGTCAATTCCTCACACGTTTATTGTCTCTGTATAAAAACCTGCCTGCCTTGGTCATTTCTTTGGGTCTCAATTTCATTATTGAGCCTCCTTGTGTATGTAATAAAATTTGGATTTTTACTCCTGACCAAAACCCCCCCAAAAATTGTGTTTGATCTTGAATTGTTCAAGAAGCACTGAAATTATCTTTAAAATTTTTTTATTCATTTTTTAAAAATTTGAATGTTTCTTTAATTTCTTACAGGGCTCTCACCTTTGTCTATCCTTTTGGTGCCACATTGAGTGTCATGAAACCAGCAGTGGCTATTCTGTCCACAGGCTCTGTCTGTTTCCCGCTTAACAGACCCATTCTGGCTTTCTATCACTCGAAGGTACAGCCTTTTTTAGATGTGGGTGTATACATTATTTTTATTATTGAAATAATAAAAACTGTTTCCAGAGGGGTTTCATATGTTTTCTCGCTTGTCTTTACAACAGCCTTGTGAGGTAGTATTTTAATAAACTATGCTTTATTTATGAGGAAACAGCAAATTGTCCAGTAATCAGTGGACTTAAGACCTAAACCCAGCTTTTATCATTCTAAATCCAAATCTATTCCATGGTAGCATGAGGCTACCTATATTATAACTGTCTATGAGTACAGACTCTCACCCTTAGAGTAAGAGAATCCATTCAGGGAAAGGGTGAGTTAACACACTATACCAAAATGCACAGAATTGTGCTGCTGTTAATTTAGTTTGTCCCAGAGCAACATATCAGAAGACTCAGTTCTCATCCCAGAGACCCCACAAAATGTGGGAGCAGGTGGTCCCGGAGGACATAGCCCCCTCTCATTGTGACCCTACTTATCCACTGCCAAATGTGGGACTTGAGCTCTCATGATCCTGAGATTAAGACCTGAGATCAAGAGTTGGATGCTCAACTGAGTGAGCCACCCAGGTACCCCATCCACTGCTTTTTAATTCATGTTTTGCTGAATTCACCTTCATTTGTCTACCAAGACTTATAATTCATCAGCTGACCTCTCATTTTTTCTCTAGTTCTCACATCTATTTTTCTTTGTGGGATTTAGATATTACTTTTTCTTCCCATATTTAAAAGCTCTGACATCGTTTTATTAGGAAGTAGATAAATATCTATGCTGTATTTGAAAGATGATATTTAGACAAAATTCATAATAGTTATTATGGTATTAGTTTCTCCCAAAAAAACTGGAAATACTGTTTTAAAATTAGAGTAAAGTATTAAATGATTCAAGATGTGGAAATAATTGGTTTACATAAAATGTCAGTTTTAGTCACAAAAGTAATGAGACAACTATCCTAAGGGGTCTCTGGTAGTGTAATACTAGAACTATAATTATTTTTAATTTTTTAATTTATTTTTTTAGAGAGGATGGGAGAGGGAGAATCTCAAGCAGTCTCCACGCTCAGCATGGAGCCTGATGTGGGAAGGGGCTCGATCTCACAACTCTGAGAGAATGACCTGAGCTGAAAATGAGCTGGATGCTTAACTGAGCCACCAAGACACCCCTATTATTTTTTAGTTTTTAACTGTGCACAGAGATTTTACCTGGCTTCATCAGTGGATTTTTATGAAACATCCTTTAGGTACAGAATTCTATACTATGATGATTCTTCTAGAACTCCTGAGATTATCATCTGCCCATTGCCTAGCTATTTAAAGCCTGTTTTCTTTTCCTAAGAAGCTTTTATTTTAAACATTTTATATATTTATTTTGAGAGAGAGAGCACCTATAAGTGGTGGGAGGAGCACAGGGATAGGGGAGACTTTCAAGCAGACTCCTTGTTAAGCACAGGAGCCTGATGTAGGAGATCCCAGGACTGCAGATCAGGAGATCATGATCTGAACTGAAATTAAGAGTTGGATGCTCAGCCATTCAATTGACTGAGCCCTCCAGGCACCCCTCCTAACAAGCTTTTAGTCTTGCCTTATAAACACAATCTTTTAGAGAGGTGTTTGCCTGTCACTTTTAAGTTTGTGAAATAAACCAGTGATGCCTGAGAGGGCCCACTCCCATACTCCTGGAAACCCCGGTGGGATAAGGCTAGCCTGGGGTTGGGGTGTGTGCTCCGCTTCCTTGCCCTGGGCCATTGCCTTCTTGGGCCTGTCCTGATCCTATCTAGGTCTTAGTTTGCTGGGATAAGCTCATTAATACGGAAAGAACAAAAGCAGTCCATGGTATATATATTATTATTTAACTGAAATAAATTATAGACAAAAGCTGGAAAAGGAAGCTGTAGACAGTGATAGAATCTCTGCCCAGAAGAAAAGGATTAAAGGAAGATCTATGGGGCAGCCCAGGTCGCCCAATGGTTTAGCGCTGCCTTCGGCCCAGGGGGTGATCCTGGAGACCCCGGTTGAGTCCCGGTCAGGCTCCTTGCATGGAGCCTGCTTCTCCCTCTGCCTGTGTCTCTATCTCTGTCTCTCTCTCTCTGTCTCTCATGAATAAATTAAAAAAATATATTTTTAAAAAAATAAAGGAAGGTCTATAGTCTATTTGAGATAAATGAGGTAGGGGAAAAAAAGAATATTAAAGAAAAAATATAGACCTAATTGTGGAGAGTAGTGAAAATTTACTTTTTTTTTTAATTTTTATTTATTTATGATAGTCACAGAATGAGAGAGAGAGAGAGAGAGAGGCAGAGACACAGGCAGAGGGAGAAGCAGGCTCCACGCACCGGGAGCCCGATGTGGGACTCGATCCCGGGTCTCCAGGATCGCGCCCTGGGCCAAAGGCAGGCGCCAAACCGCTGCGCCACCCAGGGATCCCGAAAATTTACTTCTTTACTTACATATGTGGGTTCACATCGCACGCTTGAATTCATTCAACACTCTTCATTCGTTCTGTGGGATTCCACCAAATTCTCTTCCTGTTCTCAGTAACTGATGTGCTTTCAATGGTTATGTTATAGTAATAGTGTTATTTTTCCTGTGAACCATTTGCTTTTAATGTGGCACAAGTCACAGTTTGTTTTGCCAGTCTTGTTTTTTATGGAATTTGTGTATCTCTTGACATCTCTGGCTTGAGAATAATCCATTCCTAGCACATCACAGCAGTGCCTATTCTCTGTATGTGGTGTTGCTAGAAAAACTGAATTTATTTTTCGTTTTAACGTTTCACTGTTTTTTTCATTACAAAAGTAATTTATGCTCTATTATAGAAAAATTGAAAAATACAGAGATGAAAGGGGAAAAAAGTATCTCTCAGTACAAAACTGACATTTTGATCATTTTTTCCCATTTTTTTCTTACAGCTCATGTTTGTTTATTTGCCTCACGGTTTAAGTTAGAGTGGCTGAATAATTTATGGCTTCCTTTTTTTTTTTTTTTTTGACCTCATGTTAACAACAACAACAACAAAAAGCAACAAAAGCACCTCATGTTATGACAGAAGCTTTCTTTCAGGTTACTGAAAACTCTTTATAACATAACTTCACCACTGGAGGAGGTTCCCTTATTCTTAACCACTTTTTCTGTGGCTGAACATTTCAATTTATTTCTAACTTTGTGTGATTATGACTGTGAAATTGTCCATAGAGTGTTGTATGCTTGTTGATAACGTTGACTGTTTCAGCAATGTGTGAAAGAACTTATTTCACTGAAACCTGGCTGACACTGTTTGCAGTCATCTTTTTCATATTAATCTAATAGGCAAAAATACATTGTTTTGATTTTTTTTATTGTTTTGATTTTTTAAGTTACTAATTAAATTTTTTTCTTGTTAACTAGTTATTTCTTTTGTGATTTTTCTTTTTTTTTTTTCCATTTTTGAGAGAGAGAGGAGAGGGGCAGAGGCAGAGGGAGAGCGAGAATCCATGCTGGGTACGGAGTCTGACGTGGGGTTCCATCTCATGAACCCGAGATCATGACCTGAGTCGATGTCAAGAGTTGGACACTTAACCCAAGCGCCCTCTTCTGTGACCTTTCATGCTTGGGGATTAGTTTTTTATTTGGATGTTAAGTAGTGTCTTTTGATTCTCATAAAATATCTTTAAATCTTTACAGATTACCTTTGTATAATCTTCATTTCTAAGTTAACTGGGAAAATGCTGTAGAACCAATTCACATTGCTTTTTGTTAAAGTCAAATAGAAGGATATAGAAGTATCTAAAATGAGAAGCAGTTGAGAATATGGTTGCTATCATAGTTGATATTTCTAGATCATTAAAATCCTGATGTGAATTGGTACTTAGTATGGATAGTTGCTCGCATGATTCTGATGATAAGTTTTTGGGGTCTAGGATGCATTTTGGGTGGTGCATTTTGGGATCTGAGTATCTGACACTGCTTTTTTATCAACAGAACCAAGGTGGGAAGCTGGCAGTCCTTGGCTCATGTCACATGTTCAGTGACCAATATTTGGATAAAGAAGAAAACAGCAAAATCATGGTAGGTTCTTCTCTTTCATTACATTAATGTATATTGTGTATGATTTTCATGTTGTTAAAAAAAATACTGCTAAGGTAATCTATTCATTTAAAATCAGATCTTCGGGGATCCCTGGGTGGTTCAGCGGTTTGGTGCCTGCCTTTGGCCCAGGGCACCATCCTGGAGTCCTGGGATCGAGTCCCACATAGGGCTCCCTGCATGGAGTCTGCTTCTCCCTCCGCCTGGGTCTCTGCCTCTCTCTCTCTCTCTCTTTGTGTCTATAATAAACAAACAAACAAACAAACAAATCTTTTAAAAAAAAATCAGATCTTCAGGGACATCTGGCTGGTTCAATCAGAACATAGGACTTTTGATCTTGGGGTCATGAGTTCCAGCCTCACATTGGGTATAGAGATTACTAAAGAAAAACAAAACCAAACAACAGCAACAACAACACCTCACAAACTTTAGAAAAATAAAAAATAAAACCAGCTCTTCAGAACTCATTATATGTCTGGCACTAAGAATACAGTTGAGTCAGGAATAGGGCCTCATTTGAAAACATTTATAGTACATTGAGAGGCAGCATGAGAGACAGAGATGTAAATTTAGAAGGATGTGGTGAATGTTTTTAAGCATGCCATCTTGATGTGGAAGCCAATCCTGGAGGAGAGTTGAGGAGCAGGCTCAACCAGGGCCTCACATGTAAAGCCTAGGAGCTTGAACTTCCTGCAGAAAGCTATGGAGAGCCCTTGTAGAGTGTCCAGCAACCTTGGGCATAGTCAGATCTGTGTTTCAAAAAGACTCCTCTCTTAGGCATGTGGAAGGTGAGAGGGAAGAGGCAGCCTGGAGCCAGTTAGGAGGTTGGCAGAGTCAGCCATCCAAGAGAAGATGGTGACCTGAGTGAAGATAGTGAAGGCAGGAATGAGGGGAGGGACCAGCTGGCACGAATTGGATTGGGAGGGCTTTTGACAGAACTGGTCACTGGTTGATGTGGGAAATGAGGTGAAAGCACTGCAGTTGCCTATCAGCATAATGTGAAGGAAACATCTTTTGAAGGATGACAGATGGCACATACCAGAGCTGGACATTGGTGTGATTCTGGTGACTCACTTGCCAGAGAAAGAAGGTCCTATTGAACCTTTTCATTAATGAACAAATTCCCTCAGCCCTTTAAGGCTGTATTATATTGAGAGATTGATTAAGATCTTGTTTCTGCAGAATCCACATGAAATTCTGGTGTCCTAGACACATTCTAGGGGCGTCTAGATAGAGTCTACTCTGCAAATTTAGACTGTCATCACATTTAAGGAGGGGTGGTTTTGGGAATATGAGCAAGTTTTAATACATTTTGGCCTGTAATTAGAGGTGAAAGTACCTTAAGATAAATGCTCAATTTCCAATAGTAAAAGTGGCATTAGGGTTAGGAAAACTTTGACATTTTCATATGATTTCACCAAGAGAAAAGTGGCTACTGTTTTTTAAAACACTGCTGTATAGTATCCTTCCTTTTATCATTTTTTCCTGATTGATTTAATTTTCTAGTTCTGCCTTGGTTTTTCTCAAGTAACCAAGTGTCTAATTCTGTGTTTATCTTTTAAACCCAGGATGTTGTTTTCCAGTGGCTCACAACGGGAGACATCAATCTAAACCAGATCGATGCTGAGGACCCAGAGGTAGGGACTGTGAATCATTAAAAAACTTTAAAGGCAAAAATTTGGGTTCAGACTCTCAGCACCGCTTCCAACAGTTTCAAAGGCATATGTATCTCTTACTTTATCTGTAAGACAGATGGAAAGAAGTGATGCTTTGGGAGGTGATGAAGGTCACATTATAAGAAATAATAAATTATGCAATTGGTTGGGATGGGAACCTCATTCTATGTATATGCTCCCTGGGCAAACTTTCAAAATCATTATCTGTAGAGAAGTAATTCAGAAATATGAAGGATATAAAAATAAGTTTTCATGAATAAACAAAGATCATCAGAATTTAAGTTTTATTTTTTTTTATTTTTATTTTATTTATTTATGATAGGCACACAGTGAGAGAGAGAGAGAGAGGCAGAGACATAGGCAGAGGGAGAAGCAGGCTCCATGCACCGGGAGCCTGATGTGGGATTCGATCCCGGGTCTCCAGGATCGCGCCCTGGGCCAAAGGCAGGCGCTAAACCGCTGCGCCACCCAGGGATCCCCAGAATTTAAGTTTTGAACTATAATTTTGGTGTTTTGAGGAACAACAGTCCTAAAGGCATTAGGATCCTACTTATCAGATGATAGAGAGTGAGACCAGCATGGGATTAGGGCCAGTAACCTGCTTCCAAGTCTCGTTCTACTCTGACCCTTGGACCTTAAGCAGGCTATTTGTGACCTTTTTTCATCCTGATTTTCTCATCTGTGAAGTGGGGATACTAGTACCTGTGCTCCCTGTCTCACAGGATGGTTGTGAGGCCTCATTTAGTAGAAGTATACTTACTTGTTAAATTAAAAGGTGTAGGAAGTAATATAGCTGTCAGAATTTTTTAAATTCTTATATTTATTATATACAGGCCCCATGTATCATATACCTTCACATAAATCAACTTATGCAATCCTTACAGTAGCCTTGGGAAGGAGAGGGTCTTATTCTCATTTTAGAGTTGAGGGAATGGAAATTCCCCAAGATTGCAGTATGCCCAAATAACAATTGACTGCAGAGTTTGACCCAAATCCAGCTCTCCTCATTCAAAATCTGCTTGTTCTATAATTGCTTCTCTTTCTTTCTTTCTTTTCTTTTTCTTTTTCTTTTTTTTTTTTTTTAAGATTTATTCATTCATTTGAGAGAGAGAGATATCATGCACAGGCGAGAAGGGCAGAGAGAGAGAGAGAGAGAGAGTGTCCTAAATAGACTCCCCGCTGAGCACAGAGCCCCATGCAGATCTCAGAGACCACAACCGCAGCCGAAATCTAGAGTCAGATGTTAACTGACTGAGCCACTTGGGCGCGCTGCTTCTCTGTGTCTTAAACTCTGAAGTGTCAGGAAAATGATTTCCTTGCTGTGAGAAACAGGGAGTGGGTGAGAAGAGAGTCAGAAATGGTGGCCTACTGCCAGCTTCCTCCCTCAGCTGAGGATGTGGCCTCCCCAGGACTGACTTGGGTTAGGTAACAGGAACCCCATGTCTAAAATATCACCTCATATGGAAACATGAAATGTATATTTTGCTTAAATTCCTCCTGAAAAGTGATGTAAGCCCCTAAGTAAAAGAATTGGAGCATAGTCAGAATTCGCTTTTCAGATCTCACAGGATCCAACTCTTGAGTGGATGGTGACCTTGTCAGCTGCCAATCCTAGTTAGCCTGAGGGGAGCCAAAGGAAGCAGCGCTAAGACATGAGGCATCTGCTCCTGGTCTTTGTGGCCGCCTTGCTCCTCCCAAGTTTCTGTCATTCCTATTTTCTAGGTGAGGAAATGGAAGTGGGTACACTCCTCAAGGTCCCTGCCAAGATTGATACCTGGCCAGTCATTCATTACTAATGTCTGTGTTGGGCTGATTCTGGAGACTGTGCCTTTTCTGCCACTCTTGTGTTTACTGTGTTCCACCTGTGACACCAGACTGGTTCAGAAAGGAAGTGTCAGTAGGGTGCCAGAGGAGGGTGGTGCTTCGCTGAGACCTTTCTCTAAAAGCACGTGATTTCGTGAATCTTCTGCACAGGAGACCTGGTGCAAATGTTGTGTTGTAAGGCTTTGGAAAGGAAAATGCTGGACCCAGTCATACCACAAAGTAAGAAATTCTGAAAATCCAGAGTTCCTATGATTTCAGATCAAATCTTATGTTGGAATGGGTTTCAGACCCAAATGGCAGTTCAGTTTCAAATGAGACTTTATAAAATGGTAGCTCAGTAGAGAGCTAAGAGGATTTCTGTGACAAGTTTTAACCTCCAAATCTGCCAGGAAATCACAAAAAACAGTGATCTTGGGGGAGTACTCTTATGTTTCTGTTTGGATGTCTAAGGCCTTGATGGTTTCCTGAACTAGGATTGTGCAGACATGTGAACCAGCCTCAGGACCTTTGGGACTGCTGGGATCTCACCTTACCCATCTTTCTGCTGCACTTGGGTGTGTGTCCTGACATGGTCCGCACCTCTGCTGCTGTTCTCACCTTCAACCCCCATCTTGTTAGTAGGGTGAAGCCTCTGACACAGACAAATATTGCAGGGAAAAGCAGTTGTTTATTTATATTCTTCTCCTGTTTCTTAAATTAAAAAAAGGTTTAAAGATCAGGGAAGGTTTTGACTCTTGGGATATAGAAAAAAGTGAGTCTGTCTGCATAGACTTATTTCTGTGATGCTCAGGCATGTCTCCTCCCATGCTGGCAGTGGAAGATGTAGAACACACTGTCGCAGGGACCTCCAATTAGGAATAAACTTCTTGTTGCTAGCATGCATTTAAAGTTAAATGTAGGGCAGTCCAGGTGGCTCAGCAGTTTAGCACCGCCTTCAGCCCAGGGCGTGATCCTAGAGACCCGAAATCGTGTCCCATGTCGGGCTCCCTGCATGGAGCCTGCTTTTCCCTCTGCCTGTGTCTCTGTCTCTCTCTCCGTGTCTCTCATGCATAAATAAATAAAATCTTTCAAAAAAAAAAGTAAAGTTAAATGTACTTTTTGAGTAGGTAATGCATTCGCAGTTTGGAATTCAAAAGCATACACATTGCCTGACTACTTTGTTCCCCTCTCCAGTGACAGTAATCTTAGCTGTTTCTTGTATGTTCTGACAAAGATATTTTATACATATATAAGTAAATAAATGGGGATCCCTGGGTGGCGCAGTGGTTTGGCGCCTGCCTTTGGCCCAGGGCGCGATCCTGGAGACCCGGGATCGAATCCCACGTCGGGCTCCCGATGCATGGAGCCTGCTTCTCCCTCTGCCTGTGTCTCTGCCTCTCTGTCTCTGTGACTATCATAAATTAAAATTAAAATAAAAATTAAAAAAAAATAAGTAAATAAATGTGTGCATGGATCTCATTCCCTCTTGTTTTACACAAATGGTACTGTATATACTATGTGTGTTCACCACCACCTAATTTTTAAAATTAGCAATATGTCTGAGATGTTTCCTTATTTCTAAAGAGCTTTCTTTTGATTTTTGTTTGTTTTGTTTTTTTTAAGACTGTATTTTCCATTGTTTGTACTGTAGAATATTTAACCAGTCTCCTATTGATGGACGTTTAGGCTTTCCTGGTCTTTTACGGTTACGAGCACAGAGCATGTGTCATCATTAAGGGCTCTCAGCAGTGCTGGAAGCATGTCCTTGGCTAGGTGAGAGGGGTTGGGATCTAGTGTCCGAGTGGAAGGGTCATCTGTTCTGGGCTCATAGGCGGTTCACACCTGTAGCAAGAGAGGAAGCCAAGTGTCTGGCCTCGAAGTTGGTGGGTGGAGTCAGCTGTAGTGGGAGCTTGTGGACTGTCATTTATGATTGTTTCTATTTTCTCACTGAGGTAGAAAATAAGGTCATCAGCCCCAGAATTAAGAAAGGGAAAGTTGTTTGAGATGGCTGAAGTGACAAAAGGAGGGCATTGCCGAGAATAATGACTGCTGAACACTCAAGATCAGTGATCATGAAATTAAAAGGAGGCAGCGTGCTTGTTTCTCCAGCTGTGCTCAGTACTGCATGAGGAATTACAGAGTTGGATTTAGCCAGCATTGCAGTTTAGCCAAGTGACTTTTGTTCCTCTTTTCACATGAAGTGGCTTATTTAAGGTTTAGTTTCTAGTGACCAGGAACAGATTTAGATGAAATTTTTACTCTTGCTGTGCTGTGTGAACCCTCTTGTGGCTTTCAGATTTCTGACTACATGATGCTGCCCAACACAGCCACCCTGTCAGAGCGGCTTCGAGTGTGTCTCCAGGAGGGCGATGAGAACCCAAGAGACTTTACCACCCTCTTCGACCTGTCCATTTACCAGCTGGATACCACTTCCCTCCCCAATGTCATCAAGTCAGTACCTATACCTCTTGGAGCTGCCCTGCACTCCATTCTGAGCATTTGGTTTAAAAATGTGAGCCTGGGGATAGAGGTTAGGGTCATGGCATATGTGGTATGTAAAACAAGTTCTCAGATCTGTGATGAAGTCGACAGAGATAGCTGGGAAAATTGGGGTGGGAGGTGATGGAGAGGAAACTGCCAGCAATTGTTAGTCGCCTGTTGTGTTCTAGGCTCATATTAGGCACTTATGGTGACCAAATTGTTCTGGTTTGCCTGGGACTTTCCTGGTTTCAGCACCCAGGATCCCATGCCCCAGGAACCCCCAGTAAACTGAGTTGGGTGGGCAAGGTGCCTGCAGGCACCACACATTGTTACTTCACTTTGTCCTCTGTTATTTCATTTGTTATTTCATTTGTCCTCTGAATCACCTGCCACATTTTCACCTGAGGAAGGCAGTTCAGGGGGTCAGGTATTCTCCCAAGGTGGGAGCCTGAATGCTTTCCAGACCTGGGCTTGTCCCTGTTTGATTGCCTGCTCATCATTGTCCATTCCTAATAACAGGCAGAGACAGAGGCCAACATCCTTCAGCCTGGCATGGCATCTACGTCTGGATGAACCAAAGGCTGAGTTCAGCCTTCTTGCTGCTCTCTTTATGTTAAAGTTCTCCAAATACTGACTGAGCTCCTCCTGTGCCAGGCACTGTGTCCAAAGTTAAATGGTTTTTTAGAGGTGATGGATGGAGGCTGTGAGGCAGGGTTACCGTATTGATGCTAAGTGTGAAATAAAACCTGGAGACTATGAACACAATGAAGAGAGAATTTGACTCGGACTCTGGTGATCAGGGAAGGCTTGATGAAAGAGGGGCTCTTTTAGCCAGCCATTGATTATCTCAACAAGCATTTCTGGGGGCCTGTGTTTGCCTGGCATGATGCTGGGTGCTGCACCATCAGGGGTGCAGAGGCTTCAGGAGTTGGCAGGGATGCCCAGAGAGAGTTGGGCAATGAGTTGCTTCTATGAGCAAAGCCCGTACGTATAGGTGTGTCCAGGTAAGTTTATTTCTAATTGCCCTTTGAACTGCATGTAGCTTTGGCTTCCAACGCCAACTTAGTAATAGTTGAAAACTTGGTCCTCTGAAGTCCCCTGCAATAATTTGTTCTGTGTTCTCCAGCCAGCACTTGAGACACGCCTGAGCAATACAGAGCCTGAGCATTACAGAAACAAGAAGGCAGGGCAAACAGCCGGAGGCTCAGGGCAAAGGCCAGAGTTGTGAATGGATGCTAGAAAAGACCTCTAAAAGAGGGTCATGATTGAATCTGTGTTTTCTGAAACCAGACAAAATGATACTTTGTAGCAGTTTATACCATGAATGTGAAAATAGAAAAAATAGAAGTGAAGAAACCAGCTAGGAGACTGTTAACAGCAGATTGGAGGCTTGAGAGGCGGGATGGTGGGAGCAGTCGCTGTGGTTTCAAGAGATGTTTGGTAAGAAAGAATCAGGAGCCTTGGAAGTCTATATGGTCAGACCAGAGACAGGGTTTTCCCCCTCGGGAATCTTTGCTCCAGGTGGAACTGCTGCGTGGCGCTCAGGATGTGGGGAGAGGAGAGAGAAATGAGTTCTGCTCCACCTCCATCTGATGTGGCTGAGAGGTTGCCTGTGAAGATGCAGGTGGAACTACCAGTATAGATGCTGAAGCAGACTAGATAAGGTGATTAGAGAAGTGGGGGGGAGGGGCTGGAGATGCTCAGGGACAGCACTGGAGTGGGGATTGGGCGAGAGACTGGGCCTCACAGCTGCCCTGGCTTTTGAGGCAGGAGAGGAGGCGGGCCTTTGCCAAGCTAGGGAAAAGCAGTAGAAGGGCAGGGGAGTGTGAGCCGCAGCAGAGTCCCTCGAAGCCAGGGGACGGAAAAAGACTGGAAAGCAGGGCGGTCTGGAATGGGCCTGGGGCTCTTCCTCCTCTGTAGTCTGTGCTTTTCTCGGAATGACAAGGCACATCAGGCTGCTACACTAGCCAGTTACAGTCAAATCAGCTTCGGCCTTTAGCCTCTGTGTCCTTCTCTTCTGATGCGGTTTATTTTATTTATTTATTTATTTTTTAATTTTTATTTATTTATGATAGGCACACAGTGAGAGAGAGAGAGGCAGAGACACAGGCAGAGGGAGAAGCAGGCTCCATGCACTGGGGGCCCGACGTGGGATTCGATCCCGGATCTCCAGGATCACGCCCTGGGCCAAAGGCAGGCGCTAAACCGCTGCGCCACCCAGGGATCCCTCTGATGCGGTTTAGATCAGGTCATTGTGACTGTTATTCAGCATTGAATGCAGGATTATTTTAGTGCCAGCAGAGTCAAGTAGTAGATATTTTGGAGCTTGGAGGACTCTTTTAATTGTATTTGTCTTTCATTCCATAGCAAAGGACAGTAGTTACAAGCCAGTTTCTATATGGTGCTCCTAGGTAATCGTATTTGCCAGTTACAACTTTTGAATGCAGTGTCTTTTCTGTGAGTAAAAATTCAATTAGTCTTTATTTATGTCGTCTGTAGAATGTTATTCTGAAATAACTTCATTTGTCCTGTTATGCCCAAGATTGCGAATCCGAGAAACCACCAAGGAGTCGACACTGATGCAAATGCACGAGGGTTTATTTGCAAGCTCGAGCTTGGTTCCAAGTATACCCGACACAGCAGAGCAGGGACTTGGACCCCGAGGCTAAGAAGCATAGCAGCTTTTTTTTTTTAAACATTTTATTTATTTATTCATAGAGACACACACAGAGAGAGAGAGAGAGAGGCAGAGACACAGGCAGAGGGAGAAGCAGGCTCCATGCAGGGAGCCTGATGTGGGACTCGATCCTGGGTCTCCAGGATCACACCCTGGGCTGGAGGCAACGCTAAACCCTTTGAGCCACCAGGGCTGCCCAGCATAGCAGTTTTACAGGGGCCCGTGGCCAATGAGATTGTAACACACACAGAAAGTTGTGCAGTCACGTAGGTCCACACACAGGTGGCCAGTTGAATTACATTTTACCCTATAGTATCCATTTGAACTGGCCTATTACTCTGGTCAGAATTGGCATGTAGTTTTGGTGGGCAAAAGGCAGGGTTACACATTTTTTTATGACCTAGTTTCTGGTAAGGGTATGCTCAGCGGCTTGACTAGGGTGGGGGTGTGCCTTAAGCAGTAAGCCAGTTTTTGGTAAGGGTTATACATGAGATGGTGGGTGTAGCACGAAATGGAGTTAGTCCTGCTCTGCTTGTCCAGGGGCAGGGGATTTTTGTTAAATTTCCTGGGTCCCACAGTCCATCTGGTATTTATTGATGCCTGTAAGGGTGAGATGGAGACAGTGTGGAGTCCTTGCCTTCTGGGTTCAGGGGCTGATGATTTGGGTACTGAGACCCAGAGTGAGGAGTGAGGTGCTACAGGTCAGGCCAGAGTGTTTTGGAAATAGCTTTCCGAAATTAGGTTTTCTTGTTTTATCTATTTATTCATGAGACACAGAGGGAGGCAGAGACACAGGCAGAGGGAGAAGCAGGCTCCTCACAAGGAGCCCGATGTGGGAGTGGATCCCGGATCCCAGGATCAGCCCTGAGCCAAAGGCAGATGCTCAGCTGCCGAGCTACTCAGGCGTCCTGGGTTTTCTTGGTTTTAAGATTAGTTTCTCCACTCATCCCCTATCCCCATCAGGCATGCACGTTGGTTAATAGGAAGATTTGGGCAGGTGGTGAGCTGAGCAAGAAAGGGAAGAGGCAACGGAATTTGTTTTATTATTCACACGGGTCTTCAGTATAGCTGACTCCATCTGGGGACAGAAAGAAAGTCACAGCTGGGATGGCAGAGGCCAGGCTTGGCAGCAGGATTCTTTGTGTGCCAGTGGTAGTACCTTTAGCTTAGATACTGCCCCTAGCAACATTCTGCCTGCAGTATAGACCAAGTCCTTGGGTCCCTGGTTGGCAGGGATTGGCTGGCTCAGAGTTCCAATCTTGCCATTGTCCCTTTTTAACCAGGTGACCTTGGGAAGCTATTTCATCTCTATACCTCTGCTTCCTCTTCTATAAAAGATTATACCCACTGTCTAGGGTTGTTTTGAGCATTAAGTGAGATAAGTTTCCGTGCCTAGCACAGAGTCAGGCATTATATGTGGCATGTAACAGGTACTCATGTAACTAACTGTTCACTCCATAGGGATCTTCTGCACTGCTAAGCTTCTCCCCAGGCACCTGGGAATAGTGGAGGAGATGATGGCAATAAGCTCACCGAATGGCTTTCTGTGGTCACAGACCTTTTTCCTTTCTAAAATCACCCATCCATAGAAGCAGGCATGAACTTTGTTCACACCTGTTGGCATTTCCTTGTTCAACTTAATTTTAAAAGGTCACAAATGGGGTCACAAATGGGGGCTCCTGGGTGGCTCAGTGGTTAGGCGTCTGCCTATGGCTCGGGATTGTGGTCTCAGGGTCCTGGGATCAAGCCCGGCACCTGGCTTCCTGTTCTGCAGGGAGTCTGCTTCTCCCTGTCCCTCTGCCCCTCCCCACCATGTTCTCTCTCTCAAGTAAAAAAAATCTTTATAAAAAATAAAAAATAGGGGCAGCCCTGGTGGCTTAGCGCTGCCTTCAGCCCAGGGTGTGATTCTGGAGACCCGGGATCGAGTTCCACGTCGGGCTCCCTGCATGGAGCCTGCTTCTCCTTCTGCCTGTGTCTCTGCCTCTCTCTCTCTTTCTCTGTGCGTCTCTCATGAATGAATAAATAAAATTAAAAAAATAAATAAAAATGAAAAAATAAAAGTCACAAGTAGTTTAAATTAGGTGAGTACATTCTAATTTGCCTCATTCCCTGAGAAGTTAAGCCAGCTTACAAAATTATGTATAGTACAAAAGGATAAAAGGGAAGTTTGAGAGAATGGAGGCAGAGGGGAAGCCACAATCAAAAGGAAACATGAGGTAAGGTCAGCACTTGACTCTGTGAACCCCTCACTAGCACTGTCCCCCTGCTGTAGCCACTCTGGCTACCCCAAGATCCTGTGAAAATCCTCATACCTTTACTCTTGCATCTGCCTGTGATACTTGTGAAAGTAAGTACAGGGGGATCCCTGGGTGGCGCAGCGGTTTAGCGCCTGCCTTTGGCCCAGGGCGCGATCCTGGAGACCCGGGATCGAATCCCACGTCGGGCTCCTGGTGCATGGAGCCTGCTTCTCCCTCTGCCTATGTCTCTGCCTCTCTCTCTCTCTCTGTGTGACTATCATAAAAAAAAAAAAAAAAAAAAAAAAAAAAAAAAAAAAAAAAAAAAAAAAGTAAGTACAGGACTTCCTCCTTTCACTCAGGGCTTATCTGACAGGCTGTACCCCATGCTTCCTCCCTCTCTATCCCTCCCTCCTGGTTTTTCCTTTTAATACATATTGATACTGGCATCTTGGGTTTTGTTTATTGTGTGTCTCTCCTCTAGTAGAATGTAAGTTCATGAGGGCTGCCTTGGTCTCTTGTCACGGTTGCTGTTCTCTTGGTATAAAACTACCTGGTGCATAATACATATTCAGTAAATACTTGCTGAGTAAATGAGCACACAGAAGTGTATGTTAGAGGGGCACCTGGTTAGCTCCGTTGTAAGAGCGTCCAACTCTTGATATCAGGGTCATGAGTTTCAGCCCCATGTTGGGTGTTGAGATTACTAAAAATTAATTAATTAAAAAAAGAAGAAAGAGAAAGAAAGAAGTGCATATTGTACAGATCTGTTCAGTTGCTAGAAGCAGACTTCAGATTTGACCCCCTTCTCTTGATTGTAAAAACAAGGAAACAGTTATAAGGTTCGCACTGTACATTGGGTAAAAATAAAAAGCCTGTTTAGAAGCCTGATATGAAACTTGAAAGAACTTTCCCTTCAGTTCTCAATATAGTCATACCATATGATACACCAGAGAAGATTTATGAAAGGATCATTACATGTAACAATGTATTTTGTGTTTTTCTACGAAAGTGTTGAACCACCTGATTTGATGGAAAAAAGCACAGTGCAGTCAGTTAGATTTGCTTTGCCACAGTGTCTCACGTTGACCCCTGCTTTTTTGTCTTCTTATTAACACAGGGCCCATGAACAGCTGAACGTGAAACATGAACCTCTCCAGCTCATCCAACCTCAGTTTGAGACGCCACTGCCAGCCCTTCAGCCAGCGGTGAGTAGGTGTGCCTGGGGGATCCTGCTACAGAACCCAACTCTTTGCCCTTACCTTGCCAACTGGGCCATGGGTCTTTCCAACATGGGTCTTTCCTTCAAACGTGTATACGTACGTATACCCTAAATGTATGGCACATCTCATGAAATCATGTTTCTCTGGCTCTGAACATGCAAAGACCAAACCATTATTCTGTAAGGCCTTCCACTGGTTGTAGCTCCCAACTGAGAAATCAAAATCATGGACTTTTGTGGCTGTTAAAAGCATTTCCCACCTTGTGTAGTTGGAGGGCATATATGGTATGAGAAATCCTGGGTGAAATGGAGGAAAGGCTGTGCACTGCTGCTTTCTAGCTAGCAGGTGCTCAGATTCATAGCACAGTCTGTAGCCTAGCGGTGGGCACACGTGCACAGGTTACTTTCAACATTCCAGTCAGCAGGAACTCAACTTACCATCAAAACCATCCTATCCCACCACATTTTGGAATGTTATGAGCTGCTTGGCTTCATTTTGGTAGCTTTTGAAATTGGCCATGGTGGAAGATTTACATTGCAGAAAATGACAAAGGCTATAGAGCAGGCCTATGTTCTATTGTCTTGGAAGCTGATAGTGAAACATTTCTCAGCACACCACTGACTCATATCTGCAAATTCTGGCACCAGGTTTAGCACTTTCTACATGAATCTACATCTGGTTCCCAATTTTTGTCCTTTACGAACTCAAGGTTAAATGAGAAACACATTGTACAATCAAGTATTCAGCACAGATAAGCCTAATCAGCCCCAAGCTTTTGTCCTTGCTCAAGTTAATGCGCACTGGTATGTCAGTTTGATTGATTTAGATTGATTTAGCAGTGCTTTAGTTTAATGCTGGCTCTGCTTAGTTGTTTATAATGGACTAGTTGTCTCGCTTGATATGGTCTAATGGGTTAGGGCAGAAGGAGGTGATGGGCATTTAGGTGGTTCATCCCAGGGAGGAGCTGAGTTTGGCCTCTCATTTCCCTTCCATCTTATCACTGCCAGTTATGGCACATGTTCTTTCATGAAAGACCTTATTTCCTTTCAGGTTTTCCCTCCCAGTTTCAGAGAATTACCACCTCCTCCACTGGAGCTATTTGACTTAGATGAGACGTTTTCTTCTGAGAAGGCCCGCCTTGCTCAGATTACTAATAAATGTAAGTTTGGCAAAGTTTTTGTTTGTTTTCTTTTGTAAGTTTTACTTAATTGTGAACTTCTGAGGTTTTTCATGAGAGAAAGCTAGAGTTTGTTCAGGGAGAATAAAATATGAATGGTGGTGTAAAATGATAGTTTCTGTTTGTTTCATGTAAGTGATGTTGATTGTTTCTCTCGGGCCAGTTAGTTCAGTGAGTTAGAACATGGTACAAAGCAGAGGCTGAGGGGGCCTGGGTGGCTCCGTGGTTGAGCATCTACCTTTGGCTCAGGGAGTGATCCTGGGGTCCTGGGATTGAGTCGTGCATCAGGTTCCCCCTGGGGAGTCTGCTTCTCCCTCTGCCTATGTGTCTGCCTCTCTCTGTGTCTCTCATGAATAAATAAATAATATTTATTCAAAAAAAAAAAAAAAAAGCAGAAGCCAAGGTCTTACCTTTAATTGCTGTAGGTCCTTAGTTGTGTCCTATTGAGTAACTGGAGGATGGATTCTGACCCTGGCTGCCACTTAGCAAATCTAGGTCATTGGTCATAGGAGCAGTTTAAATAAGAAAACTCAGTCAGGGCCAAAAGAATTATAGAGACTTCAAACTGGAAGGGATCCTGGAGAGAGTTATGTGTACCCACCTTGATATGTGGATCATGAGGTGAGGTCCCAGGCCACACGACTGTATGGTGAGTGGTTCTTCTGACTCTGGGCCCACTGCTCCTTCTGACATGCCTTGCCTCCTACATAGCAAATGGGCCTGTGCACATGTGCTTAGAGGCATAAAATTAATCCATTTTGAGGCAGTGACCCTACTCCTGGGAATCTAATCTAAAGAGATGAGTGAAGGTAGGTATACAGATGACTGCATGTTATTTAAGATTGGGAATCAAAATTATTTAAACATTTGGGCTTAATGTTCACTAGCAGAGAAATGATAGTAAATTGTGTCACATTCATTCAATAGGATGACATGTCAATTATATTTTTATTTTTTTTAAAGATTGTTCATTCATTCATTCATTCATTCATTCATGAGAGACACAGAGAGGCAGAGACATAGTCAGAGGGAGAAGCAGGCTCTCTGGGGAGCCCAATGCGGGACTCGATCCCAGGACCCTGGGATCATGACCTGAGTCAAAGGCAGACGCTTAACCACTGAGCCACCCAGGCACCCCACAACATGTCATTATAAAAAAGGTTTCTGAAGTCCAGAGAGTGACCCACACGTCCCATTGAGAGTGTTTCTGGTTCTAAATCCCAAGACAGGGCCAGCCACTCTTGCAATGATACTTTCATCCTGCCTGTCCCCCAGTGAGAATCCTTTTTTTTTTTTTTTTAAGTGAGAATCCTAAGTGAAGGAAGGCAAGATAGAAAATTGCATGTTAAAAAAAAAAAAAAAAAAAAAGGGATCCCTGGGTGGCGCAGCGGTTTAGCACCTGCCTTTGGCCCAGGGCGCGATCCTGGGGACCCGGGATCGAATCCCACGTCGGGCTCCCGGTGCATGGAGCCTGCTTCTCCCTCTGCCTATGTCTCTGCCTCTCTCTCTCTCTGTGTGACTATCATAAATAAAATAAAAAATTAAAAAAATTGCATGTTCAGTAGGATCCTAAGGATGTGAACATCTTTATGTGCCCACAGACCAGGAAGGAGTATGCAGAAATGAAAACAGTTCAATGTAAAGCACCTTCACTGCATCTCTCTTTTGTGTCAGGCATTGTGGTAGATGCTGAGCAGTCAAAAATTAGCAAGACATAGTGATTAAGAATAACAGACTTAGTGATTAAGAATAACACCCAGATGCCTGGGTGGCTCAGTGGTTGAGTGTCTGCCTTCGGCTCAGGGCGTGATCCTAGGATCTGGGATTGAGTCCCACATGGGGCTCCTTACAGGGAACCTACTTCTCCCTCTGCGTATGTCTTTGCCTTTCTCTTTGTGTCTCTCATAAATAAATAAAGTATTAAAAAAAAGTAACAGACCTGTGAAGGGTCAGATGCTTTGATCCAACATATGTTTCTAGCAATTTACCCTATAGAAATCCTTATAGAAATGTGAAACAAAAAATATACCTATAGAGATATTAATTGTAGCCCCTCCCCCTGATCATGCTCTCTCTCTCTCTCTCACTCACTTTCTATCTCAAATAAATAAAATCTTTTTTTTTTTTAAGATTTTATTTATTTATTCATGAGGGACACAGAGACAGAGAGGCAGAGACTTAGGCAGAGGGAGAAGCAGGCTCCATGCAGGGAGCCCAATCTGGGACTTGATCCCGGCACTCCAGGATCACGCCCTCGGCCGAAGGCAGTACTAAGCCACTGAGCCACCCAGGCATCTCTCAAATAAATAAAATCTTAAAAAAAAAATAAATAAGAAATAAATGAAATACAGTGTTAATAAATAAATGAAATACATCTGTTATAAGAAAGATACAGAGCATAAGCTTTGACTTGAGATGTCCATGATGTTAAATGATGAAAGCAACTTACAGAACTATTATAGTTTGATCCCACTGTTTACACATATGTAAATATGTAGGTGCACATGGCAGTAATTACCTTAGGTTGTATTGGTGGGGACAGAGTTAGAGCAGGAGATTTGTAGCTATATGGTTTGAATATTTTAATAAAAACTTACATATCTATCATAACTTTAAAAAATATACATCAGAAGAGGAAACAAAGAAAAGAATTATAGTCTAGTATAAGAAGGGATGTAATGGCTATCCATCTTTGATATTGGGCTGCTGGGGATGGCTGCACAGAGATACGTTATGGATGGAACTATGAGTGTTTTTTTTTCTTTAATTTCCTTTTCTATAATATTGCTTTAATAAATGCTATTTAATACCCATATGCCCTTCTCATAATGGTCCTTGCTGCATTCAGAAAAAATGGTAATTTGATTTCCTACTAGTTCTTCCTGTTCTTTGTAATGTAGAAATTCTGGATCTGGGAGTACGAGAGCCAGAACCAGTCCAGCTTTATTTCAATTACAAGTGTCACATTTTTGTCCTAATTTATAAAAGCAGCACATCAGAGATCTCTTTAGTTTATTATTGTTTAAATCCTGTGGTCACATCACCCTAGGAAAAGGTGAGTGATCTTGAGAGATATAGGAACCTGACAAAGACATACCTAAACCACAGTGAGTCTGAACTGGGGGAAGGATGGGAAATAAAGGCTCATCTGATTGCCACCACTGTGCCTAGGTACTGAAGAAGATCTGGAATTCTATGTCAGAAAGTGTGGTGACATTCTTGGAGTAACCAGTAAACTACCAAAGGACCAACAAGATGCCAAACATATTCTTGAGCATATCTTCTTCCAAGTGGTGGAGTTCAAGAAATTGAACCAGGTAGAGTCTAGAAAGCCCACTGAAGTGGGAGCCCTTTCAGTGGTGGTATCTTTCCTAAACTGGACTTCTTAGGTTTTATGCCATCCATTCATTCTGCAAATACTCATTAAGTATCTATTAGGTAAACAAAACAGACAACAATCCCTGCACTTATAGAACTCATGTTCTAGCTGGAGGAGCTAGACAGTAGACATAAATATATAAGTAAATCATATAATATATAGTACAAGATGATGGCATTAAAAAGGTAGAGCAGGGATCAAGTGTGCTGAATGTGGCAGTATTAAATAGGGAGGGTGGTTAGAGTAGGTCCCACTATAAAGTTGACATTGGAGCAAAGACCTGAAAGTGTTGAGGGATTTCACCGTGCCGATAGTTGGGAGACAAGTGTCCCACACAGAGGGAAGACCTGTGCAAAGACCCTCAGGCTGGGCTTTCCCTGCCTGGCATGTTTGAGGCATAACAGTGATGTCAGTGTGGGTAGAGACCTGGGAAAAGTATAGAGAAGCTGGCCACAGGGTCAGCACCTTATGTGTGAAATCATCTTTCTGGATTGAGGACCAAGGACTTTAAAATTATGTCTGGTCTTCATTTGGTCTATTCAACCAGTTGGTAAATGGGCATTTATATACTACTGATGGGAGAATAAATTCTCACTTTTCTGGTGATCTGTTTTATAATATTGTTCAAAAGCCCCGAAAATGTAGGTACCTTTGACATAGTAATTCTAATCCTTAGAATTTGTCTTAATAGTATAATCCTAAATGTGTATAGATTTACCAACCAGGATGCTCAGTGTAGTACTGTTTTAATAGAAGAAAAATCTTCACCAGTAGGGAACTGGTTAAGTACCTAGGGTGTAGCCATAACATTAAAAATGTTCAGAAGAATGTTTAAGGACTTGGGGAGACATTCAGGATATAGTAAATGGGGTTGCAGGGGCAAGAGCTATAAAACAGCGTAAGGGTCCATTTTTCATATATATGTGTATGTACATACATACCATATGTGCCATTCAGTCATTCCACATACATACATACATACATGCTTAGGATTTTAGATGCTGAGTGGAAAGGTTAGATACTCTACTGGCAGGGGCTGGCTCTGCTGGATACTCATGGTGCTAGATGTTGGGGGCATTGGAGTGAACAAGATGGATGCAGCCTTTGCTGTCTCTTTCTGAGCCACGTTCTGTAGAGGGGACAGGAATATTATAGGGCAGTTGTAGTGTTCGAGATAAAGTGCCATCAAGGGAACCCAGAAGGGAGTTGATGTAACTGCTGGGGCACTGAAATGTGGGATGGGGCTCAGGTATGTTCTCAGTACTTACCTTACTGGCAAGGCAGAGACAGCCCCCCAGTCCAAGGTAAGAAGTCTTCTGCGGTCTTTGCATTGGTGCCTTCAACTGTATTTGCTCCCTACTCCTTGTGGTGGATGGTGGGCAGTAGTCAAAAGCCCTGTCCTTAGAGTGAAAACTTGGATCCTTCAGCTGGATCCAGCCTTCAAGCCAGAGATTACTTACGTGTCCCAATTAATGATGATTCAGAATCTTAATCACAGTGCAAAACACCAGAGTTCACATCTCATGCTTTGTACTGAAATACTAAAATTCTATCTTATTCTTTCATCCAGGAACATGACATTGATACAAGTGAACCAGCATTCCAGAACAATTTCGAGAATCATGCCTCTTGAAGCATCTTCTGCCTAATTCTCTTTGTAAACTATTTTTGAATTGTTTTTCAAATCCTTACAAAATTGTCTATATACTCTTTACCCCGAGTTATAGGCCTGTGCATCTCCTGTAGTGACTACATAGGTATAACATGTTTAAAAAGATCCTTATGTAATATATGTTCCATTTTTAAAATTAAATCTGACTGAACCTGTACTTTTATAATTTGAGTCTTGCATTGAAGTCTTTTCTTCAGACTCTAGTTCTGAATTTGAGTCTCCTTTATCAAAGGCATAAATGTCAAGCTTATGAATATTGTTGAGCTTTTGGACTAGCTCAGAAGGATGTAAAACAAACTTTAACCCAGTCTGTTTGCCCATGTGCCTAATGAAAAAGGTAAAATAGTAGATCAATACCTTCCTTACATGGATGACTCACCTCCTCATCTCCCAGGTGTCCACAGGACGCAACCATTTGGAGGTTGTCGGCTCTACCCACACTTTGTCACCCTCCTCCTCTGAGCTCCTGAAGTACTGAATTCTGTCATCATTTTGGGTTATAATGTGATCATCTGTCCAAGGACAATGGGAGACTGTACCTGCTTGAATGTGGGGCAGCTGAGGTGGATATGTATAGCAGTCTACTGGATATACTGGGAATCAGCTTTGGGGAACCCTGAAAGCCAGATAGAAGATTGCAGAACTACTGCCAGTGTGTAAGGGATGCAATGCAGTGGAAACAGCTTAGCTTGTGGGTTCTATAAAGATGGGAACTATGGAAGGAAGGCCATGAGAGGGTGTGATATAACCCCAAGAGGAAGTAATGAGGACCTAAAGTGCTGTTGTAGGAAAGGTGGCATTTAAAAATTTTTTTTTCAAAATGTATTAGAGGGGGGAGCAGGGGAAGGGGTAAAGGGAGAGGGAGAGAAAGAATCCCAAGCAGACTTTGAACTGAGCACGAGCCTGACTGGGGCTCACAATCCTGAGATCATGACCTGCTGAAATCAAGTCAGACACCGGAGTCACCCAGGTGCCTGGAAAGGTGGCATTCTGATAGATTTGGTACAATGATTGAGGGTCAGATAGGCAAGATTTTGAGCCTAATATCCTGGGAAGCAATAGAGTTACTGGAAGATGGGGATTCTGAGGGGCGAGCTGTTTTGGAGCATACAAGGTCCAGTTGAGATGATGGCCATCATACCAGTGGAAATAACCAGTAAATAGAAATTTCTGAGGTTTAGAAGAGAGATCCAGTCTCAAGATCTTAGTTCATATGCAGTTGATAATTGAAGTCATGAGAATAGTCTATCAAGGAATTAATACTTGTAGAAATTTAAAATTCTGGGATCCCTAGGTGGCTCAGCGGTTTAGCGCCTGCCTTTGGCCCAGGGCGCGATCCTGGAGTCCCGGGATCGAGTGCCACGTCAGGCTCCCGGCATGGAGCCTGCTTCTCCCTCCTCCTTTGTCTCTGCCTCTCTCTCTCTCTCTCTCTCTCTATGTCTATCATAAATAAATCTTTAAAAAAAAGAAAAAGAAATTTAAAAATCTTGGGAAAAAAGGCTCACATCCTGAATTTCAAACGATTTATTCATGTGAAAGCTCTGTTCATAGGCTTCCATTCTCTCACACACTCAAGCCCTAGTGTAGGGCTTATTCAAAGTAGCCAGGCCAGGGGATCCCAAGGTGGCTCGGTGGTTTAGCGCCTGCCTTTGGCCCAGGGCGCGATCCTGGAGTCCTGGGATTGAGTCCCGCGTTGGGATTGAGTCCCGCGTCGGGCTCCCAGCATGGAGCCTGCTTCTCCCTCTGCCTGTGTCTCTGCCAGTGTCTCTGCCTCTCTCTCTCTATCATGAATAAAAAAAAAAAAAAAAAAAAAGTAGCCAAGCCAGAGCCATCTTGGGGGAAGGGGGAAACCACTTTGTTCAGAGGGCAGAATTTGAAGGCCTGCTGAAAGAAGACCAGTTATAGAACAACAGGAGTGTTGTGACAATGTATTTGGAATACATTCCAAAATGTATACTCAACAATTATCTTCCAGCCCATATCCTTTTCTCTTAAACTGTGGGTTTGATGCTCCTGCTCTTGAGAGGTAAGGTCTATGTTCCTTCCCTCTGAATTTGGCACTATAGTGGAAATGACACTATGTGATGTCTGAAGCTAGTTCATAAAAGGTTATATAGCTTTTGCCTGGTTCTCTTGGGACACTCACCTTTAGAGCCACAAGCCAACAATGCAAGAAGTCTGAGGCCACTTGGACAGACTGTGATAGGCCATGTTTAGGTGTTCTGGCCAACAGCTAGAGGTCCCAACTTCTACAAGCATCACCTGCTAAACATGTGAGTGAAGACACTTCCAAATGAGTCTTGTCCCCAGCAAGTCACTCCTAGCCTTAAGTTGTCCCAGCTGAGGCCCCAGACATCATGGAGCAGTTAAGCTGTCCCTGCACCTTTCTTAATCCCTGACCCACAGAATGCACAAACATAATGAATTTTAAGCCACTAATTTGGAAGAGTTATGCAGCAGTAGATGACTAAAACACATAACCTGCAATTTTAGAAAGAACTTTTTTTTTTTTTTAAGATGTCTTTATTTATTCATGAGAGACAGCAAGAGAAGCAGAGACATAGGCTGAGGGAGAAGCAGGCTCCCTGCAAGGAGCCTGATGTGGGACTTGATGCCAGGACCCCGGGATCATGCCCTGGGCCAAAGGCAGACACTCAACTGCTGAGGCACCCAGGCGACCCTAAAAAGAACTTTTTGGATCTGAATCTAATCCAACTTCATTTCCCGAGAGGGACAGAGGCCCAGAGAGACCTAGGAGCAGAGGAATACTGACGGCCTACCTACTAACCTGGAGCTATTCCCATTAAACTGACTGGAGAAAGTGCTTTGAAAGGGGGCAAAGCCTGTCATGCCATGGATCATGTGGCTTTTTCCCTTTATCTATGGATGACTTATGGCAAGGATACAGGTTTTTCCCGAATTTCTTATGGAAAATTTGAAACGTTAAAAAAATTAACATATTACCATATATGCTTTATATGTGTGTATAGTTTACTGAATACTTCAGTGTTAAATTTCAGACATTACATACTTCCTTATATACCTTATCATACTTATAGAACTATAATATACCATTATCCCACCTTATTCACAATATAAGATAATGCTTATTCAGGCGTTCCCTCATTGTCCCCAAAATGTGTTTTATAGATGTTTTTTCAAGTCAGAAGCCAGTGATAGTTCTCACATTGGACTTGTCTTTTTTTCAGGCTCTTTTTAATTTTTTTAAAGATTTTATTTATTCATGAAAGACACACCCAGAGAGAGAGAGGCAGACACAGGCAGAGGGAGAAGCAGGCTCCATGCAAGGAGCCCGACGTGGGACTCCATCCTGGGACTCCAGGATCACGCCCTGGGCTGAAGGCAGGTGCTAAACCCCTGAGCCCCGCAGGGATCCCTTTTTTAGTCTCTTTAAATCCCAGTCTCCCTGTTTTGTTTTGTTTTTTTAAATGACTTTTTTTTGACAACTAAATTAGGTGTCCCACATTCTGGATATTTTGATGATTTCATTATGGTGTCTATTATCCCATTATCTTCTTTCCTTCGAATGCAAAGTTAGGTTTAAAGGCTTGACTAGCTTTGAATTAGACATTTTTGGCAAGAATATCTTCTAGCTGATGCTGTGTATGTTAGACTGGTCCTCTATTAGTGCAAGTAAGTTCAATAGACTGGTTAAGGTAGTGAGCAGGGGTGTTTTTAAATTCAAACATGAAAAGTTAACAGACTTGAACAAGTATTTCACCTTCACTCTTAAAACACACAGAGACACAAACACACTCAGAAAGTGATGGTTATCAGTCCTGGCTGGTAACAGCTGAAAACAACTGCTGGAGGTTTTATTTGTTGAACTCCAATAGGTCTCTGATCAGAGAAACAGGAGTGTCCACGCGAGGAGGAGATGATACACGGAGGAAGGGGAGACAGTGTTGTTGGGAACGAGGGTCTCTGCTCTCCCTAAGACCAAGAAGGAACATTTGGGGTTCTTATGATTCACACATCTACGATGTGGCTTTTGCTAAACTATTTGTTTATAAAACCAAATATGAGAGGTTTTACTCAAACTCCGTGCCCTAATGAAATCTAAAAAATCAAGTAAAAATCCAAGTAGTGCCTAGGCACGGAACCGAGGGATGTTGAAAAGAATCCCGCCCTCTTCGGCCACTCAGTTCCCCTTTCTAAGACCAACGTCACCAATTTCTCCCACAGGCTTCAACCGGAAGAAATACCTTCAAAAAGAGTAACAAATCTTGCTAATACCAGGTTTTGCCACGCAGCCCACCACCGTTTATCTATCCTGGCGCCCTGCTCCCGCAGCTCACGAGGTAATCGGGGAGAGAAAGGAACTTCTTGGAGTCGCAAATGGTTACAAGCTGCGCGAAGGGATCCCGCAGCGTGGCCGCCGTCCTCGGGGACTCAGGCCGCCGGGGCGGGGCGGGGCGGGGCGGGGCGGGGCGGGCCGACCCCCCACCTGCCCTGCTCCCTCTCCGGCCCTGGCCTTTCCCTTCACCCGTCCTCCGCACGACCCGAAACGGCAGGCGTCGGGGGAAGCCTCCCGGCGACGACACCCCCGACTGCGCGGCGCCGGCGGGACCGCGCGCGACGCACGAGCGCGGGGCAAGGCCGCCGGGCTCCAGGCCTCCGAGCGCAGGCGCCCCCGGTGACGTCAGGCGGCGCGACTCCCGCCATGCTCCGCGCGGCGCCGGAGACGGGGCGCGCGCGGGGTGGTCCGTCGGCCTCGCTCTCCCGGCGGCCCGGTCTACCCCGAGGGCTCCTGGAGGCCGGCCGCGTCCCTCGCTCCGGTTCACAGCGGCGGCCACGGACTGCCAGCTGCACTCCAAAGACTCACTTTTCCTCCGTCTTCACAGAAAAGGGTGGTAATGGCGCCGCACGCCCTGCGCGGCCGCGGGGCCTGGCCGGGCTGTGGAGGTGGTTTCCACCGCCGCGGGACAAGGTTTCGGCGTCCCTGCGAGTCGTCCCCGGCTCGGTTCCCGGACGAGTGGCCGCACTGCCAAAGAAAGCTAAGCTCGTGAAAGCTGATGCCCTGAAGGCCCAGGGCGGAGGTCAGGGCGTGGACTGGACGCGGCGCGGGCCTCAAGCAGCCCGGGCCTCGGGCGCTCGTCTCCGAGGCTCCTCCCCTTACAGGAACGCAGGAAACTTGCATTAGGTGGTTCCTAACGCTACGGGAGAGCTTGGCCCTGGTCTCGGGGAGTCGAAGCGCGAATGTCGTGCACACAGGAGAGTGTAAAGCGGTATTTATTAAGCAAAGATGCAGAGAAAGCTCAGAGGTGAGAGGGGCCCCGACAGGGTGGCCACTGAGGGTTTGTAGGGTTGGTCTTTTATTGAAAGCCCGCCAGGGAGCCCAGATCCTTTTTTTAAAAAAATTAATTAACTTATTCATCAATTTATTTATTTTTAAAAATATTTTGTTCATTTATTCATGAGACACACGGAGAGAGAGGCAGAGACGCAGGCAGAGGGAGGAGCCCGCCCCACGCAGGGAGCCTGACGCGGGACACCGTCCCAGGACCCCGGGATCACGCCCTGGGCTGAAGGCAGGAGCTAAACCTCTGAGCCACCCGGGCTGCCCCCAAATCCTTTCAATATTCATCTGTTGATACCATCATTAAGTAAGGACCCGTGATAACATCTTTAATGGGCTTACTTCCTTTCTCGGGTCCAGTAATTCCTTGTTAGTCACAAGGAACTGTTTGTTACAACAGGACCCCACCTCTGGCACCTGGGACAGGATGGTCTGGTTTATTTATCTCTGGTTTACTTTCATCTCCACATTTTCGGGATTCTTGTGAGCCTAGTTCCGTGGACCCCTGCCTAGCCTCATTTGTCCCTAACTCCCTAAGAGACCGAATTCTGGACCTATGTAGTTGCATAAAGGAGGACACAGCAGGGGCTGGCATGATCTGGACAAACCCAGGCAGATCATGTTGAGTTGGTTCCCCTCTTTTCTGGTCAGTAACCCCGTACCCCTCCCTGTGATCAAAGAAGGGACCTTTAGAATATTACAAATAGAACATTATCATTCATTCCTCATAATTCCTCTTGTCCCTTTGTAATCCTTTCTCTGCAACCATTTTTTGCTTTAATTGGTTCTGTTATGCAATTTCTACAGTTGTATGTAAATGACATCATATGGTATCTACTCGGACATAATTATTTTGAGATTCATATTGTATCAGCAATTGCTTTTTATTGTTTGGTAGTATTCCACTGTATGGATATATTTATTTTATGATTATCATTTGTTTATTCGGTCATCTGTTGATGGACATTTGGGTTGTTTCCATTTTGGGCCTATTACAAATAAAACTATGTAAAACTCGTGTGAATATATGCGCTCATTTTTCTTGGCTCCGTGTGACCGGATGGTTTTAATTTGCATTTCCCTGATGACATGGTATTGAGCATCTTTTTATGTGTTGCTCCTGGATATATTTTAGAGGTAGAGTTTTGAGGGTAGAGCCGATACGATTTGCAGAAAGATCAGGTAAGTGATGTGAGAGAAGACTCAAAAATGACTGCAACTCTGGCCAATCCCTGAGGACTTAATAGTATTTCTTCTTCCTAGCATGCACTGGCTGTTCCCTCTGCCTGAAGTGTTATTCCCCTTATTGGCTACCTTGCAAATTCCCAAATCACCAAAGTCTGAATAACCTTTATGGTGGGCATCCACAGTATGCAGTTTGTCTTTACCTTTATAGATTTAATTTTCTGTTCACTCATTTCCCTATTAGCTGATGAGCTTTTGGAGAGTTTTTGTCCATGCAACTCCTCTACCTATCAAGTAGTTCACGTGGAGAAGGGTGGAGGTTTCCTTCTGGGGCTGTGTTTCATAGCAACAAGAAGACAGCATTCGGCACTGCCTTAAGGCAGGCCTGCTCTGGCCACCCAATTAAAAACTGTTTAAATATCCCGCTGGCTGTTGAGCTGGCCCTGGATTAGGACACCGAAGGTCATTCTCTTCCTTTGTGTCCCTTACAAATTTTAAGTCCTCTCAGTAGGATGACTTAAGGCTGGGGCACTGGGTAAAATCTAGAATAACAGGATGGGGTCTTTATTCTTTTCAAGGTAGTTCCCTCTTAAGACAGGGGCCCCTTGTCCCTGCCTTTCTTCTGAGTAGCCTTCATTATTAACGTAACACAACTAAAACTAAAGTAGTACTTCCTATGGGCTAGGAATTATTCTCAGTGGTTTACACATATTTATTTAATCCTACAACCACCCTACGAAGTACGTGGGTGTAGTGATTAAGAGCATAGGCTCTCGGATGCCTGGGTGGCTCAGTTGGTTAAGCTCTGCCTTTGGCTCAGGTCATGATCCCAGCATTCTGGGATGGAGCCCTGTCAGCGACTCTGCTCAGTGGGGAGTCTGTCTCTCTCTCTGTCCCTCTCCCTCTGCTATTCACTCCCTGCTTGTGCTCGCTTCCTCTCTCTTTCTCTTAAAATAAATATAAAATCTCTAAAAAATACAGACTAGGGGTGCCTGCCTGGGTGGCTCAGTGGTTGAGCATCTGCCTTTGGCTCCAGTGGTAATCCCGGGGTCCTGCGATTGAGTCCCACATTGGGCTCCGCAGAGGGAGCCTGCTTCTCCCTCTGCCTATGTCAATGCCTCTCTCTGTGTCTCTCATGAATAAATAAAGTTTAAAAACCTAAAAGGTATAGACTCAAACTAGATAGCCTAGGCTCAGGTTTGAATCCCTGCTTTGCCATTTGCCTGGAGTAGGATGGGTAAGGGGAAGGGAGAGAGCTGGTCTCTCATTATCACCATTCGCCAAAAGAGGATCATACTAATAGTACCTCACAGTGTTGTGATGAGGAGTAAATGAATTAAAATGATTTATAAAGCCTACAGAGGGCAGCCCCGGTGGCGCAGCAGTTTAGCACCACCTGCAGCCCGGGGTGTGATCCTGGAGATCTGGGATCGAGTCCCGCATCCGGTTTCCTGCATGGAGCCTGCTTCTCCCCCTGCCTGTGTCTCTGCCCACCCCCACCCCACCCCCCCTCTCTGTGTCTCAATAAATAAAAAGTTTTAAAAAAGAAAGCCTACAGAATAGTGGCTGGCGCATAATAAAAGCTAAGTTTTTGATAAATCTTTTTCTGGTTTTTACCTATGAGAAGATAGGCATAGAGAGGTAATTTACCTAAGATCACACAACTAGTAAATGATGGGGCTGGGAATCATAACCCCAGGAAGTCAGGCTTCAGAGCCTGCACTCTTAAATATCACGCTCTAGCAATGTAGAAGGGATGTCCACATGAATTACTTTATGAAGGAAGTGGGTGGGGGGAGGACCTGAATTAACGGATGTGGAAGTTTCTGGCACTTAAGATGTCAGTGTTCCTTTTGCTGTGGTAAATGGAAGTTTGCAGCAGACGGCTAGTCTGTCCCCAGGTGATCAGGAAGGTGGCCTCCTCCTCAGATTTCAGGAAGGGGTATCTAAGATCCAAGCAGGGACTAAGAGGCTGGGATTCAACCACACTTCCCCAGGCACCTGTCTTGCAGTTCATTTACTTTCCTTTCAGCACTCCTCCCTAGGGGGGCCTCCTGTGACATGGCTCTTGGGAGGTACTTGGCAAATGGAAACTTAAAATGGAAAATCCTTGCTAGGCCTCTAGGAGTTTAAACACGTGGACAGAGCAGCCCGGGTTGCTCCGCGTTTTAGCGCCGCCTTCAGCCCAGGGTGTGATCCCAGAGTCCCAGGATCGAATCCCACGTCGGGCTCCCTGCATGGAGCCTGCTTCTCCCTCTGCCTCTGTCTGTGCCTCTCTCTCTCTCTGTCTCTCATGAATAAATAAATAAAAATCTTTTTTTAAAATTTTTTTTATTATTTATGATAGTCACAGAGAGAGAGAGAGAGAGGCAGAGACACAGGCAGAGGGAGAAGCAGGCTCCGTGCACCGGAAGCCCGATGTGGGATTCGATCCCGGGTCCCCAGGATCGCGCCCTGGGCCAAGGGCAGGCGCCAAACCGCTGCGCCACCCAGGGATCCCAATAAATAAAAATCTTAAAAAGAAAAAATAAACACGTGGACAATTCTGGGCCTTGGGGCGCTCCACAGTGAGTGGAGCGGCCACTTGGACCTCAGCGTGCCCATAGTTCAGAGAGGAAACCGAGCAGTCCAGGAGCAGCAGATCAGCAGATTGAGCGAATCAAGTCGTGGCCGGGGAGATTGGAATTCGGTGGGAGGGGTTGGGAAGCTTTCCGGGCCAGGTAATGGCCCACGCAAAGGCACGGAGGCTAGCTAGTTTCGTTTGACTAGGGGCAGGGTGGTGGTCGTGGTGGTGGTGGTGGTGGACCTGCTGAATCCTATAAACCTGATCATGGAGTATTTTACCCTGAGGGAGAAAAGAGAGGTTTTAAGTTCTGGAGAGGAAAGACCCGATTTGCGTTTTAGGAAGCTCACTCGGGCTGCCTGCCGGGGGTTGAACCGTAGAATTCGAGTCCGGAGAGGAAGCAGGGAGACACAGCTCTGGTCTACAGGGTAGGGGCCCAGTTTAGGGTGTGGGCTGTAGGGACGGAGGAGCGGCTTGGAGCGGCGCGGGGGCTTTTGCATGCACAGGCGGTTTCCCCGGCCTGAGTCTCCCGTCCCTGTGTCTCACTCTTTCCTCAGTCTTTGCTGGGTGGGCAACTCCTGGGCCGCCCGGACCCACACTTGGCTGGCCTGGGTCGGGCTCAGTCAAATGGCGGGCGGTTCAAGTCGGTAAGTCCCCGAACCAGTCGCAGCCACCGCGGACCCGCCGGGCTTCAGGATTCCGGGCCACCGCCGCTCTCGCCGGTCCCCAGGCCCCGCCCCCCGCCCGCAGGCCCCGCCCCCGCCCGCAGGCCCCGCCCCCGGCCCCCGGCCCCGCCCCCGCCCGCAGGCCCGCAAGCCCCGCCCCCGCGCACGTCCGCCCGCCCGCGCGCCAGGCCCGGGCGGCGCCGTCGCGCTTGGCGGGAGATAGAAAAGTGCTTCTGTGCGCGCCGGCGGCCGCCAAGTGCCTGCGAGCAGCGGCGGGATCTGTGGCTACGCTGACGCCTCCCGGCGCGGCCCCGGGGCCCGGAGCGGCCCGAACAGCTGCACCCTGACCCCGGCCCGGCTCCCGCTCCGGGCTCGGCCGGCGGGCGGGCGAGCGCGGCGCGGCCCGGGCCGGGGGGATGTCTCGGCGGACGCGCGGGTGAGCGGAGCCGGGCGGCCGAGGGCTTCCCCCATCCCCCTCCACCCCGACCTCTGCCCCCCCGCACCCACACCCCGCCGTTGCCGCGGCCCCCCGGGCGGGGCGGGCCTTCCGCGGGCTTTGCCGAGTCCGGGGCCGCCCGAGGCAGGGTGCGCGCGCGAAGCCGGGGGGCTCTTGGGGGCCCCTCGCTTCGCTCCCCGGGCTTGCTTGGGCCTCGGAGCCGGGGCGGGCGGGTCTCCTGGGACCCGGGCCAAGCCCTGCATGATGTCATTTTGTCTCCCGCCTAATTGCGGGGTGGGGGTGGGACGGCAGTGTCAGCTGCTAGGGCCTTTACCGAGGAGGGAGGCGACCCCTGGAGAGGGAAAGTGATCCTTCCTCCAAGTCGCAGCGAGGGAGAAGCCAAAGCCTGGAGGACTTTTAGGTCACACTTACTTGGGTTCCTTTTTGGCGGTGGGCATTTCTCCTCCAACATTCCGGGAAGTACAGAGCACCCCAAACCTTCTCCGGCCTGAGGAGGGGGGTGGGGAGGAGAGTCTTTTGTGTGCCCCACCCCCACCCCCCACCGGGGTGCCGGGCCCCAGCTTGGTTTAGTTGCAGAGACCTGTCTTCCTGTTCTACATGAGGAGTTGGGGGCTGTTGAAGGTGAGGGGAAGAGACAGGCGTATCGAGACTGCCCTGGGGCCGAGGCAGGAACTGCAGTCTCCATTTTACTTACTCCTCTGGAGTAAGTGGCAGAGTGGAGCCTGGAACCTGGTCTGTGGGTCCCAGGCCTCTGTCTTACAGCCTGCCTTACCCCTGTGTGCCTGGGGCCTGACCCCCGGGAGGCAGAGGACAAAGGGGGCCTGCCTACCCTGTTCCCTCCCTGGATGGGTGCCGCCCAGGTAACCTAACGCCCCCTTCCCACCCACCGTGTCCCCCTGCCCAGGCGGAGCGTGTAGACTTAAACTCTGGCTGCTGGCTTTCCCCACAGTTCCTCTCCACAAGGAAGCCTCTGATCCCTGGGCAGTGGTCAGGGTGCGTGGCACAGCGTCTGTCTTCCTCAGGCCACCATCTCCCAGGGCAGCTCTCATTCCCGGGAGTTTTCTGGTCAGGCACTTAGTGGACCCTGTTCTGATTTTGGTGCAGGAAATGTTGTTACAGGGAATGACAAGTCCCAGAGAACCCCCAGATCCTCTGCCACTTTCCTCCTGGGGCTCCGTGGCTCCATGTGAGAGACGGTCTCTGTGCGCTGGCACCCCACAGCCCTCAGCTCACTTCTCGGCCACTAGCTGTAACACTCTCGTCTGCACCAGCGCCCCACTTCCCGCTCAGCTTCTGACTCACCCGGCCTGGAGCAGAGCCCAGAACATGGAAGGGCATAGAGAGGGTGTGTTGGACCTCAGTGTAGTTGCCACCACTGACTTGGCCTCTGCTTTCTCAGCTGGGATTACAGGGTGAGGGTTGGAGGTGCAGGTCTGGTGGGTGCCTGGCTTTGTGGACTTGGCAGGTGGCATAACCTCCGTTAGCCTCAGTGTCCACATCTGTTAAAGTGGAGAATGGGAATGCGTGTGAAGTAGATGGTTAGCTCCATGTTGATGATAGCAGTGTATTTTGTATACCGTGTATCTCACAGAATTCTCCCAGCTGAGTTGCTTGTCCCCATTACAGTATTGGAGCACCAGAGTGTTCACACAGACACCGTTTCATCCTTGAAGGAACATTTACTGACCTTCTATTGGAGCTGGGTGCCGGAGAACCAAAGATGGTTTCTGTCACAAAGAAGTCTGGGGGCAGGTGATTTTTAAAGCCAGCTTCATGGGCGCCTGGTGGCTCAGTCGGTTAAAGCATCTGCCTTTGGCCCAGGTCATGATCCCAGGATCCTGAGATCAAGCCCTGTGTCCAGCTTCCTGCTCAGTGGAGAGCCTGCTTCTCCCTCTCCCTCTGTCCCCCCTCCCCAGCTCATGCTCACTCTCTGGTCTATCTCAGGGAACTAAAGCTAGCTTCATTCTGTTTATTATAGAGCTTGTACCTCCTACTTTGTGATGGTGGAGGACGGCATAAATGGGGTCAGGGATGACAGAAAAAGACTGAATTCTATCTCCTTCTGTGACCTATATATTGCTGAGTTTAGACACTATCCCTCCCTTCCTTTTCTACTTCTAAAAGATTTACTTTATTTTTTAAAAATTTATTTATTCATGAGAGGCAGAGACACAGGCAGAGGGAGAAGCAGGCTCCATGCAGGGAGCCTGGAGGCGGGACAGGATCCCTGGACTCCAGGATTACAGGATTACACCTGGGGCTGAAGGCAGATGCTAAACCACTGAGCCACCCAGGGATCCCCAAGATTTACTTTAATTAGCATTTCTTATTAACCAGTAGGCAGCAGCATTGTATGTTTATTTGGTAATTTGAATATTCGGTCATTTTCTGAGCCAACATTTCTTAAGGCCTTTGGGGCAATCCCCCGAAGCCCTGCGGATGTGGAGGTGGAGCTGACCTCTGTCCCTGTCTAGGAGACAAGCACTTGCTGCGTTAGGGCCTTCATTCCTAGAGACAGGAGGATTTCCAAGGTGTAGGAGTGCAGGAGTGACCAGAGGAAGATGCTAAACTTTGGAGTAGGGGAAAGGAAGAGAGACACGAAAGGAAGTCCTTGTCCTTTTGGAACAAGGCTTGTGCTTTGCCTTGTGCTTGTTTGGAGATGGCTTTTCCCACTTACAGACACCTGACTTAGGAATGTATCTGACGGGTTACCTGAGGCATTCTCAGTACGTGGAGTTGGGAGCTTCCTCCTGAGCACCTGACATTCCTGGAGGGGGAGTGTGTGATTTCCATTTTTGTAATCATTAAATAAACCTGATAAATAGGAAGATTTTGGAGGAACTTGAAAAATTGCCTGTTAGAAAGTAGCATCCAGAAGTCAAAGCTGCTTGTATTTTGATTTTTCTCTCCATAAACCATGCCTGTATGTAGGCAAAGATTGGAAAACGGACATGGTTACCGAGGTTATGTATTTAAAATGTTATTCCCAGAAAACTAATATTTCTTGGAATCCTGATGCTTGAGGATTGTATATATCAAAAGATTTAATCCTTAACATGTCCATAAAACTTAAAAGTTCTGCTCTTGGGGATCCCTGGGTGGCGCAGCGGTTTGGCGCCTGCCTTTGGCCCAGGGCGCGATCCTGGAGACCCGGGATCGAATCCCACATCGGGCTTCCGGTGCATGGAGCCTGCTTCTCCCTCTGCCTGTGTCTCTGCCTCTCTCTCTCTCTCTCTCTGTGACTATCATAAATAAATAAAAATTAAAAAAAAATTAAAAAAAAAAAGTTCTGTTCTTGAAAATATTAAATGGGTGTGTGGTTTTGAATATCATAATATTCTTGGTGAAATCTTAACTTTTTATCTTACAGCTTTGAAATTATTAGGGTGTTTGTGAAAATAAAAGGATTAAAAAAATAAGTATAGCCCGTAACCCTAATTCATTAAAGAATTTAAAAAAGAGGAGGGTGGGCATATCAAAAGTAGAAAGTAAAAGGCTGCCTCCCCCAAGCCTTTCCCTAGAGATCACTGGCCACTGCCCACATGCTGTCCAACCATCATGTAGCACTGTGTGAAGACACATGGCCTTGACCCTTACTTAGCTTGCTCTCCCTGCAGTGAGGAGCTGGATGAGCTGCACTACCAGGACACAGATTCAGATGTGCCAGAGCAGAGGGACAGCAAGTGCAAGGTCAAATGGACCCACGAGGAGGTGAGTGACACAGAGACATCTTGGGGGAAGGGGGGTTGATGGCAGTTGAGGGGCTGGTCAGAGAACTGAGCCTGGGTTGTGTCTGATGCCCTGATGGGTGTGATGAAGAGGAAGAGCCAGTGAAAGAGGTGGATGGGTCCTCTGTTTTCCCCAGTGCCTCAGAGCATTTTCGGGGATACTCCATATTGAGGACTCTTGGAAGTTGGTGTATTCTACATCATGGGCATTAATTGTGCTTCTTGTTCTTTAACTGCTAGGGTGCTTAGCCTAACTTGCCGCCGCCTCTTTATTATTATTATTATTTTATTATATTTATATATAGAGAGAGCATGTGTGTGGAAGAGGGAGAGGGAGAAAGAATCTCAAACAGGCCTCAGTCCCAATGCCGGGCTCCATCTCAGACTCTGAGATCATGACCTAAGCTGAAATCGAGAGTTGGTTGCTTAACCGACTGAGCTACCGAGGCGCCCCTTCCCTTCTGTTTATTATAATTAAAAAAAATTAATTGTGTCTTGAGACATCAAGCTCTGAATTTCCTTTATATTGTTTAATCAGCTTCATGGAAGTATAATTTATGTACAGTCAAATGTACCAATTTAAAGTGAACAGTTGGAAGCACCACCTTGATTATCCCAGAAAGTTCCTGGCTTTGGGCAATTGCTGATGCCTCTTGATTTGATTTGTCTTGTCAGTTCTTGAATGTCCTGTATTGAAATCCTGCCACTGTGCTCTTTTCTATCTGGCTTCTTTAGCTTAATGAAATAGTTGCTTGATTCAGCAATCTGTTCATTTTTACTGCTGAATAGCATTCAGCATGTATATGTATGTTGTACCCATGTATATGGGTATACAACAATATATTTCACTTGTAGGGTGTTTGGGCTGGTTTCAGTTTTTTTTTTTTTTTAAGATTTTTAAATTTATTTATTCATTAGAGAGAAAGAGAGGCAGAGACACAGACAGAGGGAGAAGCAGGCTCCACGCAGGGAGCCCGACGCGGGACTCGATCCTAGGTCTCCAGGATCATGCCCTGGGGCTGAAGGTGGCGCTAAACCACTGAGCCACCCTGGCTGCCCTGGTTTCAGTTTTTGACTATTGTAGATAATCTGCTGGGAAGATTCTTGTATAAATCTTTTTTTTTTTTTTTTGAGGATTATATTTTTATTTCTCTATGGGAGATACTTAATGTATGGTCATGGGGTAGGTAGGTGTACGTTTAGTTTTATAGAAAGTACCAGACCTTTTTCTAAATTGTTTGTTCCATTCTAGAGTCCTGCTGGTCTTATCTTTTTTTTATTTTTTTATTATTTTTTATTTTATGATAGTCACAGAGAGAGAGAGAGGCAGAGACACAGGCAGAGGGAGAAGCAGGCTCCATGCACCGGGAGCCCGATGTGGGATTCGATCCCGGGTCTCCAGGATCGCGCCCTGGGCCAAAGGCAGGCGCCAAACCGCTGCGCCACCCAGGGATCCCAAACTCCTTTGTGGTCTTATCTTTATATTTGGCCTCTTTTTTTCCTGGATATGTTTAGTTTAGGTTTTTTTTTTTTTTCTTTTGCTTAGCGTATGGGTTTTGTAAAACTTTTTAAAATCATGAGTACTAAGCCAGCTTTTCTGTTCATCTCACTGTGGACCAGGAACTGCATTCAGCTCTTGTGGACGAAGAACAAATGAGCTAGGGTACCCACCCCAGAACCACTCTCTGCTTGGAGTAGGGAGAGATTGCCCAGGCCTAAGGACATGCTGTGGTGATTCCCAGTGCTGGCAGGATCAGTGTTCATGTGTGCTCACCATTTTATCTCTCCTTCCTTGTGCTAAGGCTCACAGCACATAGGAGGCACTGGTTATTGAAATACCTTTAGGTATTTTGGTTACTGTTATTGTTGCCTGAAGTGGTTAGGGAAAATTTCATGGATAAGAATTTGGAAATCAAGTCAGAGAAGAGTGCAGAACGGTGGGTTGTGTTAGAATAGGAAATGGGTGAGTAGAATAGAATAAGTTGTAGGTGGGGGCACCTGGGTGGCTTAGTAGGTTAAGCGTCTGCCTTTGGCTCAAGTCATGATCTCAGGGTCCTGGGATCAAGTTTTGCATCAGTCTCTGGCAGTGGGGAGTCTGCTTCTACCTCTCCCTCTGCCCCTTCTCCCTGGTTGTGCTTGCATATTCTCTTTTTCTGTGTCAAATAAATTCTTTTTTAAAGATTTGAGAGAGAGAGCACAAGCAGGGGGTTGATCCCAGGACCCTGAGACCATGACCTGAGCTGAACGCAGATGCTTAATTGACTGAGCCACCCAGGTGCCCAATAAACAAAATCTTTTTTTTTTTTTTTTTTTTTTTTTTTTAAATTTTTATTTATTTATGATAGTCACACAGAGAGAGAGAGAGAGAGAGAGGCAGAGACACAGGCAGAGGGAGAAGCAGGCTCCATGCACCGGGAGCCCGACGTGGGATTCGATCCCGGGTCTCCAGGATCGCGCCCTGGGCCAAAGGCAGGCACCAAACCTCTGCGCCACCCAGGGATCCCCTAAACAAAATCTTAAAAAAAAAAAAAAAATAGGTTATAGGTGGAGAAAAGCAAATAGAGGGGCCCTTGGTTTGGCTGAAGGGAAAGGTCCTTGAGGGGAAAAAGTAGTTGATGTGGACAAAAAGATTGACTGGGCCAAATCCTGGAAGGCCTAGAATGTCCAGCTCAGTGGTATAGGCTTGTTCACCTGGCAAAGTAGAGCCATTGAAGGTTTTTAAAGCAGAGGAGTGACCTAAACATTGCTGGGCTTCAGAGGAACTAATCTGTGTGTAGAAAGAGATTTAGGGGCAGCCTGGGGCTGAGAGTCTAGTGGTGCCCAGAGAGTGGGGGAGGTTGCTGTACCAGGCGGCTGTGGAGAGATTAGGGCAGGGATGGAGGTGAAAGGTGGAGAAGGCCCTTGGGGTCTGGGAGGAGATGGAGACAATTCTGCAAAGTATTCTTGCCAGTTGTCAGGATGACTGCCAGATAGGGACATGGGGACATGGGGACATGGGAGGAGGCAGGTGTTGGGCTGGCCAGGCCGGGTGGCAGAGGAGGGCAGCGTGTCCGGAGCTGGCTCAGCTACAAGGTTTATGGGGTTTACAAGAGTTTGAATTTCTGTAATGGCTTTTTTTTTTCTCCTGTCCGAGAGAGAGAGAGAGAGAGAGAGAGAGAGAGAGAGAGTGTGTGTGTGTGTGTGTGTGTGTGTATGTGTGTATGTGTTAAAAAACAGAGAACATTAAATTTATCGTCATAACCATTTTTAAGTGTACAGTTCAGTAGTGTTAAGTGTATTCTCATTGCGATAGATCTTTAGAACTACTTGATCTTGTAAAACTGAATCTCTGTACCCACCAAGGACAAATTCCTCATCACCCTTCCCCCTAGCCCTTGGCAACCATCTTTCTATGTTTTTATGATTTTGCCTACTTTAGATATTTTGTATGACTGAATCATAAAATATTTTTCCTTTTGTTTCTGGTATATCTCACCTATGTCCTTGAGGTTCATCCCTGTCGTAACTTCTAACAGAATTTCTTTTTAAGGCTGAGTAACATTCCGTTGTATGGATATACTATATTTTCTTTATACATATATCTATATAAAATGTAAAAAATCAGTTTGAGGAGTACTTTGCATGCAGTGAACTATAACGACTTACAGTATAATTCAGTGAGTATCGTCAGTTGTATTACCTTGAAAGTACCAGCACCATCACGTTCTAGAACATTTCAGTTAACTTCTTAACATTCCTTGCTCTCCTTTGGTGTCCATCCCCCCTCCCTCCTTCACTTCTTTCCTCAGACAACCGTTGACTATCTTTTTGTCCTTACAGCTTTGCTGACATTTTCTAGAATGTCTTGTGCATGGAATCATCTTTTGTGCCTGGCTTCTTTCACTCATCATGATACCGAGATTACATGTTGTTGCAGGAGTCAGTGGTTTATTTTCAGGAGACTATCTTAACACCTACTGTTCTGACCACAGTTCCCGTCTCCCGTGCCGCGTCACTGCCATCTCTGGCCTGGGGGCCTCTTTGTGGCCTCCTTTCCTCCATTCTGCCCTCTTACAGAAGCTTACATTCTGCCTTACAGGTCCTAATAAGCACGTTGGACTGTGACCACCCACTGCTCAAATGCATCAGTGGCTTTATATGATGCAGAGACCTGAGTCAGTCTTGTGTGTGGTCCAGCCCATGCTTTGCCGTCCCCAATCATCTTGCATCCCTCACCCCCCTTGCTTCCTGCATTCTAGCTGCACTAGGCTTCCTTTGATCCTGTGTCTTGGTCTTCCTGAAGAAGCAGTCACTGCATACCTCTCCACTGGCCCACAGCCAGCCACAAAGTGGCTTTTCTGTGGGAGCCTCTGATTAGCTCCCTCTGGACCATGATTCCCATAAGATGGGGCAGGTCTGTTGTTGCCTGTTGCTGGGTCTGTAGTACCTGGCACATAGTAGGTACTCCCTTCATGACTGCATGTGTGAATGAGGCTGTCCTTTGGCTGTTCCTCCCTCACGATGGGCTGCTTTCTGCATATGTGTGGGCTGAGCTCTCTCTTTATGGCATTGGCAGGACGAGCAGCTGAGGACCCTGGTAAGGCAGTTTGGACAGCAAGACTGGAAATTCCTGGCCAGCCACTTCCCTGTGAGTGCAGCCCCTTGGTGGCCCCCTCCCCTGGAGATGAGGGTTGTGGGTGACAAGACAGTGTGCTGGGGACAGACTTTTCTGCCAAGGAGAAGAGGGTGTTCCTAACCAAGCTGCCCCGTGACCCCAATAAAGAACCTTCCTAGGCCATTTCTTCCTAAGCCAGAATTCGAGTGCCCTTGTCATAAGCATCTCCACACAGCAGCCTCAGTAGGCCTGGTGGTCTTTAGTGTGCCATCTGGAGCCTGTGACAGTGGCACATTTGCATTAGTCTCAACAGTGAGGTTGAAACCAAGAGGAAGTGATACTTACAGCAGGCTTCCTGCCGAGGTCTCCCCCAGAGCAGCTGAAGCCTCCTGGGGATGCAGGTCCCCCATGTCCCCACCCCTAGGACTGCAGGTGTCTGGTAGGGAGGAGATGTGGCAGGAGCTGCTGTCTGGTTTATTCCCTGAGTCACTCGGCACCTCGGGTCACATCAGCAGACCCTTCCTACCCCATCCCTCACCTTCCCTGTTTCCATGAGATCTGAAACTTTCAGGGACATAATGCTTTCCCGAGGCAAGGAAGGATTCCTGACATACACCACAAGGTTTTATAGGAATTTATGGTTCCTGATGGTTGTCTCTTTGTGAGGGGAGGATGAGGAGGGGAAACTTCCTACAGGGAAAGCATGTGCGTTCCAACCTGTGGGAGTATAGTGTGTGGTGGGTGAAGGAAACGAGAAAAAACCTGTGTGAGATAGGCCTGGCCCCTTGAACCCAGTGCTCAGCCAGGGTCCAAGGCTGCTCTCGTAGGAATCCTCACAGGTTCCTGTCCTCTTCCCAGAACCGCACTGACCAGCAGTGCCAGTACCGGTGGCTGAGGGTCTTGAATCCAGACCTCGTCAAAGGGCCATGGACCAAAGAGGAGGACCAAAAGGTAACTATCGGCACGCAGTGGGCCTTCACCCACCCCAGTGAATCAAGGGATGGTGAGGCTGTCTGGGGGTTGGCAAGGGTGTCAGCCAGCCCTCTCAGGGCTGTGGTGAGATGAGGCTTATGTGGAGGGAAGGTGCTGTGATGGGGATGAGGGAGGGCTGGGTTCCCCTGGCTTTACAGAGGCCTTTTCCAAGGTCATCGAGCTGGTCAAAAAGTACGGCACAAAGCAGTGGACGCTGATCGCCAAGCACCTGAAGGGCCGGCTGGGGAAGCAGTGCCGTGAGCGCTGGCACAACCATCTCAACCCCGAGGTAAAGAAGTCCTGCTGGACTGAGGAGGAGGACCGCATTATCTGTGAGGCCCACAAGGTGCTTGGCAACCGCTGGGCTGAGATCGCCAAGATGCTGCCAGGGAGGTGAGCTGCCATCTGGGGGGTCAGGACAGGCGTGGATGTTCCTAGGAAGTGAGGGCATCCACTGGGCTATTGGGGGGGATAGTCCAAGAGCCAGTCCGATTTCTTTACAGATGTCACTTTTCCCAGAGATGAATAAATCCTTCAGATTCTTGCCTAGGGGTGCCCGTGCCTGATTATATAGGCAGTTTAGGATCAGGACAGGGAGTACACTTTGTGTACAGATTTTCATTTGGTCCCTGTTGGAGCTCTGTGGACCATCGCTAGCTTCTACCAGGGTTGCCTGGTCCTTTTTCTCTAGAGAGTAAACTTCTCTTCTCCTACATGCAAGATCAGGGCCAGGATCTAGATATTCAAACTCACTGCTTTTTCCCCCCACCTCCTTGCTGTGCCTGGTCCCTCTAAGAGCCTCTTGGGGTTCTGGGGAAGTATTTGGAAGACTTGGCTCCATTCTTGCCAGAATCTTCCTCTAGAGTCAACTCCCCTCTCCTAAATTGCTTATTGTTCCTCTTAAGTGCTGTCCATCTTACGGAAACTTACAAAAATCTCTTACTAGTTTCTTATCTGTGGCTGTTTTCTACTCTGTTCACTTTGTCCTTGTGCATTTCCCCCTTACTCAGTTTTGTTTTTGTTTTTTTTTAAAGATTTTATTCATTTATTCGTGAGAGACAGAGAGAGTATGTGTGTCAGGGACACAGGCAGAGGGAGAAGCAGGCTCCATGCAGGGAGCCCGATGTGGGACTCGATCCTGGGACTACAGGATCACACCCTGGGCTGAAGGCAGGCACCAAACCTCTGAGCCACCCAGGGATCCCCTCAGTTTGTTTTTTTTTTTTTTAATTTTATTTATTTTTTTCCCTCAGTTTAATTTTTATTAAAAGATTTTCTTTATTTATTTAGTCATGAGAGACAGAGGCAGAGACACAGGCAGAGGGAGAAGCAGGCTCCATGCAGGGAACCCGATGTGGGACTCGATCCCGGGGCTCCAGGATCACACCCTGGGCCAAAGGCAGACACCCAACTGCTGAGCCACCCAGGCACCCCAGTTTTATTTTTAATCCTTGGTCATGACACTGTCGTCCTGGAGGGAGAGGAGACAAAATGCCAGATGGTGTATCTCCTCTGAAGTCTGAAATGGTCTAGATTCAAAACTCAAACCTGAGTGTCATCCTTTTGGTGCTTCTCCTAGCACTTGGGTTAGAGGCCTGGGTCTCTTTCCCTGTGTGACCTGCTTGCACTGGCTGATGCCACCAGCCTGGCCTTGATGTATTGTGACTCTTGCTTACCCATGGAGCTTTAGCTGCTCTGCTCTCCTCTGTTGGCCTGAGATGCACTCTGCTTGTGCCCATTGTGGAGCCAACACACTCCTTCAGCCCTTGGTGGGGTGTTTCTCTGTCTTCCGACTGTGGCTGATCCCCTAGCAACAACCTCATTCTGCCCATACCCCTGCCTGGTCTGCACTCTGTCCTGCAGCGGGAGTGTTCGGGGATACAGACCTTCCTCTGACTGCTTGCTCAGTCCGGCTGTTGTTCATCATGTCTGTTCACGATTTAGAGGAAAAGCACTCTGCTTGGACTCCCAGAGAAGGAAGTGCCTTCTGTGTGCTTGCATTTCTGTATATATGATGTGCTGTATACTGTTATACTCCCGTGTGCTGCTGTGGTACTATACTACCCTGTTCTCTAGTACTCTGCCTCGTGCCTCCCTAGTACTCTGCTCCTCGGTGCTTCTGTACTGTGGCTGCCAGGTAGTCCTGCGGCTCTACTGCAGAGGCTTCTGCTGTAGTGCTGTCCTACTCTATAGCTGTGTACTCCTGCTGCCGTGCAGTCCTGCAGCTCTACTGCTGAGGCTTCTATAGTGCTGTCCTACTGTATAGCTGTGTACTCCTGCTGCCGTGCCGTCCTACAGCTCTATTGCTGAGTGCTTCTGTAGTACCATGCTACTCTACTTCTGTACTACTGCTGCTGTGCAGTCCTATAGCTGTACTGCTGTGGGCTTCTTTTTTTTTTTTTTTTTTTTAAATTTATGATAGTCACACACAGAGAGAGAACGGCAGAGACACAGGCAGAGGGAGAAGCAGGCTCCATGCACCGCGAGCCCGACGTGGGATTCGATCCCGGGTCTCCAGGATCGCGCCCTGGGCCAAAGGCAGGCGCCAAACCACTGCGCCACCCAGGGATCCCTTTTTTTTTTTTTTAAGATTTTTATTTATTTATTCATGAAAGACACAGAGAGAGGCAGAGACATAGGCAGAGGTAGAAGCAGGCTCCATGCAGGGAGCCCAGTGTGGGACTCGATCCCAGGTCCCAGGATCACACCCTGAGCCAAAGGTGGATGCTCAATCGCTGAGCCACCCAGGGGTCCCACTGCTTTGGGCTTCTGTACTACTATACTACTCTATACTGCTGTACTACTCTGCTGTCCTGTACTTTTGTTGTGCTGTATTAGTCTATACTTTTATACTAATCTGTTGTCATGTGTGCTTTATTACTACACTATGCTTCTGTAATACTGTGCTCCCCTGTTCTTCCACAGTACTCTGCTCTCATGAGCTGCTTACTGCTACACTGCTGTATGCTTCTCTAGTACTATGCTACTCTGTTACTTCTAAACTATGGCATGCTGCTATATACTTTACATTTCTATTCTCCTGTAGTATTCTATGTTTTCATACCATTGTACACCTTTTACTGCTCTGCTATTCTGTCTTTTTGGACCAGTCTGCTTTTCTGTTCCTTTACTTCTCTACACTTCCGTACTGCTCTGTTACTCTGTGCTTCTACTACTGTATATGTGTCTCTTCAGTTAATCTTAAATAAGTGGTGGAGTATGAAGTAGTCTCCTGTTTCTCCAGATAAAGTAACTGAGGCTCACAGTGACCCATTTCACATGGCCTGTCCATTTAGCTCTGCCCTTTGGCCATTGTGCACTCTGAGAGGAGGAGCAGGGCTTGCATTCAAGATCACTGTGAGCCTCAAAGTGGAGCTCAGCAGCGAGGGGTTTGCTTCTAGTTTCTACAGGTGCAAAGTGAGCGGAAAAAGGACTCAGCGCTTCAAACACATTTTGGTTATATGATTTTACCGTAGGCTGAATAATACCTTTGCTTATTTGCTGAGGTTAGTGGAAATATGAGGGCTGGAAACGTGGAACTTTATCTTAGAGCTAAGAGACTATAGAATCTAGGTGGCTCAGTCAGCTGAGTGTCTGACTCTTAATCTCAGGTCAGGTTCTGATCTCTGAGTTGTGAGTTCAGGCCTTGCATTGGGCTCTATGCTGGGTATGAAGTCTACTTAAAAGAAAAAGAGAGAAAGAGACCGTAGAGTCATCACGTTGAACCCTTGTTTACAAAAGTGGGAACTGGGCTCAGGGAGGTAAGTGAGACATACATGTGGCACCTGGGCTGCAGAGTTGAAAGCCCTCCTCTGGGTCCCCACAGGACCGACAATGCTGTGAAGAATCACTGGAACTCCACCATCAAAAGGAAGGTGGACACGGGTGGCTTCCTGAGTGAGTCCAAAGACTGCAAGCCCCCTGTGTACTTGCTGCTGGAGCTTGAAGACAAGGAAGGCTGCCAGAGCGCCCGCCCCGTGGAAGAGCAGGTGAGATGGCCACCTGAGGCCACTAGCCCAGGGCTTGGCTCTAGATTTGCGGGGTTGCATATTTATCCTGGACCATCTCATTTAACACCTGTTCTTTCCTTCTCATCTTCACCACAGCTGTTCATGACTTCTGCCATGGGGTCTCCTGTGGGCCACATCTCTCACTAGGCCCTTCCTTGTCCCGTAATTCTGCACAGACCTGACATTTGTCTGCCCACAGGTGAAGGATGACAGAGCAAGCTGACATATAAAATGGAGGATTGGATTGAAGAGGTCCTAAGCCTCCTCTGTTTTCATCAACAGCTTCCTTCCAACCTATTGCCCTTTCCAGGCTTTTCATACTAAAAGCATGTTTGCAATTAAAAAAAAATCATTTATGTATTTATTAAGATATAATTCACACACCGTAAATTCCATTATATTTAGTATACAGTTTTTTGTTTTGTTTTATTTTTTTAAGATTTTATTTATTCAAGAGAGATGCAGAGAGAGAGAGAGAGGCAGAGCCATAGGCTGAGGGAGAAGCAGGCTCCCTGCAAGGAGCCAGATGTGGAACTCGATCCCGGATCCGAGGATCACGCCCTGGGCCAAAGGCAGACGCTCAACTGCTGAGCTACCCAGGCATCCCTAGTGGACAGTTCTGAGTCAGGCTGAAAACATATTGTCCTGTACCAACCACACTGATATACAGACATTTCTGTCAACAGCAACCCTCCCCCCCCCCCCGGCCCCGTATTCCCTTGTCTTCCTTTTTGTCAGCACTCTTCCCTCCTCCCAGGCACCCCTCCTCTGTTTTCTGTGTATAATTCCATACGGTTTATGAAATTATATGGTATTACATTTGCAATTGTAAAAATGGAACCAATACACAGATGTTAACATCTTCTATCCCGCACCTTGGAGCAAACCTTTTATTGATATTTTTAAACTATTATCTCTAACGATTTATTCTTTAAAAATAAGGATTTGGGTACCTGGCTGGCTCTCATGGTCAGTCACGAGCATGTGACTCTTGATCTCAGTGTTAATCAGTTCGACCCCCACGTTGGGTGTAGGGATTACAAAAATAAATAAATGTGAAAAAAAAAAGATTTGGGGGCACCTGGGTGGCTCAGTTGGTTAAAAGTATCTGCTTTCAGCTCAGGTCATGATCCCAGGGTCCTGGGTTCGAGCCCCAAATTGGGCTCCCTGCTCATGCTCTCACTCTTGCTTGCTCTCTCTCAAGACGAATACATTTTTAAAAAGTCTTTAAAGAGATTTGAAGGAAAAAAAAAGATTTGAAGGAAATGTGTCAAGGAATGAAGATTTGACAATGCTGAGTCATGGTATAGGTAACACATTTCCCTTGTGCTCTGTTCCAGTCTGTTCTTTGGTTGTAAATTAGTGAATAGTCTCTTTTAATGCTCCCCCTTCCCTTTTCTTGCTAGCTAGGTAGAAGTTGTATGTTGCTCCAGTTCTGTGATGCTCCACTAGAGCTTTACATAATGTTTTTGTTTCTGTTTCTTGATTTTTCAGCCTGAGTGTCTCTTGATTCCCTGGTACGAATGCCCCTGTGGAGTAACAAACAGTAGGGAAAGATCTAGAAAATAAAATTGACTTCTTCCCCAGTGGGGACTCCCCACACATCCCTTAACCAGAAGAGTATTTCTCACACTTTTTTTTTTTTTTGAAAGATTTTATTTATTTATTCATAAGAGACACACAGTCAGAGAGAGGCAGAGACACAGGCAGAGGGAGAAGCAGGCTCCCCACAGGGATTCTGATGCGGGACTCGATCTCTGTCTCCAGGATCATGCCCTTGGCCTAAGGTGGTGCTAAACCGCTGAGCCACCTGGGCTGTCCCTTTCTCATACTTTCTTGTGTATCTAAGTAACATGTTATCAAGCCTCTTATTTCTGGTTGAAGAAAAAGCATACTTTCCACAAAGAAATGGGCATTAGCAGACATGAAATCACCTTTTAGGAGAGGGGAAGTGGATAGACCTTCCTCAGTTCTCTGGAAATCCTTCTTGGCTGAAAGGCAGTTTATTGATTTAGCTTTTGCCTCTGGCACTTTGCATCTGGAGCACTGACCTGAGCCCAGACCCCGGCCCTGAGCTCACCCGCCCACCCCGGCTGTAAGCTCCAGAGGTCAGTTAGCATGTTATTTATTATCAGCCTCATTTCATCTCTAGCATCATTTTCATGGTTCTTTTATGCTGTTTAATTATGGCTATATCTAATATTTAAAATTAGAAACAAAACTTTAGGGGTGCCTGGGTGGCTCAGTCGGTTAAACGTCTGCCTTCAGCTCTCAAGTCATGATCCCAGGGTCCTGGGTCAAGCCTCGTGTCAAGCTCTCTGCTCATGGGAAGCCTCCTTCTCCCTGCTCATGCCTTCTCTCACTATATCTTTCTCTTCAAATGAATAGATAACATTAAAAAAAACCCAACCTAATGACCATGCTTATTGCTAAAATCACTCTCATGTGCTCACTTGTTTTAGAAATTCCTGGAGATGGGTTGAGATACATTCTTGAAAAACTTGTCATACATCTTGCTAGACTGCCTGCCAGAAAAGTTTGCCTATGATTGTGTGTATGGACTACTTCCTGTTTCCCCACTCACTGGTCAGTGCTTTTAATTATAATTATTGTCCCTCTACTTCAGAAGCAATACATGATCATTGTAGAGAGTTACAAAGTTACTTTACAGTACTGAATATTGCAGAAGAGGAGCCTGCTAATCTCAGCTGCCAGAGAGAACCAATATATTTAATGTGTTTGCCAACATTTATTACTAAGGGCAGTAAGTTTAAAATGAGATTATGGTATAACTTACTGCATTACAGCTTCTTCTTAAATCTTTTCCATGTCATTTTGCTCATACAGATCTTTATACATTCTTGAATCTGTCACATCTTGTCATAACCTGCTCATGGACATATGTTACCATTTCTGTTAAGATGCTACAGTGAACATCATTGTTCAGATTCTTTGTGCATGTAGTTATTGATGTGGGTTAATTTTATGGATGTAGCGTGAGTGTGTCAAGTGGTTGTGACATGTGAAATTTTCACAGGCATGACTAAATTGCCACTCAAGTGGTAGTACCATTTTGTCCTGTCAACAACAACACATGGCATTACCTCTTTTCGTACACTGTTGTCACCACTAGCTGAGATTATATAAAGAAAATCTTTTCCAGGGTTTCTAGGTGGCTCAGTTGGTGAAGCGTCCAACTCTTGATTTCTGCTCAGGTCATGATCTCAGGGTCATGAGATTGAGCCCTGCATGGGGATCTCTCATTCATTCATTCATTCATTCATTCATTCATTTATTCATTTATTTTAAAGATTTTATTTATTTATTCATGAGAGACACAGAGAGAGAGAGAGGCAGAGACACAGGCAGAGGGAGAAGCAGGCTCCATGCAGGGAGCCTGATGTGGGACTCGATCCCAGGTCTCCAGGATCACACCCTGGGCTGCAGGCTGCGCTAAACCGCTGCGCCACCGGGACTGCCCTCTCTTTCCTTTAAAAAAAAAAAAGCGACCAATTTTATGGGTAACAATGGAGTATCACTTGGGTTTGATTTCTTTTACTATTGGTAAGGTTGACTTTTTTCTTTATTGATTGGCCTTTGCCCCCTTTTTTTTCTTTACTGTCATTCACAAACTTTTTACTTATATATTAAGGATCTTACACCTCTGTTGTATAGTAACTTCTTTTTCTCAGCTTGGGAAACTTGGAGTTTCTTCATCACTTGACTTTATAAAACTGTAGTTTATAGATAGTAAAATTCACCCTTTCAGTAGATAGTTCTGTGTGTTTTGACAAATGTAACGAACACCACAGTCAAGGTGGAGGGCGTTTCCATCACCACCTAAAATTCCCAAGCCCCCAGTCCTCTGGCAACCACTTCTGTTTTCTGTATCTATGTGGTTTTATGTTACTACGGATATCATATAAATGGAATCATACAGTCTTGTACTCTTTTGTGATTGCTTCCTTTCACTTAGGTATTAGTGCATTAAGATTCATCCATGTGACTGCGTCTGTCAGTGATTTGTTCCTTTTAACTGCTGAGTGATAGTCTGTTGTATGGGAGTACCACTCTTTATTGTTTACCAGCTGAAGGACGTTGTTTCCAGTTCTGTTTCCAAATAAAGCTGTTATGAGCATCTGTGTACAGGGTTTTGTGTGAACATAAGTTTTCATTTCTCTTGGGTAAACATCTAGGAATGGGATTGCTGGGTTGTATGGTAAGTATATTCTGAATTCTAAATGAAATCACCAAGCCATTTTTCAACATGGCTGTTTCTAAAGTAGGATTCCCACATTCGAACCTTTAAATAGCGTTTATGGCATTCTTCCCTTTTCTCTGATTGTCGCGGTTATAAGTTTTCAATCAAATCTGTTCTTTTTATGTCCTTTTCTTCCTTTGCTTGCATCACAAACCATTTCCATTCCATTCACTTGACGACAATAGCATAATAGCCATGGTGTAGGTTGGGTGCTGTTCACATTGTTGCTGATCTTCAGAGCACCCCTGCCTGGTGAGCCTTTAGGGTCCTCATTTTGCCAGCAAGAAAGCTGACCTGCACACAGGTCATACAGATTCCTCAAGGTCGGCTAGCAAAAATGGCTAAGCTCTGGCTGAATCCAGAGCCCGTGGCTTCTCCCTGCCACCGTTGTTGCCCCCTTATTGGTGTGGGATTGCACTCCTTGCCCTCAAGAAGGCCCTGTGGATCACATGTGCCATTTTTTTCTTCCTCATTTTTTGGAAGATTTTATTTATTTGAGAGAGAGAGAGTGACAGAAAACACAAGCCAGGCAGGAGAGGGAAAAGCAGACTCCCTGCTGAACAGGGAGCCCTACCTGGGGGTCCATCCCAGGACCTCAGGGTCATGACCTTAGCCGAAGGCAGGCGCTTAGCTGACTGAGCCACCCAGGCGCCCCCACATGTGCTGTTTTCAAGGCTGCACTGGGGTTTGTAAGGTTAATGCGTCAGGCTTAGTTCTAGGGTTCTGCCAAGAGAGCTGTTATCCCAAATGATTTTCATTTGTTTTCTTTCTGTCTGTCTATCACAAAATTAGTATACACTAATTTTCCAAACATTTATTTTGAAATAATATTAAGCATATAGAAAAGTTACAAGGATAGTATAAAGAACTCCCATAATACTCTTTACTAGGTCATTAGTTTTTTTGGGTTTTTTTTTAGGGTTTTTTATTTTTAAGTAATCTTTACACCCAACATGGAGTTCAAACTCATAACCCTGAGATCAAGAGTTGGACACTCCACTAACTGAGCCAGCCAGGTGCCTCTAGATTCATTAGTTTTTAACATTTGCCAGATTTGCTTTATCTTTCTTTTTTTTTTTTAATTTTTATTTATTTATGATAGTCCCAAAGAGAGAGAGAGAGAGAGGCAGAGACATAGGCAGAGGGAGAAGCAGGCTCCATGCATCGGGAGCCCACGTGGGATTTGATCCCGGGTCTCCAGGATTGCGCCCTGGGCCAAAGGCAGGCGCTAAACCGCTGCGCCACCCAGGGATCCCTGCTTTATCTTTCTGTATATAGATGCTACTCTTTTATCTGAGCCATTTGAGAGTTGGTTACATGTGTTTACCTCTCCATCCCTTAATACGGAGTCTGTATTTCCTAAGAATAAGGACCTTGGTTTATATACTCACAGCATGCTAATGTCCAATTCAGAGCTTTTAGCACTGATTTAGGACTTCTAACAGGTCTATAATCTATATTCCATTTTCCTGCCCAGGATCCAGTCTAGGACTAGACTTCTCACTTAGTTATCATTTGTTTTGTCTACTTTTATCTGAATAGCCCGTTAGCCTTTCTTAACCTTTCACGATGCTGATATCTTTGAAGTGTAAGATAATGCCAGTTATTTTATAGTCTCTCTCTCTCTTTCTTTCTCTATAAGTAGGCATCATGTCCAGTGTGGAGCCCAGTGCAGGGCTTTGAACTCACAATCCTGAAATCAAGACCTAAGCTGAGATCAAGAGTTGGATGCTTAACTGACTGAACCACCCAGGCACCTCATCTGTGTCTCAATTTAGATTCATTTGAGTTTCCTTATTAGATCAGGTTGTACATTTTAACTATTTTATTTACAAACTTTTTTTATGTTAAGCAACCTCTACGCCCGATGTGGGCTTGAACTCACAACTCCGAGATCAGGAGTTGCACACTCTTCAGACTGAGCCAGCCAGGTGCCACAGGTTGTTCATTTTTAGCTAGAATACTATACAATGTGTATCTTATAACCAGAACACTATGAACAGTGTGCCTTTGTGTCCAACAGGGAAGTCTTATGACCAATTGGCCCCCAGCGCTTCCTGCCATGAAAGAAGAGGAAAGCAGTGAGGAGGAGGCCACGGCAGCCACTACTTCTAAGGAGCAGGGAGCTGTCCCTGCAGACCTCGGTGGAGTGCGAACACCAGAGCCCTTGGAGGACTTCCCTAAACGTGAAGACCAGGAGGGTTCTTCGCCAGAAACCAGCCTGCCCTACAAGTGGGTGGTGGAGGCCGCAAACCTCCTCATCCCTGCCGTGGGGTCCAGCCTCTCAGAAGCCCTGGACTTGATCGAGTCGGTAATGTTGGTTATAGCACCTCAGAGTGGGCCCAGAGCACCCGCCAACTGGGAGTGCTTCTCTCGTGGGTGGGCATCCTTCTCCTCACTCCCTCCTGCTGTCATTTCCTGAGCTGGTGCTGAGTGCCCCACTGGGAGCCAGGGCCTGGGGACACAGATAGTTGCCACATTGTCCCTGCCATCAGCAACTCCTGACTCCTGCTCTGCAGTTTAGGTGGGGTGGGAGGATTCCCTAGAGGAGGTGGCACTGCATGCACTGAGACCTTGAGGATGACGAGGGGAGGGCATTTGAAGCCCATAACACAGCATAGGAGAGCATGGTGCTTGTGGCACCGGATTTAGGGCTGGAGCTGGAGTGCCAAGTGGGGTTTGCTAATTCAGTAACACTGTCTCTGAGGCTGCAGTGGCTGTGGATTGTACGTTGTGGGAGAGAGCTCCTCGCTGGGGGCTGCATCTCCTGATGTGACATCCCAGCTCCTTGCTGTGTCAGCCAGGCCTGCCGTGTGGAGCAGTTTTCAGGAGGTGATAGGTGAGAGGCCTGGCAACTAGGGACAGCAGAATCTCCCCAGAATACAGGGGGAGACACCCCACAGTGACTTTCCTCCTTGGGCTTCCCCATCCTTGCTAAGAATAACAATACTGTTTATTGACCATCTACCTATTGCCAGGCTCTAGGCTTAATGTATAATCCATACAGCATCTTGTGAGGTATATCCTTTCTCTGTTTTGTAGATGAGACTGAAGCTCAGGGAGGCTAAGTAGTGTCTCCACAGTCACAGTGAGTAAGGTTGGTGGTCTTCACTGTCTTGACCAGCCTCTTGCCTCCAGAGGCTGGGATTGGTCCCAGCTGTAGGGTCTAGCTGTGGTATCCCCTCTACTCTGAGAAATTTCAGAGTGGCATGAGAAACGGGTCTGATTTATTTACCAATGCATTAAATAAATATCTCTGACCTGCCATGTACAGTTTCTGATTCAGGCCCTAAAGGGAGAGTTGGATGAGAGTAGGACCCACGCTGTGCCTGGCACTGTTGGCATTTCATGGTGTTACCAGCCTTCATCCTCAGACTTTTCTGCTGCTTCTTCAACTTGATAGGCACAGAGAGGGCGAGAGGGGAGCTCGGTTTTACTGAATTCCTACTGGCATACAGTACTGCCCAAGCTGGCCTCACCCTAATGAACGAACTGCCCAGGTTCTCGAGAGTCCCAAGGACCAGCAGCCATCATAAGCATCTGGGTCTACTCAGGGCCAGACCTCCTGGGACCAAAGCGGAAGCCTCTGTCTCCAGCAGCCCTGTGGCTGGGTGGTAATTTATTGGCCAAAGGAGAGAAGACTTGTCATGACTCAGAATTGCTCCCAGAAACTTAGCAACCTTGGGCAGATTGCATCCTCTCTGACCTGGAAAGGAAGAAAGTAATGCTTGTCTGATAAGGTTCTTGTGGGGTGGGAAACAGTTTAGGTGAAGTGGCCACAGAGGATCCATGACTGATAGGTGCATGGAGCACATTCTCTAGAACTGTGGCCTAAGCCATGGGACCTAAGCCTGGTCACACAATCTCGGGCCTAAGACTTCATTTCTAGGAGTCTCTGTCAAGGAAGTTCCCAAAAATGCAGTAGAATATTTGTATCCAAGATGCTCATGAAGATGTTATTTTTAATTTTTAAAAAGTTAGGGGAAGGGTGCCTTGGGTGGCTCAGAGGTTGAGCATCTGCCTTTGGTTCAGGTCATGATCCAGGGGTCCTGGGATCGAGTTCTGCATCAGGCTCCCCATGGGGAGCCTGCTTCTCCCTCTGCCTATGTCTCTCTCATGAATAAATAAATAAAGTCTTTAACAAAAAATTAGGGGAAAAACCAATGTCCTGCAGAAGAGGGGAATAGTTAAGTAACTGATGCATTCATATGATCAAATATTTTGCAGTCATTAAACTTGTTATAAAAGTTGGAAATTTTTCACACGATAACAGATTTATTAATGGTAAACATCTAACTCATAGGTAATAGAATTAAGTACTATTATTGTAAATAGAAAAACAGGATATCGAAATGATTTTTTTTTTTAAGGCTAAAAACATGCAGAATCCTATCATTTAGGGATATGTGTAAGTGGTAAAATGAAAGAAATGTGTAAGGATGGTAAATACTGAGTTCAGGCAGAGGGTGTGAACAAGGGGAGGTAGGCATGGGGCTTCACCAATTAGGTTTTATTTCCTAGGCTCCTTGACGGGTGTGAGTTTTCTTTCTTTGTACTTTTTGTATATCATATGTGTTGCTTTTTAAAAATAACAGCCATATGCGCAGTATGACTTCAGGTATGTTTGCAGATAGAGATATACAGATGTAGAAGAATCCTCAAGAAAATGCAAGAAAACATTCATGGTGATGACTCCTGGGCTGTGGATTCCTCCCTAATGCTTGTGTATTGTCCTTTAATGAATGAGTCTTCTTGTGTCTGCTGGGAGAGCAGAGTGATTGCAGTTGTTCCTAACCCCCCCTCTCTGGGCAGGACCCTGATGCTTGGTGTGACCTGAGTAAATTTGACCTGCCTGAGGAGCCGTCTGCAGAGGGCAGCATCAGCAACAGCCCGGTGCAGCCATCACCATCACAGCAGCAGCAGACACTGCCATCCCGTCAGCCTGCTGCCACAGTACCCAGTGTGACCGAGTACCGCCTGGACGGCCACACCATCTCAGACCTGAGCCGGAGCAGTCGGGGCGAGCTGATCCCCATTTCCCCCAGCACTGAAGTGGGGGGCTTGGGCATTGGCACACCGCCTTCGGTGCTCAAGCGGCAGAAAAAAAGGCGTGTTGCCCTGTCCCCTGTCACAGAGAACAGCGCCAGTCTGTCCTTCCTAGACTCCTGTAACAGCCTCACCCCCAAGAGCACACCTGTCAAGACCCTGCCCTTCTCACCCTCCCAGGTGTGTGGACCCCAACCCAACTCCTTGCTGGGTTTGGTATACAGATTCCCAGTGCCTGGTACAGGGCCTGGCACATAGGCACATATCATTCAGCAAGTCTTTGCTGAGCATCTGCTGTGTGTGAGGCACTGGGCTAGGTGCTAGGATGTAGAAGTGAGCAAAAACAGCTGGGTCTGTTCTCATGAAGCTTATGCTCTGGTGGGAAGACCAGTTGATAGGAAAAACTGCAAATAAATACGACACCTGGTATACAGGAGAAGGCTTACAGAGCCACGAGGGAGCATCTAGTCTGGGGGGAAGTTGTTATCCTGGAGGGCTTCCATGAGGTGGAGGCAATGCTTAGCTGGGGAATAGTAGGTGGTGACTGGGCAAAGAAGATTGGGGACTCAGTATTTGCTAAAAGAATCTCTTTATTGTGCATCTACTCATAGCGGATTTTTGTCCCTGGGGTGCAGCAGTGAAGGTGACATAACCCTGCCCTTGATGAACGTAGTGAATGCTGGGGGCAGGCTTGTAATTTTTTGAACAGAATGTGGTGTGGAAAGTGCTGTGGTCGTTGGGAGCTTGCTGTGACCTGGGTGCTACTTCCTGGGGCTCTATTTGTAATGAAAGTACTTTTAGGGAGAGCTGAGAAGAGGCCCTGTCTTCCCTCCAGGTCAGGGAGGCATTCAGAGCTTCCAAGAGCGATGTTTGAGCTGGGTTTTGTCAGCTTAAACAAAGGCATGGAGATGAGGGAGCAGAGTACGTAGTGTGAAGTCCAGAGCCAGGGTGGTGAGAAGGTTGGGGGATGGGGTAGGGGCTTTGAAGGGCCTTAGGTGTAACAAAGGTATGTGCTGCCCAGGGGGCTGAGCTGGTGGTGGGACTATGGGAGGGTAGACTGTCAGGCAGGGAAGAGGGCAGATCTGGAGTTCCCCCATCCTCAGATCAGAAGAGGGTGAGGCTTTGGGTTTTACTACATCTGCTCTCTTCCCTGATGATGTGGCACAGGGGAAGCCCCAGAGGAGGCATGTTTTATAAAGGAGGCTACTCCCGTCTATCCAGGGATTGAGGTCAGGCCCGTGTCGGGTGATTAGTAGTATTTTTCTGTGAGAGGTTCAGTTTTTTCATAGTCTCTCATGGTTGTAGATGACTGGCTGTCTCCTCTTTGTGTCTTCACGTAGTCTCCCTTTGTGTGTCTGTGTCCTAATCTCTTTTATAATCTCACCTGCTTCTCATAGAGTCTTTTAAGGGTACCAGCCATGTTGGTTGATGGCCCACCCTTATGACCTAGTTTTACCTTACTCCTCTCTTAGGAGGCTCTGTCTCCAAATACAGTCATGTTCTGAGGTCCTATGGATTAGGGTTTTGACATAGGGATTTGGGATTGGGAGGACACCACACCGTTCAGCCCATAGCAGGCCCCAAGTAAGGGCAGCTGACAAGAGGAGGATGGGGAGCCCCAAGCCACCGAACAAACAGCCCAGGGTGACAGTGAACCTGAGGGCTGCACATGGCCCTGGGCTCCCTGGGGCACCTTTAAGGCAGACAGTGGGAGGGTAGTGCCATTCACTTTGCTCAGATCTGGATTTGTGTCCCATCTCTAATGCCCATCCTGAGAACCTTTATCTCTGGAAACCTCGGCTTTCTTATCTGTAAGATGGTGTGTTGTGATGGCACCTACCTCACAGAAGATGTGTTAAACTACATGGAATTATTGGTGTGAATGCCTAGTGAATTAGTGTGAATTATTGGTGTGAATCCCTAGTGTGAGTAGTTGCGCTACAGTGTTCACTTCACCACCACCATTGTCATTACCCCTGTCCACAGGTCATATGAGAGCTAGTCTTCTGAAAAGGAGCTGCCCCCAGGCTGCCAGCTCTCCCTGCCCTGACTGTAGGGTCAGCAGTGCTGTGAGCGTGGGCTTGGGGGATAGCCCTCCCCCAGCCTCAAAAAGCCAGGGCTGGGGGGCAGTGATAGTCCCAGGGTTCTATGTGAACCTTGCTCGTGGATCCTGTTGATCTTTCCTAGTCTTCATTCTAGGGAGTGCTCCCAGGTCAGGAGTGGGACTTCTGTCAGAGAACAGCTGTGTTGGGGGGGGAGGGGCATCCAGGGTCTCACCTGACTCCTGCAGGTTGTCACTTTGTCTTGTTTCCATCCTCTTCCCTGGCAGTTTCTGAACTTCTGGAACAAACAGGACACACTGGAGCTGGAGAGCCCCTCACTGACGTCCACCCCGGTGTGCAGCCAGAAGGTGGTCGTTACTACACCCCTGCACCGTGATAAGACGCCCCTGCATCAGAAACATGCAGCGTGAGTGATGTGCCCGCCCATTCCCTGCTGGTCCTGGAGCTTGAGCCTCGCCCCCCTCCCCTAGCCAGGACTGGGGTCCCCTTTGGAAAAACACCTGAGACCGTTTCAAGATGGCAGCCTCCTTCATGCTACCATGCCTCTTTGTGCCAGGACAGTCTGGCACTTCATCCTTTCTGGTCCTCATTTTCAGTTTGTAATTTGAAGGTTTTCTAATCTCAGGACTAGAGTCCAAATAGCCATGAAAAGAATCTCCCATCTTGTGCAAGTCTCAAGTGCAAATACACTGTGTTTGAGCAGCCTTAACGTGAAGGACAGAAGTACCCCGGTTCTCCCTGTCTCTCTGGTGCTCAGTCAGGAGGAGGTCAGGCTGTGAGCCTATGAAGCTCCATGTTTCACCTGTACAGGTTGCTTACCTGAGTACTTCTGTGGAAGTGCTGTCACATAAGTGCACTTCCTGTGTCTCCTGACTCTGAATTCCAGGTAGAGATGGTGGCTTACGTGTACTTCTGCTTGTTACCTTTGTTGCAGGAGAAGCATTGCCTTATTCCTGAGTAAGGTATGTAATTCAGATATTAGCTCAGAAATTTCAGACTTTGTAATAACACATAATTTTAGGAAAGGCCTGTGAATCCCCTGGTCAGAAATCAGTCTCTCAATAGTTGACCTAGAGTTTAACGGCTGTATTACATGAGGAATGATTCTTTGCTCAAGCCGGAATTTTTCATATCTAAGCCTTTAAGCAGATATGCTGGTGCCACGAAAGGCATTGATGGTTCTTTCTCCTTTTCCTTCTTGCCCTTATTACTAATCTGCTACTACTGCTCCAGCCTTTCTGTTCCCCCCCCCCCCCACGGGAAGAAACATTTCCATTGCTCCTCATTCTTCTGTAGATTCATATTTCCATCTGGTAATATGTTCCTTCTCTCTGAAGGTCATCCTTTAACTTTGGAGTTTGGGTCTGCTGGGGAATCAGGAAAATTTGTATCTGAAAAGTTGCCTTGGTGTCTGAAAGGCCATTTTGCTGGGTATAGAACCCAAGGTTGACAGGTTTTTCCTTTAAGCTTTAAAGATGTTCTCCTGTTATCTAGTCCGTACTGTTTCATTACTGGTTTTGAACAAGACCCTATTTTGATGCACCATGATGGATTGTTCTTTGTTTTTTATGCTTGGCGTTCACTGAGCTTCTTGGATTTTGGGTTTTCATCAAATTTGGAAACACTTCAGCTCTTATATCCTTATCTTTAAATATTCTTTCTGGGCCTTCAACCCTAACCCTCTGTAGGGACTCCACAATTACACACATATTAGGCCACATGGATCTGTTTCACAGCTTACTGATGTTATCACTACTGTTTTCATTCTTCTTCCTCTCTTATTTTGTTTTGGATGGTTTCTATTGCTCTGTCTTCAAATGACTATTCCTTTCCTCTGGGGCATCTGATCCTTGATAACCTTGTTCAGTGTGTGTTTTATCTCAGGCATTGTGGTTTCTGTCTCCAGATGTTCAGCTGTATCTTCTGAAATATCCTCTGCCTTAACTTTGCTGCCGAAACATACAAAGTATAATTATAACAACTATCTTAATGTTCTTGTCTGCTGATTTTAGCTTCTGTATCAGTTCTGGGTTAGTTTCCATAGATGGACTTTCCTTCTCGTTGTGAGTTTTGCTTGGGTTGTTCCCGCCTGCTTTGCTTCTCTGTGTATGTGTGGTGACATCTGATTAGACGCCAGACATTGTGAATTCCACTTAGTTGAGTGCTGGTTTTTTTTTTGTTGTTGTTGTTTGTTTGTTTGTTTTTAGAGCTCTGTTCTGGGATTCTGGGATATAGTCGAGTTACTTAGAAATAGTTTGATCCTTTGGGTCTTATTTTTAAGATTTTTCAGATGGGACCAGAGCAACGGTTAGTTCAGGACCTTCCAGTGCTGAGGATTTCCAGTCTGGCTGGTGGGATTGAGCTCTGTTTCCAGCCCTGCATGAGCGTTAAGTACTGTTTCCTCTGCTCTTTTTGCATCCTTCCCTGATCTCGGGTGGTCTCCTCATTTGTGTGCTCTGATATGCATCTTGCGGTATACTCCGGCCTGTCTGCAGGTATCTGGGGTTCCATCCTATGTAACTCTCTCTTCTCTGGTGATGCTGTGTTGTGCACACTGAGCTGCTATGGTCTCCCTGAACACTTGCCTTGTCTCTTCGATTCCAGGTTACACTGGGCTCTACCTGCGCTTTCCTTCCTGTGCTGTACCTAGGAATCCTCCTCTGTCTCCCATTTTTTGGGTCCCTGCCCTTGACTGTCTGGTGCCCACACTCTTGAAGTACGTCGTGTCATCCATGGTGTGTTGCTGTTTTGTTTTTCCAGGCAGGAGAGGAAATCTGGCCCTAATGTCCCATTTTTCTAAGTAGAGATCTGCTGTTTAGTCTTTAAATCCAGATTCTTGTCACAAAGACTGTTTTGGTTTTCCTCTTTTCTCTTTTAGAAAAAAATTTTTTGTATATTTTTTTATTGGCGTTCGATTTGCCAACGTATAGTATAACACCCAGTGCTCATCCTGTCAAGTGCCCCCCTCAGTGCCTGTCACCCAGTTACCCCAACCCCCCGCCCACCTCCCCTTCCACTACCCTTTGTTTCCCAGAGTTAGGAGTCTCTCATGTTCTGTCTCCCTCTCTGATTTTTCCCACTCATTTCCTCTCCTTTCCCCTATAATCCTTTTCACTATTTTACATTCCCCATATGAGTGAAACCATGTAATGATTCTCTTTTTCCGATGGACTTACTTCACTCAGCATAATACCCTCCAGGTCCCTCCACCTCGAAGCAAAGGGTGGGTATTTGTCGTTTCTAATGGCTGAGTAATAGTCCATTGTATACATAGACCACATCTTCTTTATCCATTCATCTTTCGATGGACACTGAGGCTCCTTCCACAGTTTGGCTATTGTGGACATTGCTGCTATAAACATTGGGGTGCAGGTGTCCCGGCGTTTCACTGCATCTGTATCTTTGGGGTAAATCCCCAGCAGTGCAGTTGCTGGGTCGTAGGGCAGATCTATTTTTAACTCTTTGAGGAACCTCCACACAGTTTTCCAGAGTGGCTGCACCAGTTCACATTCCCACCAGCAGTACAAGAGGGTTCCCCTTTCTCCACATCCTCTCCAACATTTGTTTCCTGTCTTAATTTTCCCCATTCTCACTGGTGTAAGGTGGTATCTCATTGTGGTTTTGATTTGTTAATCAAATCCTGATTTTTTCCCTGATGGCAAGTGATGAGGAACATTTTCTCATGTGCTTGTTGGCCAGGTGTATGTCTTCTTTGGTGAAATTTCTGTTCATGGCTTTTTCCCATTTCATGATTGGATTGTTTCTTTGCTGTTGAGTTTAATAAGTTCTTTATAGATCTTGGATACTAGCCCTTTATCTGATAGGTCATTTGCAAATATCTTCTCCCATTCTGTAGGTTGTCTTTTAGTTTTGTTGATTGTTTCTTTTGCTGTGCAGAAGCTTTTTATCTTGATTGAGTCCCAATAGTTCATTTTTACTCCTTTTGTTTCCATTGCCTTCATAGATGTATCTTGCAAGAAGATACATCAACAAGAACTTGTGGCCTAGTTCACAAAGGGTGTTGCCTGTGTTTGCCTCTAGGATTTTGATGGATTCTTGTCTCACATTTAGATCTTTCATCCATTTTGAGTTTATCTTTGTGTTTGGTGTAAGAGAGTGGTCTAGTTTCATTCTTCTGCACGTGGCTGTTCCAATTTTCCCAGCACCATTTATTGAATAGACTGCCCTTTTTCCAGTGGATAGTCTTTCCTGCTTTGTCGAATATTAGTTGACCATAGAGTTGAAGGCCCATTTTTGGGTTCTCTATTCTGTTCCGTTGATCTATGTATCTGTTTCTGTGCCAGTACCACACTGTCTTGATGATCACAGCTTTGTCGTACAACTTGAAATCCGGCATTGTGATGCCCCTGGCTCTGATTTTCTTTTTTCAGTATTCCCCTGGCTATTGGGGTTTTTATCTGCTTCCACACAAATCTTAGGATTATTTGTTCCAACTCTCTGAAGAAAGTCCATGGTATTTTGATAGGAATTGCACTGAACGTGTAAATTGCCCTGGGTAGCATAGACATTTTCACAATATTAATTCTTCTAATCCATGATCATGGAATATTTTTCCATCTCTTTGCGTCTTCCTCAATTTCTTTCAGAAGTGTTCTGTAGTTTTTAGGGTATAGATCCTTTACCTCTTTGGTTAGGTTTATTCTTAGGTATTTTATGCTTTTGGGTGCAATTTTAAATGAGATTGACTCCTTAATTTCTCTTTCTTCAGTCTCGCTGTTAGTGTATAGAAATGCCACTGATTTCTGGTCATTGATTTTGTATCCTGTCACATTGCTAAATTGCTATATGAATTCTAGCAAAAATATGGAACGCTTCACGAATTTGCGTGTCATCCTTGTACAGGTGCCATGCTAATCTCTGTATCGTTCCAATTTTAGTATATGTGCTGCGGAAGCGAGCACTCTCTTAGAAATTCTTTTTGACATCTGCAAGACTTTTTTCTTTTTTTAAAAATTTACTTATTCATGAGAGACACAGAGAGAGGGAGAGGCAGAGACATAGGCAGAGGGAGAAGCAGGCTCCATGCAGAAAACCGATGTGGGACTCGATCCTGGGACTCCAGGATCACTCCCTGAGCTGAAGGCAGATACTTAACTACTGAGCCACCCAGGCATCCCTGACATATGCAAGACTTAAGGCAACAGTTATTTGGACTTCATTCCAAATTTGACTGGTTTCCTTACCCACTGATTTTATATCGCACCTTTCCTAATTTTTTACCTCCACAAAAGTTAGTTTATTGGAAGGGACAGCTCATTAACAAATAAACAAAACACATTCAGTGTGTGATGTGATATTTCTGATGGTGATAGAAACCGTGAGGGGGAGTTATACCAGTGTGCGTGGGGAGCACAGAGTCATGGTGAGGAGTTTCTTAGGAGGATGTCAGGGATGGCCCTTCAGGGAGGGAAAGCCATGCAGAATTCTGAGAAAAAGGAATTCCAGGCAGGTCAAACTATGAACGCAAAGGATAAAAGCATGCTTTTTGTGTTGTGAAGTATAGAAATAAGGCCACTAAGTTTGGAGCGAATAGGGTGTAGAACATGGTAGATGAGAGGAGTCCAGGGTCCCCAGGGCTGTGTGTCAGTGGGGATGGGCCATGTGGAGCTGTTAACCCCCTAAGATTTTACTGGCTCATAAAGCACAAACCTTCCCTGGTTTTAAAATTTGACTGTTTTCTGGGTTAGATGGAATGCTTTTTGAGTTGTTCCCAGAGGAGGCTGTGAGCAAGGAGGGCGTAATGCCTTTGCCATCTGATGTCTGGGCTGTCTACTGTTTTTCAGCAACAGGAGCTGGATCTAGAAGTCTTGAGGGAGAATAGCTATGACCCCAAACCATGGGCTCTGTTTTGTTTTCTTAGGTGTTTATGTTACAGAGAAATCTGATGCCTAATCTTTTAATCCTTTGTAGCAAACCTTTTCTTTCTCCTTGGATCGTTGTAGGGCTTTGGTTTGGTTTTGACTTTGTTTTGTTTTTGTATTTTTTTTTTTTAAGATTTTATTTATTTATTCATAGAGACACAGAGAGAGAGAGAGGCACAGGCAGAGGGAGAAGCAGGCTCCATGCAGGGAGCCCAACGTGGGACTCAATCCAGGGTCTCCAGGATCACACCCTGGGCTGTAGGCGGCGCCAAACCGCTGCACCACCGGGGCTGCCCTTATTTTTGTATTTAAGATTTTATTTATTTGACAGAGAGAGTGAGCCCAAGCAAGAGGGAGAAGCAAGCTCCCCACTGAGCAGGGAGCCCAATGTGGGCCTCTATCCCAGACTGCAGGATCTGAACTGATGGCAGACGGTGAACCGACTGAGCCACCTAGGCACCCCTTGATTTTGGTTTTTGTGTTTTTTTTTTTTTTTCCAGTTAATCCTGAAATTTGCCAAGCTAGATATAGGTGTGCTCTTCATTAACTTCCACCACTCCGATTTTCAGACTCGAGACTCAAACTTTGAGCTAAGAAAATGCAGGTTTTTTTGTTTGTTTCCCTGGCAGTCTGCCCCTTACTTCTACCTGTAGGTCTTCCCTCCTACAGTCTCATCAGTTGCTCCATCTCTGTTCACCTTTATCTTCCTGTTCACTGTCCTAAGCCCCTCCAAGCTCTGAGAACGCCCCGGGACTGTCTTCTGATTCACAGTTTGCTCTTGCACTTTCCTACCTGCTGAGTCCTTCTGCTTACAGAGCTGCATTTTTTTCCATCTCAAGCCATCTTTCGTCTTTCCTGTTGAAGTTGGCCTCCCTTGGTGTTCCTTTTTTTTTTTTTTTTTTTTTTTTAGATTTATTTATTTATTCATGAAAGCCACAGGCTGAGAGAGAGAGAAGACATAGAGGGAGTAGCAGGCTCCTCGCAGGGGGCCCGATGTGAAACTCCATCCCATGTTTCTTGTCTGCTAAAGGTTTCCCTCCCCATTTGTGTCCCCACTGTGATCGTTTTGAGGGGACTCAGGAAGAGGGTACTCTAAGCATGTGTGTGGGCCTCACTATCTCACATCATGTGGCTACTGCCACACAGTCTCTGGAGAGAGTTTGGGGAAAGGACTTAGTCTTTCTGGATTCTTGCCTTGTTCTCCTGCCCTTCTCTTTCTGGGCCTGCAGTGTGGCTGTGGCCTGCCTAGTTTGTGAAAAGTAATCATTAATCGACTAATGACTGAGCAACATCCTCAACCATTCTTCCACCTGGCTGGGCTCCAGGACCTTCTTAGACTATGTCCTGTTCTTTCCTGTTTCTGAGGCTGGCCTTCTAAGCCCCTGATGAAGACCCTTGTGGGTATAAACGTAGGTAGGGGAGTGCCATGGGAAGAGATCATATGCCCAGGGTTTCCTCTTTGCTGCTGAGGCCAAAGGTCAGGTGGAGGACAGTGGGAGTCATGGGCAACCTGTAGTGAGTAGTGTCTGTTTCCTACCCCGTTGCTAAGCCTCCTTCTTTGCCTGGTAGGTTTGTAACTCCAGATCAGAAGTACTCCATGGACAATACTCCCCACACGCCAACCCCATTCAAGAATGCCCTGGAGAAGTATGGACCACTAAAGCCCCTGGTATGTTGTGCAGCCAAGTGGGTGTGCCCCGTGGGTGTCTTGGGTCCATGTAGCCATGTATGGCTCACAGAGCTCTTTACCTCTGACATCTCAGTGGACTCTTCCAACAGCCCTGAGATGTTGCGGATATCTTCATTGTATAAATGGGGAAGTCTGAGGCCAAGTCACTTACCAATTCATCAGCCATCTCCAGGCACCTACAGCGTGCCAGGTGGGCACTAGCTGGTGCTAGAGACGCAGTGGCATTCTGGGGCAGCTCAGTGTGAGGGTGGCCATGATAGTAAACACATGGGCGCACAAATAACTCAGTAGTTCCAGTGCACTGCCCGCACCAGGGAGAAATTGGGTGGGTGCTGGCATGGAGAGGGCCTGGCTTGGGTGCTGTGGTGAATTGCTCCTCACACTGAAGACTTTGACTAACTGCCAGTGCTTTATAAGACCTGGAGAAGCCAAGTTGGTGGGCGTGAGGGTCTGGTGAGAAGGCGCCTTCCTGGCAGTGGGTAAACCACCCTTCTCCCCGCTCCTCCCATTGGGATAGTTCATGCTTTCCCCAGTGAGAACAGAGAGCTGGCACTGTGGGCTTTCTGAAGCAGAGGCAGGTGTTTTAGAAATGAATTGAAGGTGAGAGAAAGGTCAAAGCATTTGGCCTATAAACAGGGTCTGTGGCATGTCCCCCTGCGACCTTGCCGCCACTTTGTGGGGTTCTCTTGCTGTGGTCTCTCTAGCCCTGGGATGGAGCTGATGAGCTGCTGGAGTTGATGAGCCCCGTGAGGCACTGGTTAACACAGTCCTCTCTTGTTCAGGTGGGGATATGGTTCCCAGACACTGAGATATTGGCATGTTTTCCAGACAGCTTTGAGAGGGTGCATCTGACCTTGGCAACAAAAATTAAAGCTTTTAGAGGGACATCTCAGGGTTGCTGTCCCCTGTACCTGCTGCTCTCTCTCTTTTCTGGTTGCTGCCACCTGAGGCTGGAGAGATTGCCTAGAACCCCACAGGCCCCAGAACAGAAAGTGAAATCCAGAGTCCCCATTGAAATAGTTGGGGCTTGAGCGTGTCCAGGTTCTGATTCCACAGCTGTGTGAATTTGGGCCAGGCGCTTGCTCGCTCTGGCTTCCATTTCTACCCTGTGGAATAGGACAGCTGTTGCACGGGGTTGTGTGAGGGTTGCTGTGGTGATGTGGGGACACTCCTGGCTAAGGACGGCCCTCAGTGAGTTGAGGTCAGTGTCTGCTTGTCCGAGGCAGGATAGTTAATGGTGACAGATGAGTGTAAGGTCAGTGTCCTGGCCCCCGGACCTCCTTCCTGTGTTGCCTAGGACAATGGGCTATGGTGGGGTCCTAGAGCCTGGCTGTGGAGCCTCATGTGGGCTGCCCCCACCCCCAGCCCCAGACCCCACACCTGGAAGAGGACTTGAAAGAGGTGCTGCGCTCTGAGGCTGGCATCGAGCTCATCATTGAGGATGAAGTGAGGCCTGAGAAGCAGAAGAGGAAGGCTGGGGTGAGTGGCCAGTGGGGCAGCAGATCCCCTTACTGCCAGCCTGGGCAGTTTGGGCAAAAGAAGGTGGAACCATAGGATGATGGGAGATGGAGGGGTGGGGTGAGTCTGGGAAAAGCAAGGGTCTGGAGAAGGTGGAGCTGTAGCCTGTGCATTTTGTTCCCCAGAATGGTTATCAATGAAACCCACCAAAGTGAGGTCCTGGGGGTTGGGACCCTCCCATTATCTCCTGTGAGCTGGTCCCTTACGTAAGCAGCATTTTGTTTGGACCCTTCTAAAGTAGGCTATGGGCTGGATGCGGTAGATAGGATGGTGATAGAGACCCAGCTGTGGTCCCTTGTTCCTGGATTTGAGGGGGTAGACGCAGATACTAGACAAACACACCAGGGGCCTTCTCAATGCACACAGCATTAAAGGAGTAAATAGAAAGGGACACAAAGAGAAGATTCCAAGGGAGGTGCTCAGACGGGGTCAGCCACACATCTGGACCCTTGAGCCACGTGGGGGATGGTTGGTTCAGGTGAGGTAGAAGGCTGGTGGGGAACAGCAGTCAAGGACACCTGGGTGTACAAAGTATGGGGCGGGGTGGCGAGGACTGTCCCAGGCCAGCCCAGAAGCCACTTTCGTGGTACACCATGCGTGTGGTTTCCTGAAAGCAGGTGGATTCCATGTTCCCCTTTTCTGTAGATGCTTTCTTTTGGGGGAGAGGTGAAAAGATGGGATTGTCCCAGAGGGATGCGGGGATGGTAAGCAGTCAGTCCGGGAGGGGCTCACTGGGCAGGGGCCCCTGGGTGTATAGGTTCAGAGAACTTGACCGACAGCCCTCCCTGGCCTTTCCATGTCAGATGGTGGTTCTGAGCCATGGCAGCACCTATTTAGGGCATACTGCTGGGTTGGGGGGTGAGTTAGTTAGTCCCAGAGCTTCGCCCAGTATTGGAGCTGACCCCTGACCTATTTATTGGAGGCACAGGTGTGGGGCAGGGTATTCCTGTAACAGGCCCGTGTTCCTCAGGTTTTATGTATGTGTTTCTCGTCTGCAGGTGGGTACTTGAGGTGTAACTTGGATGATTCTCTCCTGGGCCTGTTTAGGGGTGCGTTTGGTGTGGTAGAGGCTTGGGAACTATGCATGATTCATTTGGGAATGAGGAGTGGGTCTCTGGGTGGAGGCATTTGTGTCCTGGCTCCCTGTGGTTGCATCTGGCAGGATGGTTTGCCCTGGGTGCTAAATCTGATGGGGCCAGGGTCCTTTGGTCCTCATGCATACACCCACCCCTCCCTTCCCCCAAACCTCGTCAGCTGGGGGCCCGGCTCAAAGGCTCCACTGCATCAGGGTATAGACCTGTGACCAGGGTAGTTGGGGCAGGCATCCTCAAAGTGCTAGTGGTGACCTAGAGGAATCCCAGCTGTCTGCTCTGTCTCCCTCCTCCCCACCCCTAGCTGCGGCGGAGCCCCATCAAGAAGGTCCGCAAGTCCCTGGCTCTTGACATCGTGGATGAGGATGTGAAGCTGGTGATGTCTACACTGCCCAAGGTGCTGTCCTTGGTAAGGGGTCAGAGAGAAGCTGCCCAGAACTGCAGAAGGCACCTCTGCCTCAGGGAGGATAGAATCTCCCTGGAGGCCCTCTGGCTTTGGAACCTTTTAGCTGTGAGGGGACCCTGGCGCTGGAGTGGTCTGGGGTTCTTGGATGGGGCTCTGGGTGTCAGGCTTAGCTGTAAGGGGCTGATGGAGAAATTGGGGCTGGGCACCCACCCCTTGTTTCAGTCAAGGCAGCTGTGCATGTGTCTTTCACAGAAGGGTTTATTGCATTGCTAGAGTTGCATTGCTGGAACACGTTTGAAAACCATGGATCTGGGTCCCCAGCACCTTCTGTCATATTCTACTCTCATGGGGGTGATGTGGAGAGGGTTGGTGATGTGCACGGCCAGGTGGTTGAGGCACATCAGCCCTGGGAACGGTGCTGTCTAGTTCCAGGCTGAGCTCAGGAACGGGGCTGTTGCCTACACAGAGCCTGCCCTCAGGAAAGCACACCACACTGTTGATCCCTCCCAGCTGACAGTGGGGGGTTTTGCCCAGTGGGAGACAGTGAGAGGGGTGGTGGGAGGCATGAGACAAAGGATTGCCTGATCAGATCCTGCACATCTGAGGATTTAGGACTGCTGCAGCCATAGCCCTCGCAGAGAAGCATCACTGGGCAGGGAGCCCCAGCAGGCTGGGGACTTCATGCTGTGCAGCCAGACCTGCAACAGACCTGCAACTGGGCATGTAAAATACTTGTTCAGTAGTAAAGCTCTGGCAAGTACTTTAGAGCACAGGACTTGGGGTGGAGTGGACCTCGCAAAGTCCTAATGCTGGCTCTTGCTCTTTGGGATCTCTTAGTTTACCCAAACCTCAGGTTCTTGCCTTTGCCTTTCACTGTACTGAGCCCAGTGACTCTTTAGGGTAAAGGTCAAGCAGAGCCGGGAGGCTGGATGGGTGGTGGGTGCTTTGTGTAGCTATATGTGTGTGCTGGTTGATGCCAGCATCTGACTGCTTGTAGAGATTTCTAGTCCTAGGAGAAACTAGAGCACCCCCACCCTGCCTGAGGCTGTGGTGGGAGAGGCCATGTCCATGTAAAAGGGGAGCAGCATTACTGGGCATCTATTAGTTGTCAGTCTCTGAAACGGGCACTTTACAGAGAATTCCCCATCTGGAACGGGGCACAGGCTTAGAGAAGTTACTGTCCTGTCCCAAATCCTATAGCCCAGAGGTGGAGGTGCTGGGATGTGACTGGTTTCCTTCTTTCCCATCATGCTTATGGCAGAAGGGTGAGTCTGGCTTGGTTTTTGTTGCAGCCCACAAATGTCCTGTCGAGTTCCTCTAGCCTCATGGTGTCAGGCATCAAAGAGGACACCAGTCTGCTCAACGAGGGCTTCCTGCAGGCCAAACCGGAGAAGCCAGTGGCTGCCCAGAAGCCCCGAAGCCACTTTCCAACACCTGCCCCTGTGAGTGCTGGCCACCAATGTCCTATTACCCTTGGGGACTTTGCTTATTTGTTGCCCCTGCCCAGATGCCCTTCTGAGACTCTGCTTGACTAGTTGACACTTCAGATCTCAGTCTGGATGCCGCTCCCTTGGGGAGGGATCCCATGTGCTAGAGCCTCCACCCCCCCTTTTAAGATTTTATTTATTCATTCATTCATGAGACACAGAGAGGCAGAGACACAGGCAGAGGGAGAAGCAGGCTCCCCACAGAGAGCCTGATGTGGGACACGATCCCTGGACCCTGGGATCACACCCTGAGCCGAAGGCAGATGCCCAGCTGCTGAGGCACCCAGGCGTCCCCCCCTGCCCGTGAGCCCTTTTATGGTGTCGCCTCACTTGTAATTAAGTCATGGTCTCCGTTTTTAGTTGCTTAGCACATGTCTGTCCTCAGGGATAGGGGCTGCCCTGGCTGCTCATACCTCATTGTCTATATTGCATGAATTTCTTATTGCTCCTTCCCACTAGCCTGCTTGGCTGTAACTTTTCCTCATGAGGAGGCTGGCACCACATGGGCAGGGGCACAGCCATGTTGCCGGTCCAACCTCTTTGCTGTATACCTAAGGAAGCCCTGAAACAGGAGTCACTTCTCCAGGGCCACTAGGGAGTTGGAGGGACCACAAGAAGACTTGTGGCTTGAAGAAGACCGAGAGTTGTAGAAATGCCCCCTACTCCTCCTGGCCATGCTCACATCACAGCATTTGCTGGGAGCTTGCTGCCCCTGCCTGGATGGTAACTCTCTTGCCTCCTCCCAGATGACCAGCGCCTGGAAGACGGTGGCCTGTGGGGGGACCAGGGACCAGCTCTTCATGCAAGAGAAAGCCCGGCAGCTCCTGGGTCGCTTGAAGCCCAGCCACACGTCTCGGACCCTCATCTTGTCCTGAGGGGCTTGGTGGTCACGAGCTCATTCTTATGTTTACAGGGGGCTGGGGGGACTGAGGTTGGTCTGTGAGTCTGAAAATCACACTTGGATGGCCACCTGCAGGGAGCCTTCTACCACCAGCCCCTCCTCAGACTGCTCAGGTGGAGGCAGAGCAGGGCCACCCACTGCCTTGTCTCCGAGTCCAGCTGTGGCTACGGTGGTTCCTGGTGCTAACAGAACAAAGTCCCACCCCTGGGCCTGCCTGGTCCTCTCCCCGGTGCCACAGGGAGTCCCCTTAGCTCCTCCTGAGCCCTGCTTGGGTCTGGCCTCATCTCAGACCCCTGCTTAGAACAGGGGATGTGGCCAGGATGCTCCTTCCCTCTACCTGTTAGTACATTTTTTTGAAAGAATAAAATTCCCTTTTTCCTTAATGCTGTTGTAGACTCTACCCTTCTGTCTCCTGCTTGTGGTTTCCTGGTCGCTGGGTTGGTTCCCTGGTGACTGTCACAGGGGCCTTGAGGGATATGGAGATCTGGATCCTCATCCTCAGCACAGCCCAGGGCTGGGGCTCTGCACACTTTCCCCCAAAATGTCCAGTGTGCTGGGGGCAGTTTGATCACCTAGTGGCTGTCTCAAAGTTCTGAGGATTCTTGGGTGTTAGCAGGGAGGGGAAGGTGCATCAGGACCCTGCTTGGCCATGGATGGCTGACCTGGCCTGCCATGGGCCTAGACACCAGGTGAGACTGGTAAACAAGGAGTGACTGGCAGCTGGCCGGAACTTCCTGACCACAGTGGCCTCAACTTGCCAAGGCCATGGCAGCAATCAGACCCTGGGCTCCAGTCCACCTGGTCAGGGTGCAGTGGGCCAACTGGCACTTGGCTGAAAGCTAGGCACTGAAGTGGGGTAGGTGCCAGGTTTGAGAAGGTCTAGACCAGACAGGGAGGTGTTCAGCGGGGGGGGGGGGGGCCCTCATAGGATTTGGCATGTGGGGGGGCATGTATGTCTGGGGGCTGGATGGGTACTTGGCTATCTTTAGATTCTGCTTTAGTGCCTCTGGTTCCCAAGAGAGACTTAGGGACAGATCTCTTGCTGGGAGTCCCCTCTAAAGAAGACTGGGAGTTAGGACACTAGGGTTCAGGTCTAGTGAACCCTGCCCTGCTGAACTTGCACAGGGGGGTCCTGTCAGCATGGCAGAGACCCACCTCACCCCCTGCTCTGGGTGGTCCTCGACCCATTTCACAAAGTTGTGCTCAGTTTGAGCCTGGCTAAGTTCTGGTTCCTGCTCCAGAGCCAAGGCCTGGGAATGAGACCAGGGACTAGGGCTCCCACTCTGCTTCCTTGCAGCTTGTGTAGCCGAGCCAGATGCTCCAGCCAGTTCAATAGCTGGGCCATACCTGCCACATGCCCTTGTGCCTATGCTGATTTCCTGACCTGGACCCCTGTCCTCTATCCCTTGGTGACCTGCAGGGCCCTGGCTCCATCACTGACTGTTCCCTGCAGTGCTGTCAGCATTGATGGTTGATTCCAGTGAGGGTTGGGGAGCAGGGGATCTTCATCTCCAGGATTCACAGGCAACTCAGTCTATAGAACACCAGCATTAAAGTCCGATACAGCAAGCCTCTGGGACAACCCACCCTGGAGCTGATCATAGGCTCCTAGGGATGATTCCTAGGCACGTGGTCCGTGGCTGCACCTCAGTGAGCTGGCCTATATAACCCACCTGAGGCTTTCTGCCAGAGCTTGCTCCAGACTGCCTCTCCCACCAACACCCAAAGCTCGTCCTGAGGCTCTTTCCTGACCTCCTTGGGAGGCAGCCCTGCTAACTGCAAACCTGTTAACTTGCCACCTCCCATGAACTCTGCACTGGAGCTGTTCTCTGCTTCCTGCATTAAATGAACAGGCATCAAGAATCTCCCCTGTGCCTGGCATGGTTCTGGTGCTGAGGATACAGGAATTAACCCCAAGACTCTCCCAAACCACTTTATGCTCACAGGGTTTAGATTCTAGAGAGGACAGATAAGCCAACATCCATATGCAACATGCCAGAGGTAAGGGGCTCGGGAGAAGGAGGAATAATGGATGGCATGGGGGCCAGGCGGCCTGCTAGGAGGAAGCTCTCCGGAGGCCTGAGTGAGAAGGCTGGCCGCAGCCCCTGGCCACCGTGGGGAGCAAGAGAGAGCCCGAGTGGGTGGGGGGTACTGATTGCCAGAGTCGGTGCTGACAGCCGGTGTGGTCCCGGAGTGTGGGGGCACACGGTGCTCCAGTGGGCGCACCTTGGGTCGTCCAGGTGGATCCAGGGCCCAGTGTTTCGTGGGCCGGTGTGACAAGCAAGCCGAGCCAGGTGCAGAGGTGCTGAGCACCCGAGTTCAGGGAGGGGGCGCGGAAGACGACGGTGGGCGGGAAAGGAGGGGTTCAGTGAGGATGGCAGAGGGTGAGCGTTCTGACAAGATCCAGACTGGCCTGGCATCTGCGGGCCAACCCGGCCTGCCGGAGAAGCGGAGAGGGCGGAGGCAGAGCCCGCGCCCGAGGATCCCGGCAGCGGCCCCTAAACGAGGGATGCGGAGACCGGGACCGCTGCTCCCGGAAGCCACGCCCCGCGCAGGTCACGTGACATCCCTTCGCCAATGGGAGTCCCTTGATGAGCGCGTGAAGGATTGTGGGAGAGCCCGCCGAGGGAGGCGGGAATGGCCGGGTGCGCTAACAGGCTCCCGGCGCCTGGGCGAGGCCGTTCTCAGCCTCCCAGGCTCACCCGGTCCGGCCCAGTCCAGAAGAGCCGCCCGGCTGAGCACGGACTCCTGAGAAGTAGGAACTTGGTACTGTTTGCAGTCCCACTGAGGTTTTGGAGGTGGTTTGTTGAGACGGATGCTGTCCCCGGGGGATTGGGGCGCATGCGTACTTGCGTGGTCAGGGCGCATGGATCCGGGACACGGAGCGGGAGGCCTCGGCCGGGGGGACGTATGTTTAGGTATGGGGCATCTGTAGGCTGTTTGAGATCTGTAGGACATTTATTTGCTTTTTATTTATTTGCATTTTATATTCTTTTTTTTTTCTTTAAGATTTTACTTATTTATTCATGAGAGGCAGAGACACAGGCAGAGGAAGAAGCAGGCTCCATGCAAGGGAGCCCAACGTGGGACTCGACCCCGGGTCTCCAGGATCAGGCCCTGGGCGGACGGCAGGCACTAAACCGCTGAGCCACCCAGGGGTCCCCGAGGTGTTGCATTTCTAACGAGTTTCCCGATCGTGCTGAGTTGGGGATTGCACTTTGAGTGGCAGGGATTAATGGCACTAAAATCATTCCATTACTCAGAATCAATGAGATGTCTGGGGCCATTGCTCTCTGTTCTTCCTCGGTCTCTGCAGCGTCTCAGTTTCCCTCCAAGAATATGCCAGTTCTGGCATACTCAGGACAGCCTGTGGTTTCCATGGTGATAGCCATCTGGGTCTCTTTCACCTGCCCGCGTTTCTCCGGCAGTGGGACATCCACTTGGGAAGGGCCTGTCTAGTTGCTGGTACACCTGTGGTGTACTGGCTTATGGTGTGACTCATGTTTGTGTGTAACTTCCAAGAGAGCAAGGCTGATACCTGCCATGTTCATGGCTTTGTCCCCAGCATTCATCAGTTCCTGACACACAGTAGTGCTCAACAAGTATTTCTGGAATGAATATGAAAACCAAGAGTGATGCTCTGGCCACTGTCGGGTATTCATGAGCTAAGGATCTCTTGTTGAACTCAAAGTGAGTTTTCCTCTTGCCAAGACCAAGGGAGGACCTGAATATCTGTGTGACCATAGAGACTGACCAAAAAGCATCCGTGGTCCAAGAGTTGTATGTGCATCCTGACAGACGCCCCTCCCTTCCACTCCAGCCATCCAGACACAGCCTCCTCAGGAGCCCAGAGGCCCTTCCCAGAGTCATGCCCCACCTCTTCCCAGATGCAGGCCTCCTTGTTCCAGGCTGGACTGTGTCCTCCATCAGTACTCACATGTGCTGAGTGCCCCGGGGATGAAAGTGACTCTGAAGGCCCGATTCTCGGTCTCTGCTCATGACTGGTAATCCCAGATCCCTTCTACATACCTGTTTTCTGTTTTTTCTTTTTATTGTGGTTAAATACATAACAGAGTTTACCATCTTAACCTTTTCTAAGTGTACGATTCAGCCATGTTAGCTATATGCACATTGTCATGCAACAGATCCTAGAATTTTCTCAGCTTCCGAAATTTCAACTGTACTCATTAAACAACTCCTCATTTCCCTTTCCCCAGTCTCCAGAAACTTCCATTCCACCTTCCATTTCTATGAATTTGACTACACTAAGTATCTTGTATAAAGTGGAATCATACAGTATTGTTTTGTGACTGTTGATTTAAGTAGCATGATATCCTCAAGGTTCATCCCTTTTGTAGCTTCGGTCAGAATTTCCTTCCTTTTTAGGGCTGAATGATATTCCAGTGCATGTGTAGACCACGTTTACCATTCATCTTTCTGTGAGTGGACACTAGAGTCCCAGGACTAGGTGGAAACAATAGACAAGACAACCCTTTTGTCTATTGTGAATAATGCTGCTATCAACATGGGTGTGCAAGTATCTCGAGATCCTGCTTTCAGTCCTTGTGACGGTATACTGGGAAGTGGAATTGATGGATCATATGGTAATACTGTTGTTGTTGTTGTTTTTTAAAGATTTTATTTATTTATTCATGAGAGACACACACACACACACAGAGAGAGGGAGGTGGGCAGAGACACAGGCAGAGAGAGAAGCAGGCTCCATGCAGGGAGTCTGATGTGGGACTCGATCCCGGGTCTCCAGGATCACGCCCTGGGCTGAAGGCAGGCACTAAATCGCTGAGCCACCCAGGGATCCCTGGTAATACTGCTTTTAATTTTAGTTGTTTTAATTTTGTTTCGATTAGGTTTTTGGTATTTCCAGGAAAAGCTGTGTGCTGGGCTACTAAAGCTTTTGCAGCAATGATGTGACTCTGTCACCATCTGGTGGCCATTGGTGTATTTGCAGCAGCAGGTAAGGTGGGCCATAGCAATTTCTTGTAGGTCTTAGAAAAGTCCTTGAAGTATTTTTCAGTCTTTCAGGCTTTCTCTTCAGCGTCCTCATCAAACAATTGTCTGGCCTTTACTTGAACACCTCTACTTATTGGGAGAGCTGACTTTGTTACTCAGCAGCCAGCTCCATTGTTGGACAGCAATTGTGAAGAAAAAGATTCTTTATTCAGAGAAAAAAGTCCTCCCTCCGTTATAAAAAGTAGGAAAGACTAAGGTGCATGGGAAGCTAGTCTGTGGGGAAATCAGGGTCCCAGGACAGGTCATTGATAGGCCAGGATTACCTGGAGAGTTTGACTACCAGAATTAGCCACTGTCTCAGCAGACCCTAGCATGAATCAGTTCTGTCCTGTTTCCACAGATCACCAAGTCT